TTTCGAGTCTTACTTGTCGGGTTACGAAGTCTTCTGGTTTCGAGAGATTGGCTGATAGGAGGTAGTTGATGTTATCGTCGGATTGGCCGTGTGCATCCTCGGTAAATCTCGTCTACAAGTGCTTCAAAAGAAGAGATCTTCTTGTTTCTTGAGACTATTGTGTTATGTAAGGGTTAAAGCCTAAATGTCCTATCTTAGTTAAGGGTTCGTCCTCTTTCTTGGTTTATTTCTTCTGCTTTGTAATTTGTCTGGTTTTCTTTTATGTTTCCGAGGATTTCTATTTGTCCGCCGGCTTTGTTTCTCTTGTTTGAGCTTTAGACTCCGGGGAAATTTTCGTCTTCCGCCGGCTTAAGTTGTATTTCACCATGTATTTCTCTTAGTTGTATCAATAATATCAGTTGACAAAAAAAAAAAGACTCCGATGTTAAAAAATGACCAGCTCAAGATTTAGGTTTGAGACACAAGAACTGTGATTGATTTGACCAGCCAGGCATGGCCTTGCTGTGGTAAAAATGGATTTAGCCTCATAGATGACTCGGTTTAAAAATTAGAAACCCGAATGTTTTTAGCGTTCCGGTATTTTTTTTGGTTTGACATAAAAGACTATGTAACATCAATGTAAGTATAATTCTCTCAGATTCCAATAGGTCATTTTCAGAGTTTTCCACAGAACAAAACAATATGAAGAATCTTGGGAACTCTTTGCCAATTAGAGATATATTCTATATTCTCTGCGTCTATGGACCAGCACACCAGGTACTTGTACACACACAGAGTCAGAACCCTCTTTTACTTCATGCATCTTGATGATGTAATTAAGCCACATAAAATGCACACGTGACGTGAGGATATATATTATAATACTATATGTAAAAGTTAATGAAATTCCAAAAAATAAATCATATGATAATTAATATATATTTTAAACAAGAATTATCAAGGGATGATAATCTTTAGAACTTGAAAAATCTTGGACTAAAAATATCGAAACTTTCTCAAACTTGAAAAACAGAGTCCCAAGAGGCAAATTATAACAAAGCCAAGCCAAATCAAATTGGCCTTTCTCATCTAAACAAACGATTGGGTTGGTGTATAAAACGAATTATATAAATCCTACAAAATAATATCTAAGTATCTAGGTTTCAATCTCAAGTGCTGTTGTAAGATACAAAAAGCCACTTATCACAAACCCAAAACAATTCTACCCCTTTTGGTAAATGCTTTTTTTTTTAAAAAAAATCTTCTTTATTTGCCTTTTATAAGCTTCTACAGTGATATCTCTAGATTAACCTTTAATAAAGTCAAGAGACACACTACAATCATAATAACCTCACTAATAGGGTAGAAAAGAAAGAAAAATATGTCTAGAGCCTTCCCACACACACACACATGTTTATGTGTAAATCTTGTTAAAACAATGAGTTATATAATTAAGAAAACTAGTAAGGATTATATATATGAATTTCTCTTCCGGTTTGATATTGGGATGCTGTTGATGGATTACTGACACGAGAGATAGTGGAAGTGAAACTATTGGGAGAAGCCAAAAGAAAATATAAGAAAGTGTTCTTATTGCAACAATACAAAAAAAGACAAAAGAAAAAAGCAAGAGTTAATGGGAATGTTACATCAGTGTACATCAAAACGCCTATTAACGATCATTTCCATGATTTTAAAAATGCTCTAATGGCTTGATGGCATCACAAAAAAAAACAGACCCCACATTATCAACAGCATAATCGATCACCATATGGACGGTAAAGATTAGGAAAACAAAATATCATTAGAGAATTTTAAATAAATGTGAGTGTTATATCGCGTAGACACAACACAGTGTTTCAACTTGGCTTATATAAATATTGGTAAGAGGAATGCCATAGGTTCCCCATAAACAAGCTGAGAAGTAACTTTTCTACCCAAAGAGAAAGAGAAAGAGAGAGAGAGTAAGAGAGAAAAAGATGAAACTTGTGCAAGAAGAATACCGTAAAGGACCGTGGACAGAACAGGAGGACCTCCTCTTGGTCAACTTTGTCCACTTGTTCGGAGATCGAAGATGGGATTTTGTAGCGAAAGTTTCAGGTTTGAAGGTGGAGGGAGAAACATAAGAATAGGTATAGGTTGTTGTTTTGGAAAAAATGGGCGGTCTTTGGAAAGGACCTTCCATTTAAAGAAATGACCTGGTTTTGGTTGTAGGTTTAAACAGAACAGGAAAGAGTTGCAGGTTAAGGTGGGTTAACTACCTACATCCTGGTCTCAAACGTGGTAAGATGACTCCACAAGAAGAGCGTTTAGTCCTCGAGCTTCATGCCAAATGGGGAAACAGGTCAGGAGGAAATCCTCAAGAAACAGAGAAACCCTAAAAACAGTTTTTAATCCTCTTTCTTTTTGTTGTGAACTTTTTGGAACTTTTTTCATATGCAGGTGGTCAAAAATAGCCCGGAAATTGCCGGGGAGAACAGATAATGAGATCAAGAATTACTGGAGGACTCATATGAGGAAGAAGGCTCAAGAAAAGAAGCGGCCTATGTCTCCAACTTCCTCATCTTCAAACTGCTGCTCATCATCTATGACCACCACAACTACTCACGACACTGGTGGCTCCAATGGGAAAATGAATCAAGAATTCGAAGACGGATACTACTCGATGGATGACATATGGAGAGAGATTGATCAGTCTGGAGCAAACATTATCAAACCTGTAAAAGACATGTACTACTCAGAGCAAAGCTGTTACTTGAACTTCCCTCCTCCGGCTTCTCCAACATGGGAAAGTTCCTTGGAGTCTATTTGGAACATGGATGCAGATGAAAGTAAGATGTCTTCTTTTGCTATTGATCAGTTTCCTCTCAGTTTCGAACATGGAAGATCATCATGGTCGTCTTTAGTCTAGGATTTGATTCATTTGGAATGTCTATATGTGCAGCATATATATGTTATCAAACACGACTGTAGTAGTTGTCCACGACTGTACTAATCTCATATGTAGTCATCAATCATGCTATGCCTTTGTTTCCTTTCAAAGTTCAAATATGCTCGTTTTTGTAGAGTGAGTGGAAAGAATCCAATGTGTAATACAAGTCAGAACTCTATTTCCACAATAAATAGACTTTTGAAGTTTTTTGTTCAAGTTTGTAAGAAAAGTCGTCGAGTATTCATTATTAAAACCTTGCAAGAATACTGAAAAAAGAAAAATGGAATAAGCAAGTAGCAAGATGAGTGAACAAGGCATATGCATCTGCTAAATAATCAAGAGAGGATAGGTTTGACTTGTAAAGCTTAAGCCAACTTTGTGAAGAAAAAAAAGAAAGAATGTATTCTTCTACTTTATCATCTTGTTGATCAAATCGAGTATGCATTTTTTCTGTTTAAGAAATGAATCCATGATAAAAAGCTCAGTTCCCACTCTTCAGCCTTTATGGTAAGATATCTTTTTAATATTTCTTTATTATATGAACCACTACTACAACTTCAACTTTTCTTAGAAAAAAATGTTTAAAATTTCAATGAAAGAAAGCAAAAACAAAAAGAAGAAAAGGATGGCTGCTTAAAGTAAGTGAAAAATTATTTATTTATCAATTAAAAAAATGTAGAAGGGGGCCTAATTGATAATTAGCACAAATAAACAAAAGAAGTAATATGAGATGGCGGGCTGATTCTTACCCAAAAAAAAAAAGTATTCATAAATTTTCTTAATAGGTCGGTTATAATAATTAGGTGACTTGGAAGAAAACAATTAAGCATATATCTATAATAATATGACCTTGCTCCACAAAAAACAAGAACAAATGGACGGATAAAATAAGATAGAAAGACTGATAATATCAACTATTTAAAGTCGTAATCATACACCAAACCATCCGATCCATAGATATTATAAGCAAACAACCAATAAGACTTATCCCTTTTCACCCAAAGTTATTGGAGGAGTATGTAAAAATAGGTAGTGGGTATGAATAATGGAGGCATATTTGAAATAAAATCAGAAGAAGAATATCAGAAATATCATTCTCAGTCATAATAGTGCAAACCCAACTTAGAAATGAAAACATGCATTAGTGAGATAATGGTTATTGTAATATGTAGTGGCATAAAGCATTTGTATAAGTGAGTGAATATATTATACCCATACTGTTCGTATTGGAATAAAATGGAACAAACCTTACTGGATTTTGTGGGTGGCTCAACGATTTTACCATTTTACAAAAAAAATATTTTAGTATCATTTCACGAGTAACTAATTTAATTTTTTCTTACATTTGTTCCCACATATGAATTTGTGACGTTGCGTTAGAATTTTTTGAATATACCGTTTACGTTTAGATTATATTATACTAGTTAAATTCATATTGCAAATTATTAAAGAAATATTATTTTTAGTGTGACCTTTTTTATGTGTTTTTAAAATGAAAATTCATGTTTTGTACTAACCTATCTCATTTATGTTTATTAGATAGATTTATATTCTTAAATTTTCTTACGTTTTGTTCTATTTCCGTTAAATCTCATTTTAATTTAGGTTTAGATTATGTTAATATAATTAAGTTTTGTGTCATATTATTTTAAATTTATATGTATCTTCATTATAAAACGTTCTATTATTTTTTATTTTAAATCAATAATATTTTTATTTTGATAATATATAATATAAGAAAAGACCTTTTATATTTCTTTTTGAAAAAATTATTTACATATGTCAAAATCAAATTAAATAATAAAATAATATAATTAATTCTTAAAACTAAATAATAAAATAAAGTAGATGATGATTAGGATGATGATGTGGCTTAAGGAGAAGAGAGAAAAAGCTAACTTTATATATATAGATTAAGTGAGGTAGGAGATGTTCTAACAAGGGATGTTAATCCTATTGAATATAACTTCTGGGTGAAGTTGAAACTAGACAAATAATTGAGGGGTACTTCCGTATAAATATGAAAAAGTTCTAGCTGAAATATTTAATTCGCCTAACCATCTTTTACTACTCTGTACGAGAGTGACTCATGGCCACACAAAGAAGTGAGACGTCACTCAAATCTTAAACCCGCCGTCAAAAATGCTATCCAGACGAAGCAGCCACCACTATTCGAGCTCCGCCGTCGATCGGGCAGATCCAGACTTCTTTAATCGGAGATGCCGTCGTTCGTGAAGTCTTATCTCTTTACCTACAATTTTCTCCAGGCTTCTGCATGGTATCTCTCTCTTTCTCTCTAGACCATCATGTCTTCTCATTTTCACTCCCTTTTCTATTTCATCAGAATTGTGTTTTTCTCTGCAGGACGATTTCGCTTCTGAGTATCTTGAGCAGCTTTTTATCAAACAAGACAATCAATGGCGCTTACGCTTCTGCTGGGTACTTGATCAGTGAGTAGAAATTTCGATTTTCTGGATTTAATCGTTTTATCCTCAAGACTTTGATCCGTGGTTGATGTACTTGTGAACTTCTTAGAATCTGTAGTTAAATGTTAGTTTATGGAACTATTCTCCAAAGCTGGATTGATGATTGATTGATTTCTAAAATTAGTCTCTGTTGTTGGATTTTTTTTTTTGCTTTGTTTAGGTGTGATGCAAACTGTTGCTGTTCTTGAAGTTCTTCATGGAGCTATAGGTAATATTGGAATGAGTTATCTTTTTTCCTTTTTGTATGATTTTTGAATTGAAATTACTGATTGACTGATTTCTCTGCAACATTAAGGGATTGTCCCTAGTGGATTCTTGTCTCCATTGATGCAATGGAGTGGAAGAACTCACTTCATATTGGCAGTTGTTGGACAGATCAGCGAGGTTTGTGTGGTTTTGACTCTTTTAAGAGCGTTTTACTGGAAAGCTGAAACAGTTTCATCAAAGCTAACAGTCTGACTCTGTTGTTTACATTCATCTTTTTAGGTCCAGGATTCCCCATGGCTGTCAATAACACTTGTAGCTTGGTGTTTCGGTGAGGTGAGTTTGATATTCACATGTTTATAGATCTTTACAAACGATAAGACAGAGAAATACCAATGGCAAGTTTTTGTCAGTTGAAAAGAAGCATGTTATCTCAATGCTTTGTTCTGAGATAATGTTAGAGAGACTCTCTTTGAAGATACATTAGCAGTGGTTAGAGTAGATTGAGAGAAAAACATAACTATAGAAGAATGGATTACCGTCTAGGTGGTTAATGGTGTTATATGCAACTAGTCGTATACTTCCAATTTTATGCTATGTGTTAGCTGAGTGATGTATTTGGATGTAGATGATCAGATATCCTCATTATGCTTTTACTTGCCTCGGTAGATGCCCCTACTGGCTAACCTATCTCAGGTACTTCATCATATTTTTTAATTGTTGTGACCTGAGACATTCTCTATCACAGAATTTTTTTTTCGAGATTAACGGATTGCATAAATATGTTATACCATCCAGGTACACAGGATTTATCATGATCTATCCAACGGGACTAGTGGGTGAATGTGAGTACTTTAAAGTGTATATGTATTGCTTTGAAGCCATAATTCTTATCGTTGATTTTGACCATGTTTCTGCAGTGTTGATCATGTACAAATCCCTTCCACATGTTAAAGAAAGAGATCTTTACGCAAAATTCTTCTCTGTTTTCCCTTTTAGCTACTACGATTTCCTTTGGGTAAGTTCATGGCTGCCTTCTCCTTCTCCTTTGAACAAAACCGTTTTGGCTTTCTTATGGATATGTTATCTTAATGAAGCTGTGATGTGCGCGTTACATTTTAAGCTTTGGGTCCATGCCAATTTTTTTTCAGGCTGTCGTCTTGGTATACCCATTCCTTTGGTTGAAGCTTTATCTCCAGCTATTCAAACAAAGAAAGTCTAAGCTTGGAAAATCGGAGATGCATCATGGCAAGAGAAAGAGAATGTGAAGTCCATTCCAGTTGTCTCACATATGTAATATCATCTTTGATTATGTGCATGCAATTAGCCTTAAAAAAAAAAGACACAAACCGTTAAACAAAACCATATCGTAGCATCATTTTGAACTCTTACTTCAAACCAGGAGAAACAGATGCCTTAATAAATAGAACTTTCATTAACTATCATTCTTGTTTTCACAAAGCCCAAAACTCCAAAATATAAACTTTTAACAGGTTTTCGTTTCTCAGTCGAAATAGTTATAAGTATAAAACCTGATAAGAGTTTTCGTTTTGACAGTCAAACTAATTAATTGTTTTCGGTTGTGGACGACGACGACGACGACGACGACCCAAATTATATTTCCATCATGGAACAAAAATGCTTACATTACATCTGCTGCAGCTTTGATTACCAGTCAACTACTCTACTCGTGCACCTCAAGGTATGTGTTCGCAATTAATACCCCCAAAAAAGTGCTCCATCTTCACATTTTGCAAGATCATTAAATTTTAAAATTCTAGAGAGAAACTATTCAAACCCTTGGACCGACTTTAATACCAAAGTTGTTATCAGAAAAAGTTCTTATTTATTGGCCGGACCGGAACTACCAATGAAAAAAATATAACTAAACTTTAGCCTGCAATTATTGTTCCAAAAAGGTTTAATCATCTTAGACTACTACTAGTATCTCCGATAAATTATAGTATTTATAATTTTGGTAATTGGTAAATGGTGTAGAAATATGGATTTCTTTACGACTTCATCCGCTATTATTAAAAACTTTTAAGTAGTAAATTGAAAATGGTTTTTTGGAAATTAAAACCATAGAAACAATATACTTTCGGTAGTTGGAATGAAATCATTCTAATGGTCAATAAAATGTGGTTAGAGACTGAACCCATCGGACAGCAAATAAAATGGTTGAGATGGAAGGCAGATTGTTGCCAACTGTGGTGGACCATGACCATTCTAAATATGGAACGATCGATCGTTACAAGGGTCGAAACAAAAGATTAATTTATGACAAAACATTTGAAGATATATATTCAATTTGAATGGATTTTGGTAGTCAGAGCAGTTAGTATCGTCAAGTCGACTTTTAGATGAAATCAATTCACAAGTGAAGACACGTGTAAATAGTTTTCAAGTTATGGTCTAAGTTATGAAAGATGAGTGTTGTCTATACATGACTTGTACTTGTTGCTATGTGCCGTCCAAGAAAATGACAAAATCACGAGTTCCTCAAATTTGATAGGCCAACTAAAAATGTAGAGTTAAGGCATAAATAGAGCTCACAAAACTGTAGAAATTAATAATATAGTTAATTTGTTGGGTTTTGTATATAGATTAGGATATAGAAGTCTCAAGGACTATTCTCTTTGTCACTTTATGGTTTGTGTTTTATTCACTTAGCTAAATTTTGTATATATATATTCGACTTCTTGTATAGAAAAATTAATCTTTTTGGTTACTTACAAATTCATTTACAGGTTCCACAAGTCTTTTCATAGTATGTATGTGGTGCAATAGCAAATGGTTAGATTTTAGCTATATTTAAAGTTTTTAACTACTGAAGCTTGCTATCTTGTTATATACTTATATCATAATTTTGAGCTAACTCATAAGTCATACTATAAAAGGTATTGAGCGAACTAAATGAATATATAGTTTTATAAAATGTACTAGTAGCAGTTTATGTAAATTGATAATTTAAGAAGTGTAAACGTCGAAAAGCAAATTGTGCGCCGTGAGCCGTTTTAAGTGGAAAATTAAAATATTTGAAGTGGTGTAATACTAAAATTCTTTATGAATTGAAATTCATACACGAAGCTCGATAAAATGTTTTGTATAATAGTGGTTTTGAGTATTATGTGCGAAAAGAATATTTGCATGAAAAATGAAATAGAGTGTACGATCAAAACTAAAGCTAGCTAATATAATGTAAGGAGGAATAAAGCTAATATATACGTTTATCGATCGTGGGGAAAACAAAAACATATATGCCACATTAAGATATCAAATATGGTTATTGGGCAGTCCACAAGCCAATCTAGTACAAGTATTAGTTGAAGTAGTTACATGCAAACAAAAATATACTGCGACCTAGATTGGACTTGTCTGAATTTACCCATCTTTTTGTAAGCTTGTTCATGAGAATCCGTTGCAATTATTTGTGTAATTAAATAAAAAATATGTGCTTAGGGATGTGTAACAAAGTCAATCCACAATCTCATATTACTATCACATTCATCTTCTTTTTAAAGTATGATTTACCATTTCTGAGCTTTAAGATAAAAAATTGAAACTGTCTCATGGAAGAAATTTAATTTATGTGATTTGAATAAAAGAAAGACTCCTTTTGACTTCATTGTCTCCCTTAACAAAACAAATAATAGTCACAGGCTCACAGTAATACATCCATTAATCATTATTAAAATTTTATCTATGCCCTTGTCATGAAAAAAAGATAATAAAAATGGAACGATGATTAGTGATTACTGTGCGTCTGTGACTATACATAATTGATTGAATAGTTGTTTTTTCCCCTCTAATAAGCTGATTTGATGCTTTTTCTAATTTTCATGTTGATATAACTAACGGTCTAAACCTACAACACTACTAAGATTTTCAAGGTTTTAATGACTAAAGTAAATATAATAAGTTTTCTTTTAATTATAGTACGTAGTAAAAAACCCGACAGTATTACATGTTTATAATAGTGCATAGTGTCACCAGCGTATATATATTGCATATATACAAAATATTTTTGAGAAATTTATTGTCTTGCAAGTTTGGAATTTTATTGTAAATAAATAATTAGTAATTTGTTGTTTCTATATATATAATATTGTTGTCGGCTGTGTTTATTAAAATAACTAAATCAAAGTTCAACAATCAACTTTTACATTTTTATTTGAATTATCTTTGTCACATGGGTTAACGACTTTTTAAAAGGATGTTCCATTGGAAAATAACAGATTTATTTTTCAAAATATTTTTACACTTGTGATATTTATATGTAAGTGCAGATACTATATATAGGTTCGCAAGCCAACAACCATTACAAAGAAGGAATCATTGTTAGTCCTAAAACAGAGTATAACAATTAACAAACCACAAGACACTGATCCATGGATGACTTGTATTGGCTTCATCAAGAGGTATCTATCATCTTCCTCCTTATCATCACCATCATTACTTTTACTTAATTTTTCTCATACCAATTTAAAAATATTTAAATGGCAGAGCTTTGATGAAATGAGGCAGAATCTACAGAACACTCTGTTCGAGCTAGAAACACTGAGAATGGAAGCGAACGAGAAATCAAGAACACACAGAGAAGAAGTGAACCAACTTCTCAATCTCCTCAAACTCACTCAGAAAGAACGAGATGAAGCTAGACAACAGTTATCACAGTTCCTCCTCATCCAAACCCAACAAAAGCATAATTCAAGAAGCATCACTGAATCAAACAGCTTCTCTCAAGATGTATCTACTTCTTCTTCTCCTTCTTCCTCAGAACTCTCCAGCTTCTTCAATATCCATCCTCAGCCACCGTTGATGAATCTCGAAGATCCAACGTCTCATAATCATCATCAGGTCGATCCTCTTGACGTTCTTGTGATGGGGAAAGCCTTTCCAGAATCGGGGAAGCTTTTGAAAGCGGTGGTTGAAGCTGGACCGCTTCTTCAAACGCTTCTTGTGGCTGGACCGCTGCCCAAATGGATAAACCCACCGCCTCAAACGCAATCGCAGCGTTTTGAGTTACCCCCTGTCTCGTTCAGAGGGTCCGATGTTAATAATAATAGTAGTTCTGGTTCTCTGACTTGTTCTGGTTCAGTCAATAGATTTGATTTCGGTCCGAGTTCGGTTATTGATCAATCAATGTTAACCGGAAAGAGGCAGAGATTAGAGTAGCTAATTAATTCTAAGAGCAGTTTTTGTAAGTCGGGTGATATTATTTCGATTATCAGGTGACAAACATTGGGAGATTCATAAATTATTAAGTTGAAAATAAAGTGAAAGAGAAACTAAAGCATATGTATAGATGGAAAATATAAATTGAACTAGGAAAGTTTTAGAATACCTAACAATTTTATTTAAAGCATAATGTTCTTTCGATTATTAGAGATTATTATAGTGCGATCAAGGAAACAGGTTTCCGTGAATCGATCGACAAGGTTAAATTATAGAGATCTATTTACAGCATCAACAAGATTATTATTAGTTAATTACTATAAGATAAATTTATATATTAGGATGCTGCGCAATGATGCTTTCTTTGTAACTCTGTCTCTCTACTGGATATTGAAACGAAAGTCGTGCTCTTTCCATTCACCATTTGTGTCCCTGTACCTCTCAAAGAATGTTACTCCCCCTGTGCGTTCCACGGCCAATGCTGTCGTACTTGTTGTTCCAAAGCGTATCCTATCTTCAAACTGAAGTGAAATGAAAAGAAAATTTAACGAATGATGATGGTACGGTACGAACGAGGAAGGATATATCATAAAAACGTTAGATCAAAATTTCTTACTACTTGTTTGTTATGGTGAAATGCCGAAAATTCAACAAACACCGTTCGCCGACCTTCTGCGCCAGGGCTACCCATAAAGTTCCAAGCAAACTCCTGAAGCAGTGGTAGCTGATCGTTTCCGAGAGCACCAATCATCTGAGTAAAATGGTTTTCCAGGAGTGAATCCTGCGAAAAGAAAAAGAAAAAGGAAAGAGGGTTTGAAAGATGTAGAAAACTATACGAATGTGTTTTTGGACCAAACAAAAAAAAAAAGAAAAGAAAGAGGAATGCCTTGTCCTGTAGTTAGTTAACAACAAGACACTCTGTTGTAACTTGATTACCTTGGTAGAATGTGAATCGAGACCGTAGTAAGGAGAAAGAGTGTGCACACCAAAGGGAACGGTTCGTATATTGACATCGGTCTCGTTTAAGGCGCGTTTCCTTATACAAACCATTGAATTCAAAGCCATGTCTGCGACTACAAGGCAATAGGTCCTCTCTTTATGTTCAGCCGCTTCACGCTCTGCCAAATTGCGGGCAAACTCCAGTGGACTCAAATCGCTCTGCATTCAAACAAAGAATGGAAACCCCGTGTTATTATTATTTTAAGATATCCATTATAAGATTATACTGTATGTCTCATTATAAAAAAAAAAAAAAAAAAGAACAAAGAAACAAACCTCCAAGAATAGAATGGGATACAACTCGCCGCCACTGTAGTTTAGATCAACGGCGTCTCCCAACAACTGGCTACTCATGAGAAACGCCACTCGGCCTCGTTGACGCGAAATAGCAAACCACGTTCCGTTGTTGTCTACGCTCCGACCACTCAAATTCTGACCTTCCCAAGACGCCCCATTTATGACCCTGTTTATCCATCAGACAGAAACCACAGAATAAAATTTCATCAACATTATAAACGTACGTACAAAAGAAGCGATCGGAATGAAAATGTTTTAAACTTGCCTGTTTGCCCAATTGTCTCTGTTCATCACAAGAGTCAGCCGGTTGTTGCCTTCCTTTGCCCAGTTGAATGCTACGATCCCCATTTTTCTTGTTTGCTATTTGAAAATGATCTCTTGCTGATCTGTGTTGTTTCTTTTGTATTGATGTTTTGAGTTGTGAACCCCTCCTCCTCTGTTTTTATAGCCGAGAGAGATGATGATCTCTGCTCTGCTTTTTCCTTTACTTGTTCTTCTTCCACCACACGCTTAAGAACTTCTTTTATCCATTTCTGGATATATAGCTTTTCCCGTTGTTTTTCGTCACCATCCATCATACTCTCTCCCTCATCCAGTAGTAACCCAGGAACCGTGTATGTGTGGTGCAATTTACCTTTACAGATGTGTAAAACGAACAAAAAGTGGCACAATGTTGCTATTGTAAGTAAAAATGGAAGTGTTGCAGAGTTTCAACGTTTTCAACATTATTCCACTTTTGCTCTCTAGCTTTTTCCTCCTGGAGGTTGAGTGATGGACGAGTCACATATGTGTACAAATGCATGGTTTCTCGTAGAGCACACAAGTTTAACAACTCAAATGATCCATACTATTCTTTGGTCTTTAGCTTGCTTTTGGTGGTTGTTTGGATTCTAGTGCTGATTGTGTAAGGAGGAGTCGAAATGTGTGTGTATAACAATTCAGAACTACTTGCTTGTGTAAGGATGAGTCAAAATGTGTGTGTATGTCCAACAATGTAGAACCACTTTTTTACTAATTTTGAGAGAGATTGAAACGAAGACGCTTACAGAATAACACGACGATGGAGAGAATTTGGACCTGATGAGAAGGAAACTATGGTTCGGTTTAATTATATCTCATCGAGGATTTAATCGGTTTGCTTTTCGATGATCCGGTTCGATCTGGATTTAGTTATTTTTCTAGGGCTTCTTATTTTAAAATCTTCGGTTTAGAAGAAATTGCTGTATAAATAATATGTGAGAGCTCTTGCATTTACGTATCCGCCGCCATTACTAAGGATTTCATTTGATCCTGAAGGACATATATATATATGGATCTACTTCGTCTTTGCTTTGTTGTATCTCTAGTCTTAGATTTTCGCTTATATTCATTGTTCAATTAGATTAAGGCTTTTTTTTTAATGTGCAGTGTTATTGCCTGAATTGATTACAGCTTTTTTATTTATTTCTGAGTTAGGATTAGAACTTATGTATGTGGTACAGAGAGAGAGCAGATGATGGGATACACTTGATCTCTGAATTTCACAGGTAAGTTTGCTTGTTGATAACTACTGGTTTGCTGATGCTCTCTCTCTCTCTCGCCTGATTGAGTTTTTAATTCCTGAGATTGATTATGTGAGACGTTGCTGTTATGAAGTCATGATATTATGAGAGATATTGATTTCTAGTTTTAGACATGAGTACAGGAAGCAACTCGAGGAATGATTGAATATGAAGTTATTAGTTCATTATACACTGCAATAGGATCTTTAGAAAATGCATCAAATATGTTTGATGAAATGCCTGAGAGAAACTTAAATTCACTGAAACTTTATTGTAATGTGAGCGGATTTTGAAGCATTTTTTTGTGAAGTCTATTTGTCTGGTTCAAGCAATCAGGTAGCGACAAGTGGAGCAAGTGCGTGCCATGATGAAGAAAAGAAGCACCGATTGCTGTCATTTGAGAGATGGAGCATCAAAGAATGAATTCGATTACTGTTGTTCCAAAGAATGTTTATTTTTTTCCTGCATAACTTGAAATGTAATTATGGTTGATGTTTACACAAGAATGAATCAATTATAAATACAAATTTTCATAAGTGTTCCTTTCTTATTTAACTTAAGCCAAAGGGTGATCGTTATTAGAGATATAAATGTGACCCATCTTCTTGCGTTTGGTCTCCATATATCTTCTGTTCTCCTTGGTGATTGGTGTCACCACTGGAACACGGCCAACCACAGCGAGTCCGTATCCTTTCAGACCGGTGAACTTCGCGGGGTTATTCGTCATTAGTCTCATTGTTCTTACTCCTATGTCTCGTAGCATCTACATTGGACCAACGTAAACCCAATAGAAGCAAGAGAAATTAATTATATTATCGATCAATGGCTAAGAGTTGTTCGTAAAATGTAACCAAACCGAACTGGTATAATATGGCTGACCTGAGCACCGATACCGTATTCACGAGAATCAATGGATAGACCAAGTTCAACATTGGCCTGAACTGTATCGTGTCCTTCATCCTGCAAGTTATAAGCTCTAAGCTTGTGACCAAGGCCAATGCCTCTTCCTTCGTGGCCACGGAGATACACGACGACTCCTCTTCCCTCTTTCTCGATTAGCTGCATGGCTAATTCCAATTGGTTTCCACAATCACATCGTGCTGAGCCAAAAATGTCTCCGGTTAAGCACTCTGAATGCACTCGTACCAGAATGTCTTCACCATTTCCGACGTTTCCCTGGTCATTATTCAGACAGAAACAAACACAAGACTGGTCTTAAAATCGAAAGCCCAAGATTTAGAAGCAAGTGGTGCTTGAGTTTATACCTTAACGAGGGCGATATTTTCGGTTCCATCAAGTTTAGATCGATAACAATAAGCTTGGAAAAGACCCCATTTGGTAGGCAAACGAGACACTGTGATTCTCTCCACAAGCTTATCTCGCTTTCTTCGATATCTATAATTATATCACACGTCAGAAAATTACTTGTATCCAGAGTTTTCTACCTTTCCAATACATCGTCTTCTTAGTTTCTAACCTGATTAGATCAGTCAATGATACAATAGGAATGCCGTGTTCTGTTGCAAGCTTTTTCATATACGGTAGAGAAGCCATTGATCCATCTTCTTGATCAAGCATAGCTGAAAGAACAGAGACAGGACGTAGACCAGCCAAGATCATTAGATCCACTGAAGCTTCAGTATGACCAGCTCTCCTTAAAACTCCACCGTCTCTGTACTTGAGAGGGAACACATGGCCAGGCCTCCTGAAATCTTCTGGTTTAGCTTCGAGAGACGAAAGTGCAAGAACCGTCATTGCTCTGTCTGAAGCTGATACTCCAGTAGATGTTCCGGATTTTGCATCCTTGTAACCACGAAATTAATTAGAACTCAGAAAGAAGCAATGAGAACACCTCTCTAAGAATCATATCTAGTTATGCAAAATGGCTACCACAGTGATGGTGAAAGTTGGAGCAGAGGAATCTTCATCTTCCATTTCAGGTGACATGAGTGTAAGGCTTAATCTTTCGAGGTCTTCTTTCTTCATCCCAACTGAGACAATCCCAGAACCATTCTTAATCAAAAACGCTATGTCTTTTGGACTCGTAAGAGTTGCCGCCATGATCAGATTACCTTCAACTTCCCCATTCTCATCGTCAACAACAATCACAAACTGAAAAAAACATGAAGTAAGACCTAATCCATACAATTGAAAAAAACAAATCATGATCAAATGGTCTTCAAGAGAATCTCAAAAGGACAAACCTTTCCTTGACGTAGAGCTTGAAGAGCAAGTTCAATAGAGGAGTAACCTTGAGTAGGACAATCTGGATCACCCTCTGCGTCACTCACGAAGAAATCATCAGTCTCAGGCGTGATTTCCGCGCCAACTGTCTCAAATAGCGACCCATCAGCTCTTCTCGGAGGACTTTCATCGAACACGTTACGATCACCATTCCCACTAGCCTTAATCTCCCAAATTGAACCATCATTCAGTCTCCAGCAAGTATTAGCAAACCTAGGAGACCTGTATGAGCCATTGATGAAACTGTGAGCAAAAAAGATTCGAGGATGATATAAAGCAGAATCCATCTACGTGATGAAACATATATCTCTCTATTCGTCGTACGACTCGCTGCTTCTCGTCTCCTAGAATTGTTTCTAGCACAACCCAATGGAAAATTTTCAGACATTTTAATTTTTTAAGGTAGGAAGAAAAAACTCACGACCACGAGTTTAGGATTTATCTTCTGTTGTCCTCATCGTACTAAAGTGGTGTTCCTCACGGGGCCACACGTTGATCGTGAAGAACCATCACATAAACGGAAACCTTCTTTCTCGTTTAGAAGTGTTTGACCTGTGTCTCGTTGCTGACGTGGCGTGTACTTAGAAAACATCAACGAACAGAACTTTAAAAAGGGCGGAAATAAAGGAAAAAAGGAAGAGAGAAAGAGGACGGTGGAGCAAACGGGATCGAGACGGAGGGCTCGCCGGATAATTTATTGCGGTTAACATCTTCCAAAAAGAAGAGAGAGTGAGAGTTTAGAGACAAATTTTCTCCGATCTCACCGGATCAGACGCTGTATTGTGTCATATCCGCCGCCTAGTTTTGAAATCTCCGAGCTCAAAGGTGTGTTACAGTCACTAGACACTGTGGTTACACACGTTTAGATTACGAATGGGAGCTTGTATTGTGTGATTATATTGGTTAATTTATGTGTTCAGAGGTGGATGGGCCATGGCTGAGCCGGAATCAGTAAACGGAGTGAAAGAGAACAAGTTATGGAAAGGTGTATTCGCAGTTTCCGGCATTATGTCTACTCTTGTTATCTATGGTGTTCTTCAGGTCTGTCTTGTTTTCAAGATACATTTTTTGGAAAATTTTCTTCCTTTTCTTCTGTTGTCTATATGATTTGAAGTTTCTTTGTGGGGATTTGTTTTGCCTTTGTAACGTTGTAGGAGAAGATAATGAGAGTTCCTTATGGAGTAAACAAGGAGTATTTTAAGCACTCTTTGTTTCTTGTTTTCTGCAATAGACTCACTACATCAGCTGTCTCTGCTGGTGCTTTACTGGTAACTAGCAAAATAAATCCAACTTTGTGTTTTATATTCTTACTTATTGCCAAAGTTGTTAAGAATCCTTTTTGAGTTTTTTTAATTTGTAGGCAAGCAAGAAAGTTTTGGATCCTGTAGCTCCAGTTTATAAATATTGCCTTATATCAGTGACTAACATCTTAACCACAACATGCCAATATGAGGTATATTTTTATCTTTCACCTCCAGCTTTTAGTTTATGGACTTTGAATGACTACTTTTATAATTATTGCTTGTGTGCTATCTGTTATGCCTTCAGGCTCTCAAGTATGTGAGCTTCCCAGTCCAAACTCTTGCTAAATGTGCCAAGATGATTCCTGTAATGGTAAGTTGTAACATTCTTTCCATTGGTAAGAGATGGAAACTCATGCGTTTGAGTTTAGTATCAACATTCTTATATTTGTGCTCTATGCAGGTATGGGGAACACTCATCATGCAGAAGAGGTACAAGGGCTTTGACTACTTAGTGGCTTTTCTTGTGACCCTTGGCTGTTCTGTATTTATTCTTTTCCCGGTTTGAACCTGCTCTATACTCCCAATCATTATAGAGGCCTCAGTTAGTTAAAGTATCACAATTACCAGGAACATCCAGGTTAGATGGGCTGATATTTGTTTATGTGAATCTGAGTTGTAGGCCGGAGATGATGTTAGTCCATACAATAAGGGAAGGGAAAATACTGTTTGGGGTGTTTCCCTTATGGCTGGTTATCTCGGGTATGTGACTCTGTGTAACTCGTTGCACTGATTATATATTGAGGTTTTGTTTTCTGGTTTCAAAAATAGGAATCTCGATACTTCGAATCATGATTGTGTATATGGTAATTGGCTAACTGACAGGTTTGATGGCTTTACAAGCACATTCCAAGACAAACTTTTTAAGGGATATAATATGGAGATACATAACCAAATATTCTACACAACACTTTGTTCTTGTGTTCTGAGTTTCACTGGTGAGAATCTTACATGTGTTCTGAGTCGCATCTTTTTCTGTCAAGTCATCTTCTCTGGACACTGGACCATTGATCTTTTTCCGTTGTGGTTCACTCCGGCTGGCCGTTTTCCCCAAGAAGGAGACTTTTCTACTCCTCTTTATTTGTTTTTTTTTGGTCATATATGACTACTGATTCAAACTTTAGCTGTAAATTACTAGGCTACTGTTGGCTTATATGTTAGTTGCGTCCTTTGTTTCTGAATGTGTTTCTTATGGTCAGACTTCATCTCTTCTTAAAACCTCGGTACTTAGACCCTGAAAAAGAAGGTCACTATCTGTTCAATCATTCTTCATTCTAATAATTCTGTAAATTCTTATGTTTAATGTAGGACTCATATTGCAAGGGCATTTACTCCCAGCTGTAGATTTTGTTTCTCTGCATAGGGATTGTTTACTCGACATCGCTCTGCTTTCCACAGTAAGTTTAATTTGCTTCTATTATCTACTTAGTCATTACATTACCTTGTTGTTTTGTCCAAGCTAGTCTGATTGTTTTTTTTTTTGTAGTCTAAGGTCCAATAGATGCATGTTTAATTCATGATTCCCACTGATTGATTCCTCTCTTGACTCTTTATTTCCCACTGAACTAGACTAATAATGTGCAGGTTGCAACAGCAAGTCAGTTCTTCATTTCTTACACAATTAGGACATTTGGTGCTCTAACATTCGCTGCAATCATGACGACGAGACAGGTAGAAAGAAAACTCGATCTCAATCTGGCTAATCCATCTTAATAACTAGCAACACGTTCTGTTTCTAATTTGACAAATCTGTCCTTATAAAGCTTGCAAGCATCATGCTCTCATGCATTTGGTTTTCTCATCCTCTTAGCTGGGAGCAATGTATCGGATCGGTATATATTTGATTCTTGTACATTTTCTGGAACTTTACGTTATACATTTAATTCTCTGACTAACCGAGTTTGCTCGATCAGGTCATCGTTTTCGGGTCTTTATACGCGAAAACCTTAATGAACAAGAACAAAAAATCACAAACGCAGCCACCGCCTCCAGAGCTTCCTCAATACCAAAAGGCTGAGAACTCTTAACGGAATATTTAACACCATTAAGAGGTTTTTGCTCTTGATATATCCCTCGGAACAAAAGAAAAGGAAACTAGCCTTTAGGGAACTGAAACTAGGATTCATATTATCTATTTGTTTCATCTTTCTATAAAATTTTGTTGGAGAGTTAGTTATATATCGTATTATGAATAGATGAGTTTACTCCTTTGTGGATGAAATTTGAGTTTCTTGTTGGTTAGTAGACCGTAGCAGAAAAAGATTGATGGTAGTGGAAATGTTATACATTCATTGTCCTGGTTTAATTATACTTTGACTGTTTCAAGTAAACCATTGACGAAAAAGAGAAAAGGCTATATTTTGGATGAGCCGAACAAGGCCCAATCTTAAAAGGCCACATTATGGGCTAAACGAGTACAACAAACAAACAAAAGCTTCGGCTTATTAAAAAAACATCACAATCCTTCAGCTTTTCTACGTTCTTCAGCCATTCTTTTCTTGATCTCATGTGCTGCAATGAAAATCCCCAGTGTTGGTTGGTTACACACAAAGCACTTCTTGTTCTTCGTGTGATGCTGCATCATTACAAGAACAATTTCTTTAGTTTCACAAACCAAAAAAAAAAAAAGAAACAGAGTCATACATAATTGTGATTTAAGTTATGATCATACCTTAAAAGCACAATGCTCACAGAAGTAATGTTTGCATTTGGTGTCTTGGTGACAACTGGATCAACGAAAGGCTCTCTGCAAATGAATCAAGCAAAGGGCAGTGCATCGTCGTCTTCGTCACTATCGTTTCGTTGCCAGCCTCATCATCTTCATCCTCAACTCCCATTGCTTTACTCTCTTCCTAATTTTCTCTGCTTCTTCCCATTCTTTCTCTATTTGCCATCCTGGTTTGTAATCCCCACGGTCATGCAAGAACTTGCAAGAATCTCCATACCCACAGTATCCGCATCCGGTTTCTTTGTAATCCTTGCAAATATCTGCTCTTCCCATCAATAAATTAAAAAAAAAAAAAAAAAAAGATTGATGGTAGTGGAAATGGTATTCTTTTACACAAGTTTGCGTAACCAAACAGACATGATATATCCAGGTATCGAAACAAAGACTCAAATAGAATCATTATTTGTATATATCTTAAAAAAAAAAACGAATCCAAATTCACATAAAGGTTTAAAAAGTGTTCTAAAATTTTAAAACAAACGAAAGAGTTCAATTTTAGATACCAAAACTGAAAGATTATAAAATCAGTTATAGTAGTTAATTTGGTTAGAACTTTCAGTTGACTTCTAACAGCAAGAGTGCAAGACTTTCCTTTCTCGTCACTTTGCAATTTGCTTATAATAATAATAAAAACCTTTTTTGTATTTCTATTTTATTATTCTTCAAAACATTTTGAATCCTGATTATAGCAGTATCATCATATTGTACCTGGTCGTCATCAGAAGAATGATTCAAAGAAGAAAGTGATAACGAATTGATCTAGCTAGTAAACGTTATAATAAGGTCTTCTCCTACTTTTTTTTCCTTTAAAATGGTTCTTATATATAAGGACTATTCTTAATTTCTACACATGCTTGACTACTTCAAACGAAGATATCATAAGTACCCTAGAGAAAAATTTTAGTTTTTGATCAAGAAAAGAGGAAAACGTGACTATTTAAGTTTTTACTTGTAAATTAAAGGGTAATGAGAGAAAAGTTAGGTCGTTAACTGTATTGTAAGTTTCTACAGACTCTGCGAAAAAGAAAATTAATCAAAAGTGTGTGCATACTTACGTTCTATATTATGGTTCCTTAACTTGTATTTATCAGTTCGAGTACGTATGGTACTATTTACATATTTTATCATAACCGAAGGATTGAAACAAAAAAAAATAACACTCAAAGGAGGAGACTTGTTCTTGAGGAAGTTATAAATTCGTAAACATACAACGACGACGTCAAAACAAAAAAAGGTCCAAAATTCACACCTTGGACTATACTAAATTAATGTTCAAAAACAATCAACATCGCATCACAGATTGGTTAAATTTTATACGGTTTTATTATATGTACAGAAATTAATACTTGGTCTTCAAATCTAAGAATAATTAATATCAAAAGAAAGCTTATATATAAGTATAGGACAAATAATGTTGCATGACGCGTAGTTTTTCGTTCAACTCACACAATATAGCTCATTCAAAGTCAAACGGTGCTCTATATAAGGAAGGTTTTACCTACACAAGCTGCGTAATTAATACACCTACAATGGCTACGTACGTATGTGTGACTATTTCACACACACATCTCATTCTCCTGTATGCATATTTTTTTTTCAAAACTGTTATGAATAAATTAGAAGGACCTATATAGCTAATATATACACGTAGGTACACGGGAGTGATTTCCTTTAGGTCCGTGGATTGTATTATACGTTGCCATATTCATGTCATGTGAGAAATTAATATTCAAAATTACGTAGAGAAACATAAGTCATCGCGCGTAGGCTACATAACTGGTGCATGACTTTCGTTTGAGATCATGTGAAGTTTTCATTTTGTAGATGTATAACAGAAATCGAGTCTTACTTTGTGCACTTTCACTCGTATACGTTTTTAGTAGGAAGCAAATCCAAATTGTTGTGATTCCTAGGATTCGTTTGGGTTTTGTCTTGTGATTGATTACCCGATTAAAATGATAAAAAGAAAACAATAAGATTAGGTTTATGAATGAAAATGTACACATATATGGTGATGCATGACAAGAAGAATCAGTCTAATATGATGCATGTGCACAATGGATAGTTTTTGGAAAGATGACGATGAAAACATATGGTTTGGAATGGATCTTATACCCAGTATATAGACTGGTGTGATGATCAAGCTTTCTTGACCTTAATTTCGCCGTAGGATATGTATCCCCGCTCCATTTTTTGGAACTAATGAGGATTCTCACACATCACAATAGACGTAATGTTTATTTTATGACGAATTCAATGGATATGGTTTGTGTATAGCTAGTGTCAAACACTGAGATTTGACAGGCATTTGTCCATAATTTAAAATGCCGCTTTAAATCAGCCAAAACTAACTCATAACCAGTCTTATTAACCAAAAAATTGTATCAAACTCGTTCAGTTTTTGTTTTTTTTTGGGGGGGTGGGGAGGATTTACTGTGAATTGGTTACAATATCAAACTTTTACATCGAAACACTCTCTTAGGTTGTGAGAAGAGAGCTAGCAACATCTCACAGGAATACCGATTATGATATCGACTGTTTATGCTAACGTAAGAAGTGAACTAGCTAGTGATCACATTAGAACAAGCATAGTAAGATGATATCTCAATTTAATTATCACAAAACAACAAGATGATATTCTATTATACTCAATTATTCAAAGGTAGTCTTTGAAAGACTATCTCCATCCATAATAATAGTAATGACACAAGTTATTTTGTATAGACCCGTAAATAAACCGGTCAAACGTTACAAGGTCAAATTCTTAATTTTTATATCACTCGTCTCGGACCAAAAGAAAAACAAATATACAAAAAAACTAATAAGTGCTAAAAAAAAGAGAACAAGTGGGTCGGCTGGCTCTTGTCTAATCCAAGCCTACAGGGGACATGGGGAGGAATGAGGACCACCAACCATATATAATCAGGTTTTGAATTGCATGACTGGTTTGAGACTTTACCTTTATCCTAGTCGGCAACTTCCACTCCCGACTCACGTTTTACTTATGGTGAGTCGAATCCCATCTCTTTTTTAGATTCTCTTGTCTTTTTCACAGTCTTGTCCCGTTTTTATTTTAGACTTTATTTAACACCTTTTCCACCACAAAATTAAAAGAAATAAGAAAGAATTATTGTAATATTTCTGTTCGTTAACTAATTTACAGAAACTAATAATAACATAGATTTATATTCTTCAGAGTTCAGACACATAATTACATATTTGAAGACCATGCCTATCTTCGTCACGTTGAAGTTTTGTTAACTTCCATTGCCTTTAATTGTCGGTTGAATAAGCTGTTTAGTTAAAAAGAATGGTCGGTTAATTACTGTCATTTTATATCATTTTATCGAATCACTTAAAATAACTGAGACAACAGGACGTTTATTCGATCATATAAATATATACCGAGTTAAAACTTATAAAAACACATATTGATTTTCGAGTCGAGTCATGTAGATAATTTATATATTTGTTGTCACATAAACCACTAACACATTTAACAATAACTAGCGGTAAGACAATATATTAAAAAAACACTGTGTTGACAAATCATCTGGTTTCCTTTAACTAATTACAATAAGTAAAACTATAGTAGACGGAATAGAGTTTAATGTAAGATGTAATTTAACGTTTTCTGTGTCCTAAATTGATTGTTTTGAAAAATTCACAACAAAAGTCTGACTGCGGGCATATCTAATTGCTATAATTAAGATAAAATATGAATCACAAGACTCTTAATTTGATTGTTAAGCGTATATTAAACATATGAAGAAAATGAATTTTATACAATAAACATATCCTTATTTTATAAATGGGTTTATACATAGATGGAAAATTGTGGATTGCCTTCTTTTGCAGGGTCTATAAAAAAGGCATAATTAAAAGATGGAGAAAAAGATTAGGAATAGTGTTAGTCGTGTTATGGCCAATTTTAGTATCTTTGAACATCTCTCTAGTAAAACAATCTGTGGATTTTTCATTTATGTGGCGGCAGGAGACGTCATAACATAAATATTCAACTTATCAACAGACACAGAAAGAGGGAACCTTCCTCAAAAAAGTCATAATATAGAGAGCTAATTCTAACTAAATTTATTGTAAAAAAATGCTAATTAACAGTTGCCTACATTCTATAATGGGAGGATCCAAACAAATTATTTATACAATACAGAAGAAAACAAGCTGTTCCAATTATTATCACAACAAGATTTTGATGTGTCTTGTATGAGATTTGTGCACGAGTGGGTTTCCTAGAATTTTAAGATCATCCAGTTATATGATATATATATATATATATAGTCTTCTATGTTGATTTTGGTTTTGTTCATTTGGTTCTTCAACAACTCTTTTAAAAAATAATTGTTTATAGTTTCATCAACAATTATAGATGACGTACTTAGTACTACTTAAACCAAACAAAGCCAATGATTTTCAGCTTAAATAATATACTAGCGGATCTATGTACTAGCAGCAGTAGTTTTTGGCAATTTCGTGACATTTCAGGTTCACAGCTTTAGGATAATAACAGTTTATAATTACGAATCCAATTAAAAAAGAAAAAAAAGTAATGCATTCTTTTTGGTTGGTGTAAAGTGTAAAAGATCAACTATACGAGTACTAAAATTTACATTTATTAATATCAGTAATTAATATAGTAGTACTCCTTGTCGAAACGGTAACTTTTACAAGATTTCACACAGCTGCAGATGAATGAAAGGCAATAAATGTAAAAAAAATAAAAATTCGTCAGAATTGACTAAAGTAACCTTTTCCATTTGACTTTGCCCAATGTCTTGTCTTAATTGACACCGCGTTTGACTAATCAATCAATTCTCCTCCACATATATCTATACGTACACTCACATATACTTTTTTATACGTATATATCTCTCCCTCTCTCTACTTCCCCATTGAACAAGCCCTCGTTTCTATAATCATATATATACAGTATATTGCTTCTTCCTCCACCTTCCTCCTCATCTTATCTATAATATATATATACTCCTTCACTTGCTTACAAACACCAAACACCAAAACCCACAAAGTTGTAATAAAAACAAAAAAACCCAAAGCATACAGAGAGAGACCACTAAAACAAAACAAAAAAAACAGAGCAAATCACAGAAAACAGCAAGGAAATGGGGAAACACTTATTCCGATCATCTCCACCGCCTGAGAAACAACCAGCTCATCTCACCCTCGCCGAAACAGCTGTTCAAGAGTGTATGAGCAACATCAACGCCGTCATATCTAAATGGACTTCTCCTCCTTCCTCTTCTTCTTCTTCTCCCTCCCCCTCCCAAGAAGAGTTCCTCTTTTCCACCAACAGCCGCCGCGAGGCAGAGGAGTTCGTTGAAGCCGTTAGACATTTACAGAGCACTATGCACCGTTTGGTTGCCGTTAACCCTTCCTCGGATAAGCTCATCTACGCTCAGAATCTGATGCAGTCTGCGATGAAGCTTCTTGAGTCTGAGTTCTTCCGTGTCTTGAAAGCCAACCGTGAGTATCTAGACCCTGAATGCGTCTCCGTTCGTTCTTACAGATCTTCGAGATTCAGCACTTCGACTACGGTTAGTATCTCCGATTCAGAAGACGAAAGCACTTACGAAGAGAACGCCGAAGAAGAGCATCGATTCTCCGGTGGTGATACCGACGCCATGGATGATCTCAAGATGATTGCTGATTGTATGATCTCTACCGGTTACGCTAAAGAATGCGTCAGGGCTTACAAGACCGTACGGAGATCGATCGTTGATGAGACGCTGCACAACCTGGGGATGGAGAGGTTCACTCTCCATCAGATTCAGAAGATGGATTGGGAGGTTCTTGAATCCAAGATCAAGACATGGTTAAAAGCTGTGAAATTAGCTGTTCGTTCTCTCTTCTTCGGTGAGAGGATCTTAGCTGATCATGTTTTCTCATCCTCTGGTCCGATCGTTGAATCTTCCTTCACTGAGATTACTCAGGAAGGAGCTTTGGTTCTCTTCACTTTCCCGGAAAATGCTGCGAAAATCAAGAAACTTTCACCTGAGAAAATGTTTCGGTTTCTCGATATGTACGAAGCTCTTGCGAATCTCTTCGTTGAGATCGAATCGATTTTTTACTTCGAGTCAGCCGCGCCGGTTAGGTCTCAGGTGATCAACTCGTTATCTAGACTCGGCGATGCTGTGAGGTTGATGATGAACGATTTCGAATCTGCGATTCAGAAAGAGACCTCGAAAACTCCCATCATCGGCGGTGGTGTTCATCCTCTGACTCGTTACGTTATGAATTACCTCTCCTTCCTCGCCGATTACAACGAATCAATCGCCGCGATTTTCGAAAACTGGCAGCCAACCACACCGGCTCCGTTGCCGGATTCTTTGTTCCTCAACGGCGGCGATGAAGCTCATCCGGCGGATTTGTACTCTTCTCCGGTGTCTTTACGAATCGCGTGGGTGATTTTACTAACGCTTTGTAAAATCGACGGTAAAGCTCAGCCGTACAAAGACGTCGCTCTGTCTTATCTCTTCCTCGCTAACAATCTCCAATACGTCGTCGTTAAGGTCAGATCGTCGAGCCTGAAGCTGCTTCTCGGTGACGAATGGTTGGTCAAGCACGAGGAGAAGGTGAAGCTTTACGCTGATAAGTTCGAGAAGCTAGCGTGGGGGAAAGTGATGGACTTATTACCGGAGAATCCGGCGGAGGAGTTTACGCCGGAGGAGGCTAAGGAGGTGGTCACTAGGTTCAACGATGAGTTCGAGACGTCGTACCGGAAACAGACATCGTGGGTTATACCCGACCCGAAACTAAGGGACCAGATTAAAATCTCGGTGAGCCAGAAACTTACGCATGGTTGTACCGAGTTTCACCAGATGAACCGGTCCGGTTTGGTTGGAGAAAACGAGGCTGTTCTCAGATATACCCCTGAAGATATTGGTAATTACCTCTCGGACCTTTACTTTGGGTCTAGAGGTTCAGGGAGTGTTTCGACAAAAGGATCCGGATCTGGAACTGGATCCGGTACCGGTTCGTCGACTACGGGTACTTCTCGTGGTGGACGTAGTCATTGAATCGACTGAGATATTTTGATTATATTATTAGTTTTTATTATTATTATTCATTTTTAAAAAAAATATTAAAAACTTGTGTGGTTACAGTGATGTAAGATCGTATTCGTATCCGAAATCTCTTTTTCTTAAAGTTACGTGGGGTGTGTACATATGTTAAATTATTGAATTCTCCTGTTTTTTTTATATCAATCATTCTATTCTAATTTGGAATTTTTTGATATATTAACGACATGAAGATTTAATTAGGAGATAGTATACGTAAAAGACAATATGTGATTAGCTCTCACTCATGTCTGCTTTTAATTAGTGACTATGGGTCTGAGTTTGTTGACTGTCTGTAAATTTGTGGTTGGTACATAACTCCAAGTTGGTACGAGTCCGTCCACACATTTTGAATGCAAGTTGCTTGACGAATACATACGAAGCTGACATTAGTACAATAATTTTGTAGAAAATACAGAGATGGCCAATGGGGAGGACTATGGGAATCTAAAACTGGTTACACTCTTTAATGCTTCTAATTAGGCTATTCCCAATACCCAAATCTACGTTTATATATAATTCAGATCTCCTCATAATGTGCAAGGTGCCATGTTTGAGATGATTTGTGTTAGCGGCTTTTAGCCCTACTTTTCCTTCTAACTTTATTTCGCAATATAGAATTATATAGATCATGAAATAGCCATCAGCCATGCCTGAAAATATTATCGTTAGGAGGCCCATGGAATATATATAGGTGACCCCTTATCTCTTTTTTACTTTATGGTCGTCAGCCCCATCTTATCTTTAATCAATTAATCATATTCCATAATCCCATAGAATAGTCGTTTATTATATGGTTGAAATTTGGAAGGAAGATGGAATTAGGGGAAGAAAAAGCCTAAGTAACGCTGGAGCAGATAATATAATCCGCGACTGATTAATTATAGTTTTTATTCATTATAATAAAGATTTTACATTCATATGATTTCAGAAAAAGGGACAATCTCACAAAATAACAAACCAAAACACACCACAAAGTTAAGCACACAAGCTTTTTTTATTTCACACACCATATCATCATCATCATCATCATCTTCATGTTGAATTAGCCGGAGATATCAATCGACTTGACTTGAGGCTTCTTCTCCGGTGCTTTCGGAACCATAACCGTGAGCACACCGTTCTCCATTGTAGCCTTCACTTCTTCCATCTTCGCATTCTCTGGCAACCTAAACCTCCTCATAAACTTCCCACTAGCCCTCTCCACACGGTGCCAAGTGTCGTTCTTCTCCTCGTTCTCCTTGCTCCTCTCTCCGCTGATCTGAAGAACGTTCTTGTCTTCAACCTCTACCTTCACTTCCTCCTTCTTCAGCCCTGGCAAGTCCGCTTTGAACACGTGTGCCTCCGGCGTTTCCTTCCAGTCCACTCTAGCGTTTGTAAACGCTGCCACGTCTCGAGCGGGTGCAGCGTTTGCTAACGCAGAAGATGGCGTGAAGAGTCCTTCAAATGGATCCCATACGTCTTGCGAGAAAGGATCAAAGACGTTTGATCGACGTCCTCCCAAAATGCTTGGGATTAGAGACATCTTGTTGGTTGCTTTTCAAGTGATACGTTGATTCTTGATTTTCTTGACAATTTGGTTCTTGGGTTTTCTTGTTGCTTTGATCTGATTTCTGAGATCAGCTAAGGGATCCATATATATAGGTAGTAAGTGGATGAAGAGAGAACGTTCTTCAAATTTCTTGAATCGAATAGAACAAGCTCCTTTTTCTAAAACTTTCGTTTGCTGTCTAGAGTCTTTGGACGTAATTATCACATATAAAGGGAACGACCAGATTTCTCTTGGCATTTCATGAAGTTTCGGTGGTTGAAACGAGAACGACATGCAATCTTTGGTTGGCACTTAAAACGACGTGCTGTTTCTTGTATCTATGCATTATATTAATCCCTTTAAAGATATGGGCTCAGTGAAGCAGGCCGTCTTTGTTAAAAACACAGACGTCTTTGCTTTTTCAGTAACTGTCTTCTGTTATAACCTGTTGTTACCAAGCCTCATAAAAGATTATATGCGAGGATTCTCTAAAAGATGATTAGAGTGACAAAAATCTGAATATTAAACTCAGGAACCCAACGTGGAATTAAAACAAAGGAAAAGGGCTAGATCAGAGAACAAAGTACAACAAAGTCAAGATTTGGGATTTTGACTTTTTCCTTTCGGATTAACATTTTAATGGGTTCTGTCTCCTCCATATATACAAGAACTAAGCCACGATTTCGTTTACAAAAATAGGACACCATATTTACTTAACAAGTACTAGAAAATAAAAATCTAAAATTTATTCGATTCTAGTGTCAGTTATTGTGATCCAAATATCTCAACTTATTGCCCCCGTTCATGTCATGCTTGAACCAGAGTAAATGGACAGGAAAGTAACTGTGATTACCTTTTCGGGAAACTTGGGGTTAAAAATTGAAAATAGTGAGATGGTTTTGGTTTCTAATCAATGGAGCTTGCATGAAAGAAAGAGAGAGAAATAAAGACAAAAGCTTTACATTGTAAAGATGCTACTAATTGAACAAACCTACGTGTCGTCAATGCTGCAGCAAGCTTGGTCTCTTTTCCATGAGCTCGTACTTGACAACAAAATGTTCCTGCCATAACCATTCCCACCCCAAAGTAAGAATATGAAAACACTTGTAAACCTGCAAATTCGAGAATAACGTAATAGATATTCCTGCACTAATCGTTGGCTTTACCTTTCTGACTGTTTTGAACGAATTTGGATCGAGGTATTCGTACGTTCCTCTTTCATACGTAGCTGCCCTGACTAAAGGCTCTCCGACTCTGAAGAACCATAATCTGAGTTCCTTGTGGTAAAACCAACCTCTTTCGTAACTGCAGGATGTCAATCAAACTCAAAAGTCTCAGCCCAAGAGAGCAGAGTAAACAAATAACCAAAGAATGTGGTAGAGAAAAAAACATACAGTTCATCTGCAGCGAATAGCTGTGCTTCATCTTTTGGCATACTGTAACAATAATTAGAGCAAAGAAATTAGTTTAACTGGGCAAAGATGATACATGAGTTGGCAAATGTGGAGTTGAATGCTGATCTATTAACAGACCTGTAAAATGTGTAGAACAATAACTCATAGGAGAACCTTTTGAAACTTGCTCGCTGCAACACACGGAATATGATTAACACATTCGTTAACAAAATCGACAAAAGGAGTTAGAGTGAATACACTGTTTATGCTACTCACAAGATCAGAGGAAACTTACAGTTAGAGGCGGAGGTGGTGTGGTGTAGTAACAATTTGGTACTGTGAACTCGACCTCGCTCTTTGCCGGTTCATTGGTCCAAGGAGACGCAAATGTCTTGTAGAGATTTCCAGTTGAATTCAAATCAAGTCCTAGCGTCGTCAAGTCGATGCCAAGAGCAAGTGAGGTCAATTCAGGGTTGCTCCTGTTTAGGACATCTAACAAGCCAAGCAAGCAAAAAGGGTCTGCCTCTGACTGTGCCGATTTAATCTCAGAATCTCTAAATTGGTTGATTGATGTCATCTGTTGCACAGGAAACTGAGATTGATTTTGATGCTGCTGATACTGCTGAATAAGCTGGTCATAACCGATACTGGAAACTGCATTGGGCGAGCTTAGAGGTCTAAGGCCAAGACCCTGTAGCCCACCAGTCTGGTATTAAACAAGAACTAATGATAAGACAAAGTTGTTGGAACAAGTGTGGCCCAACCACAAGATGCAGTATATGCGATATGCAGATTGAAGAAATTCGTGGCTTATATAATAGGAGAGACTGCCACTCACAGATGAAGTATGTTGTGGCTGTTGTTGTGGACGATGTGATGAATATGTTGCCCCCAAGTTGAAACCACCAGATCTACCCATCTGCAAAGGTGCAAATATCCAAACATTAACTACCACATCAAGTCATCAACAATTATCAATAGAGAAAGGTAGTAAGACACTTTGTTAACTTTAACAGTCTAGCTTACAGAAAAGTTTTGAGAGTGCATCATTGACATAGCATTATCATGGAGTTGTTCTTTCTGATGCAAATCCATAGGATAATCAGAATTACCACCTGCAAAAAATCTACTACGCTTGTGAATTGTGAATGATCCAGCATGTTTAGCTTAGAGCATTAAGAAGCACATAATGTTAAGAACACTTATCATCTTTCTCATGCAATATAAACTATAATTGGAAGGCAGATGAGAAGTTTATGAACTTCCCAAGTATCTAGAGCATCTGGAAACAGACTTTCATGAAATTTTGGAGAACAGCATAGGGGAAACTAGAGAAGATATTCCTCACTTTCAGCAGATAAAACTGCACGACCCAACTTCATGCACAATACAATATAAACGTTATCGACAATACAAGACCAGCACCTTTATATCCAGGTAGGGCAGGAAAGTCTTCATTTTGAATGCTAAACTCCTGGTTCTGTTGGACTAGTGGGACTCCTAAACCTTGTTTCCTCATAGAGCCTAGAAACACCACCGTAAGAGTATGAAGGAACAAGACATGATATGGGAATTCTTTTCAAAAACTTATTTAGTATAAAGTTAATGTATTTCAAAATATCTTCAGATAAACTGACTACCTAATTGTCCTTGAGTGCCACCAGCAGATCCTGGACGACTTGTCAGCTGGGGAAAATCGTTGTTTATGTCAAAAAGAGAGCTGTCATTGGAGTGATCATTAAGCATCATATTGTTAACTGACTGAACATGGTTTTGCGAAAGTGGGCCACCACCAGTATGATAGGAGTTCCCCAGCATAGACATCACCTGAGATCCTGTACCATACAATTTGCAATCAGATTACTGCAATTACCAAGAACTTATTGTGTACATAAATAAGATTGTAAAGTGTAATATAAACACGCTTACAAACTTCAAACAATCCTCAGAGTATGTGAGCTAAATACAAAGTCTGCTTTCTTTACATTTTATCGTACTCATGTGAGTCTAGAGAAGTATATACCCTAAATGCAAAACAAGTTCCAACTGCTGATATCAATCCTACCTTCCTAAGTGATTACTTATCTCCACTAGCTATTAAGCAAATTATTTTCTTTACTTTATTCCTACAGTACTTCCTAGCTACTATACCAAAGACATATTTTGAAGCAAAACTTATATTCTTCTTGTTTTCAATGATATAACAACTAGATAAACAAGGCTCAGATGTATTGACTTACAGGCAAAAGAACCTTGAAGACAGCAAATGGAAAGAACTGGATAAATCATATATACCTTGAGGAAGTACTCCACCCAGCATTCGGTTCTGTCCCTGGACATTTAATCCTGATCCGCTATTTGCTGACAAATTTAGTCGTGAAGAAAGACCAGGAATAGATAATCCACCAGAGCTAATATTCCTCCCCAAGTTACCTCCACCAACCATGTTTCCCATCGAGTTTGTTATTCGAGGCCCTGAATTCCCCAACAGTTGGGATATTCCCATCCCTGGAACACTATTCCGATTACTGAGTCCTGCAGATGTAGAGAGAATTCCAGGGATAGAACCACCAACTCCATTTGCGTTACTATTGAATCCAGGATTACCAACAACATTAAGGCCTCCTCTATTTGGGATTCCCGCATGCCCATGTGAGCTACCATGAGTTAACTACAAAACAATCATCGTATAATATGAGATATAGATAAAGTACAAGAGCAGTTATTTTCACAAAATTTAGACCACATAGCACCTGAGAGAGATTAACAGGTAGATTGTTTGAAGCAAATCTTCCACTGGAAAAACTCCCGTTAGGTTGTTGAACCCCAGGAGATGGTATACTATTCATACTTGAGTTTCTTGATGTAAGTGTACCTTGCATGTTCCCGACATTATAGCTGCCATGAATATTATGAAGCCCCTGAAGGTTTCCTGCAAGGGAAAAAAAATTACAAGCTAGATAAGATGAGAAGAGGGCAAAAATATACAAGGGTATCAACTATGAAGATAAGTATTACACCCACCGGTATGATGAAAAGAGGGAGACGGTGCACCAGATTGTCCAGAATAAGAAGCAGCAAAAGATCTGCCCGACCCATCTGGTAAATTTGAAGCAGAACCATTGAGAGATGACTGCAAAGGCAAAAACATAAGAGTTGAGAGAGGAGAGATGGTACACATAATAAAGTAAACGATGTCCATAGGACATTAAACAAATTTTCTTAAAGTTGAAAGCTATATAAATGATAAAGGGTAAAAAGAAGGTTACAGTACATGAAGGTTTGACATTGCACGAACTGACAATCACTTGGGACAAAATATCATTCGACGAACAGACCCGAACCGTCTACAATCTGAGAGGGAATAAAAGACACAGGGAAGTAAATAGCCTGGATTAAAAAGGACGAATTCGATAAACTAACAAAGGTGACAGTGCGTTAACATAAGATCTTATTTAACCATGGTGTAGCACCAGAATAAATGACTCTATAAACTATATGTTATGCAAAAGTAAGATTGAAATTCTCATTCTTCGAAGGAGTATCCCCAGTAAGCTTTCACCCAGAAACAATAACCATGAAAATAAACTTGTATCAGGAAGTCAGAAGTATAGGAAAGGACTCAGAACACAGAAACAAATCTAAAACTACTAAAAAACCACGAGGATCCAAAACCAAAATTAAAAACCGTAATTCAATTAATCCGGAAACAAGACTGAGCTAAACAGGATCCTAAATTGAACTATAGCGATGCGATTTCGATGCCAGGACTACAATATTGAGCTCAGAGAACCCTAAAATCGCATGATTAATCTCTGCAGCACACTCACAGTAAACAAGGGAGAAAGGTGCGTACGGAGGAAGAAGGAGAAGTAGCACAGCCCAATTCGCGGAACCCAGGAGGTAACAATCGAGAAAAGGGTAAGGAGAATCCGAAGAAGATTTAAGAAGAGAGTTTTTGGTAAAAATTGGGGGAAGAGCGGAGATTTTGATTAAGAGAGAATTTGAGGTGCCCTAAATCGGAAAAACGGATATAGGAACGACAAGGGAGAGAAAGAAAGAAAGAAAGAAGAGACCAAAGCAAGATTTAGAAAATGGGATCCATAAAAATAAAACAATACTCTTTATTTATAAAAAAGAGGAAATAATAAAATATAATATTTTTTTTTTTGGCGAATGATTGGTGATGGAGGGAACTTTCATAGGTCACGGACAGGCCCTACGAAACCTTCTAAGCGAGAAAGAAGGTTTATCTAAGGATCAACGTTTGGGCCTTAAATCCAACAGGCCCGTTATACCCCCCCCCCCCCCACACTTTTTTCTTACGTTCATAACTTTTACTCCTATGATGTTAATGTTTTTACTTTGTCGAATCACAAAATCGTAGCGTTGACGTTGATTATGTTAAGTGCGTACAAAAGGAAAAAAAAGCCAAGTATGTAACTTTAAAACAGAACCACGAGGCTAAAAATTTAAAGAAAATGACAAAATATGTGTGGTATTGAATAGGTAAGTACTCTAATTATGAAGTTATTCTGGATGTTTTCCAGATATGTTTTGTATTCAGTAAACAAAACCAGATCATCCAACTACATGAAAAAGACGTTAGATATTCCATGATAATGAAAATTACGTCCATTAGTGCGTTTCAATCATACGATATATATAAGATTTATCAAGTTTACACGACTATATATATAAGACAAGACAATATTTCTATAACTGTTTGGGATAAACTTTTCGCTGTAATTACTAATGAAGCGTTTAACTCAATTAATATTAGAAAGCTAAAGTTATGTAATGTTTAATCAAGCTAGGTGAACAAAAATAAAACGATCCATCGATCTAAAAGAATATTAGGGTTTGATCATGAAATATCTTCATAATTTGATCAATATATATAATTAAGGAATTTCATTTTGTGTTCTTTGAGCAGATGATCATTATACGATAACGTGACACGAAGACTCTTGCTGATGAATTATCCCCTTATTAGTCCGATATAGAGATGCTGATTCACTAGTTAAGACTTGGTTCATGTAATAAGTCATCTTTTTTTACCCTCATGGATCTTACTTGTAGAAAGGTGTTTGTATTAATTTAAAATCATTTCATAAAAAAACAAATGTGACAGTCATTCTCCTTGTGACATCTTAACCAAATTTATTTTTCCCTGCTTATACTTTTAAGAATAATATATAGAGCTAGAATTGTTGTTTCCGTGTTCCAAACAAAATGTGTCGGTCGACAAGAGGTCCACATATATGTTTTCAGATTGATATGTTTTTTGTACAACTTACATCATGTATGTATATTACACATGATCATCACACTTATAAGTCATCAACACAAATCCACTTAGTTGATATGTTTATTGTAAGTTCCTAACTCTCAAGAAAAATATATATATAGTGGGATCATTTACTATAGGCTATAGCTGATATGATTTGATCAAATATAGTGGCATCTTAATCTTATCACACCTTTCAAATAAGCTTATATTATATATGTTATGTTCTTATGTTCCATATATAGTTGAACTGTGTAGATGAAGGTGGTTCATTCTTCATTTATTTTCAATCTATCAAACTTTTTGATCTTTGACACATACTTTATGTGATTCCCTCATTTCATTTTGACAACGTTAAGCTTATACTTGAGTTTTCAAGTGTATTGATACATGTGTGTGCTATTCAATCGCTCAATTCATGTTGTATCGAAAACTCGAGATCAATTATTTCTGTATGAAAAATTTCGAGATGAACATGCAACATAACAACACATGCAATTTTAGTGTATATTCATGAAATAAATCTAATTACTAATGAATGAACAGAAGCCGGAAAAAAAAATCATGTGCATCATTCATAAATACGGTCAGAAGTTTGGTATAATCGTTAAAAAAAGATTACAAAACCCACTTATGTTGACTTTTTAATTCCAACCTCCACTACCTTCCTTAATTGTGTATATATTAATATATTTGAGATTATCATAATAGGAATTACGAACCGACGATGCAGACAAAAATGATATGATAATTATAATTAACAAAGATATATAAAGTTCACTAATTGTTGTCGAGAAAAAAGGTTAAATTATTAGCTATTTCATGACACATTAAAAGCTGTAATGTAACATACCCACTTACGTTTGTGCAGTTTTTAATGGTAAATTCTGGAAAGAATAAAAAAAGTTCGTCTCCTTCCTAACTTTCTCAGCCATCAGAAAAAATCAGACTGACAATTTCAATTCAATCCCTTCGTCTCTATACTACAAATTTCTCTCATATTAATTATATTTTGTCGTTGCATCTATGCAAAGTACAAATATTTAATATGTATATATCAAGTTCATGTTTGCAGAGTTCACAAAAAAAATCATCTCTTGTTACCACTCTGTTGTTCTAAACACAGTTTCAAAAACAAAACCCAAAATCTGGAGATGATCATTCAATCAGCTAATCCTTAAGTTTTACCTTTCATGGAACAATTACTTTCCCTGGAAATCTTCTCTTAAAGGTATTAATATTTGTTCTTTTGCTGCTTAATTGCATCAATCCGTTATGAAAACTAATAACTTCTCTGTAAGTTATTAATTTTCTTTGATATTAGAAAGTTGTCATCTTTGCTAAAACAAAAGCTTTAGATTTGCTCATGTTCGTGTATCCCTTGAATCTAGCTGATAGATTCTTTGTCTCTTTCCATCGAATTGTTTATCATTTCCAGGTTTTGTGAAGATGGGTAGTGAAAAGTTTGAATTTTTGATTTGGGTTCCATTGATCTCTTGCTTAATCTGCCTCTGCCATGGATACATACCTGTGAATAATTACCTCATCAACTGTGGATCATCAACCAATGTTACTGTCACTGGTCGAGTGTTCATGTCTGATAAGCTTGCTTCCCACTTCTTAACCTCTCCCAGTCAAATCCTCGCCGGGAGTAATCGCAATTCAAATTCAGATATTTACCAGACGGCGAGAATCTTCACCGGAATCTCTAAGTATAGATTCTCCGTCGCTAGAGGCCGTCACTGGATTCGTCTCCATTTCAATCCTTTTCAGTACCAAAGCTTCCAGATGGGCTCAGCCAAATTCTCAGTTTCTTCGCAAACACATGTCCTCTTGAGTGATTTCACTGTGAAGTCCAGAGTTATGAAGGAGTTCTCTCTGAATGTAGCCACGGATCATCTCGAGCTCACGTTTACTCCCTTGGGTGATTCGTTCGCCTTTCTGAACGGCCTTGAGGTTGTATCGGTTCCTAATACGTTGATCAGTGGTGATCCTTCCTTCGTAGGCAGTCCTGGGAAGTTTCAGGGATTGTTATGGCAAGCTCTTGAGACGGTTCATAGAGTGAACATGGGCGGTCCGCGTGTTACGCCTAATAACGATACACTTTCGAGAATCTGGGAGCCTGATTCGGAGTTTTTAGTTGAGAAAAATCTAGTTAAGAGTGTGTCTAAGATTTCAACTGTTGATTATGTTTCTGGTTATGCTACAGAGGAGACTGCCCCAAGAACTGTCTATGGTACTTGCACCGAGATGAATTCCGCTGATAACCCGTCTAGCAATTTCAATGTGACATGGGATTTCGATGTTGACCCGGGTTTTCAGTATTTCCTCCGGTTCCATTTCTGCGATATCGTGAGCAAAGCTCTAAACCAGCTTTACTTCAATCTTTATGTTGACTCAATGATGGTCGTTGAGAATCTTGATCTAAGCACTTACTTATCTAACACTTTGGCCGGTGCATACTCGATGGATTGTGTCACGGGAGCAGCAAAACAGACTAATAGAATCCGTGTGAGCATTGGTCCATCGTCTATTCACACGGATTACCCTACTGCGATTCTGAATGGATTAGAGATCATGAAGATGAATAACTCCAAAAGTCAGCTCAGTGGCGGGACATTTTTGCCTGGTGCTTCAAGTTCAACCACTAAGAAGAATGTTGGTATGATCATTGGTGTAACGGTCGGCTCATTGTTTGCTTTAGTGGTTTTAGGTGTTTTCTTTTTGCTGTACAAGAAACGAGGCCGAGACCGGGATGACCATTCAAAGACTTGGATTCCTTTGTCTTCCAATGGAACATCTTCATCCTCGAATGGAAATACAATTGCAAGTATAACTTCCAATTCCAGTTATCGAATTCCTTTAGCAGCGATTAAAGAAGCAACAAATAGTTTTGACGAGAATCGAGCTGTTGGAGTTGGTGGTTTTGGTAAAGTGTACAAAGGAGAGCTTCGTGATGGCATGAAAGTAGCTGTTAAAAGAGGGAACCCCAAGTCTCAGCAAGGACTAGCAGAATTCAGGACAGAAATCGAAATGTTATCTCAGTTCCGTCATCGCCATTTGGTTTCTCTGATCGGTTACTGTGACGAGAACAATGAGATGATTCTGATTTACGAATATATGGAGAAAGGAACACTGAAGAGTCATCTTTATGGCTCAGATCTCCCTAGCTTGAGTTGGAAACAACGGCTAGAGATATGCATTGGATCAGCTAGAGGATTGCATTATCTCCATACCGGTGACTCAAAACCTGTGATTCACAGAGATGTGAAATCCGCCAACATATTACTGGACGAGAATCTAATGGCTAAAGTTGCAGACTTTGGACTGTCTAAGACTGGACCTGAGATTGATCAGACTCATGTAAGTACTGCGGTCAAAGGAAGTTTCGGGTATCTCGATCCCGAATACTTCAGAAGACAACAGCTGACAGAGAAATCAGACGTATACTCCTTCGGAGTCGTTATGTTTGAGGTTCTCTGCGCGAGACCCGTCATAGACCCAACACTTACAAGAGAGATGGTGAATCTAGCGGAATGGGCGATGAAATGGCAGAAGAAAGGACAGCTTGAACACATCATTGATCCATCACTGCGAGGTAAAATCAGACCCGATTCCCTTAGGAAGTTTGGTGAAACAGGAGAGAAATGTTTAGCTGATTTTGGAGTTGATAGACCATCAATGGGAGATGTGTTGTGGAATCTTGAATACGCTTTGCAGCTACAAGAAGCTGTAATTGATGGAGATCCAGAAGAAGATAACAGCACGAACATGATAGGTGAATTACCTCTACGGTTCAATGATTTTAGCCATGGGGACACGAGTGTTAGCGTTTCTGTAGCTAGAGAGGGAAGGATTGAAGAAGAAGAAGAGTCGAGTGTTGATGATATGTCAGGTGTTTCCATGAGTAAAGTTTTCTCGCAGCTGGTCAAATCTGAGGGACGATAAGGTTACTAATTGGAACCTGAATGTAGAATCTATATTTTCTCCTATAGCTTCTTTTTTGGTGTGTACATATTTAACGATTAGACTTATGTTTCATGTACTTGAAAATAATCATTGGGGTTTGAGATTGAATCTTTGATGGGCCAAGTTTTTGTTTGTCTGAAACTTGCTTAACCAAACGTGTACCTGTTTGATTTGGTTTTCCATTAGCTAGCTATTACATCTAATTAATACCGGTTTAGTTAAATGCGACGTTGTTTCTATCAAAATCATCTCAGTCCACTGAAATCGCCATATCGTCAAATCGGAGAAGAAAAGCTCGCCGATTTGATTACAAACGCCTAACTTCATATAGTTTCTCCGATGTAGATGCAAAATTGAAGCAATTTTCCCAGTTCATTCGATTAAAATTGTTAGCGACAACGCTACTAGTTGAAACTTAATTCGATTATACTTCACCAGAAAGCAAGAGGAAAAGGCGTAATTACATAAATCGAGAACGCTACCGCAAACTACTAAACGCCATACCGAGAAAAAAAAAAACAAAAGTGAAAACGCAAACGCTGAAGAGTACAATGATTTGATTAGAAATTCCCAGAAGAATACGACCCTAAGTAACAAACCCAGAAACACACAAACGCGAATCGCCTTAACCGCCGAAACCGTAGAGAGTCCGTCCTTGCCTCTTGAGAGCGTAGACGACATCCATGGCGGTGACAGTCTTCCTCCTGGCGTGCTCGGTGTAGGTAACAGCGTCACGGATCACGTTCTCCAAAAAGATCTTGAGGACACCACGAGTCTCTTCGTAGATCAGACCACTGATACGCTTGACTCCACCTCTACGAGCCAACCTCCGAATCGCAGGCTTGGTGATTCCTTGGATGTTGTCTCTCAGAACCTTCCTGTGTCGCTTGGCTCCTCCCTTTCCCAAACCTTTTCCTCCCTTTCCACGACCCGACATTTTCTCGAGAGAGGATTTGAAAAGCTATAAGAAGAACGGTTTAGAGTTGCTTTGGGTGAGTAAAATGTGAAATTGGTTTTATAGGCAAGATGGAGAGCCTTACACATTGAGAAATCAGATCTCATTTTAGATCTAACGGCTGAGAAGTCGATCCGTGTATTTAATAACTTAATGTATGAACCGTCGATGTGACTTAATCAACGGTTATTATTGACGATCCGCGTGGAGGCATTATTAGCCAATAAAATTCGTTTTTGATTTACAGGCGGCGCCACGAGTTAGGGGTAATGAAGCGCCAATATTTTGGAACTTGTAAAATAAATTGCGCCATCAAAAAGTTTTGAATTTTTTTCATGTGTTCGATAAATTATTTGAGTGACATTTGCAAAGTTACAATTACAACGACAATGATATGTAACATAGTGATTTAGAGTGTTAATTTTATAAGATAACGATTTTGATGGTAATTTTGAAGAACAATAACATTCGTATTTGAAAATATTACACAAAATTATATATATGGAAAAAGGAAAACATAAACTCCTTTCAACATTTTCATTTTCCTTTGAGAAATTATAAACCACAAGAACACACTTCAAATCTTCAATCGAGACATTGATTATTTTACTTTTTACATGAGGGTTTAAAACCATAATAACAAAAAAAATTACAAACAGAGCACACGACAGGTCAAAGCCACAAGTTCGTTCGTTGAGTGGTTTCATTCCAACTGTGTTACTTTGCATCACAAACTATCTTGCTCTAGGAATCATCCCACTATCAAAGATCATGCTCACTTCAGGGGAACTTAGTGAATCCATGCCTCGACTCATATTTCTCTTGGAGTTTTCAGACACAAGACACTCTTTTAGTTCGACAACAACATGAGACATGGTTGGTCGCTTTGCTGAAGTAGGATCCGCGCATGACATTGCCAGCTCAAGAGCTCTCCAGGCAGAGCGAGAATCATAATCCCCGTTCAGCTTTGGATCCATGATCTTAGCAATATCTCCTCCGTTCAGCTCAGACCCAACCCATTGTGTTATGTGAGACTTTCCGCGGTTTCGATCAATCACTGGTTGGTTTGTGATCATTTCCAATAGCACAATCCCAAAACTGTACACATCACTTTTCTCACCCAGCCGGCTTGTGTGGTAATATCTGCAAGGCAAGAACAAGGCTTACTCTTCAAGCATATTGAAGAAGGAAGAGAAAAGTTTCAGCAAAAGTGTGTGGTGTGAAAAATGTTGATACTCACTCTGGATCAAGGTAACCAGGAGTACCAGCAATCACCGTCGAAACATGGGATTCACCTCCAACTGGGAAAGACCTTGAGAGCCCAAAATCTGCGAGTTTGGCCTTATAATGCTGGTCCAATAGTATGTTTGTAGTTTTTACATCCCTATGAACCATTGGCGGTGTGCATCCAATGTGTAAGTACTCCAAACCTATACAAACGATTCATCCATATGAAATGATTTAACGTAGGAATGGGTTCTAGTTCTACAGTGTAACTTGGTACAGACCTTGTGCTGCCTCCGCAGCTATTCTTAGCCGAGTACCCCAACTGACGATGGATTTACCTCCTTTTCCTGTATATTGTATCATTAGACCCTTTCATGTTTGCAGGAAGAACAACCGTTTTTTCATGAGTCTATAACACATATAAAACCATTAATTAGAATACACCAAGTTTTACTACCTGACAGATGTTGTCTTAAGTCTCCATTGGGTACAAATTCGTAGATGAGTGCTAAGTGGTCTCCTTCATCGCAATATCCAACAAGGCTTACCAAATTTGTATGGTGAACTCTCAAAAGAAGATCAACCTAATGCAAAAACAAACAAGAAAATCCATAAGTGATGTTAAAAAAAAAAACAGATGGTATTTGATAAGATATATAATAATAAATACCTCTGCCTTGAACTCTTTATAGCCTTGAGTTGATGATTGAGACAATAGTTTAACAGCTACCTGTTCAGAAACATTTACAGTACCGTGACAAACAACACCAAATCCTCCTTCCCCTACAACTCTTTGGAAATTATTCGTCATTTTTATAACCTCGGAATAAGTAAACCTTCTCTTTTTCATTTCGATTGAAGGCTCAGGTGAATACGCATATGTAACATTCATTGCTGGCCTACTCGAAGGCGGGTGAACAACTGTTAGATCAGAAATTAGGGGTTAGCAAATATCATATTCATGAGATTTATCGGTTTATATGTCTTTGCATATATACCTTGAACAGTGGGCGGCTTTTTCTTTCTGAAAACAAGAAAAATAACCAACACAACAATGAGGATGGCCGCAGAAGCAACTGATGCAACAATTGGCACAAGAACTTTTGTTTTTTGTGGTTTTGTAGGTGATCCAGGGGGAATTAGCCTTGTGTTTCCTTCATAACTACAAGATTCCAAGTGTTTTTTTTTTTAGTTTGTTAATTAAGAAATCAAATGTGGGAAGGTTCATAAATTATGTGAGAACTTTTTTTCTGGTTTAAGTGTGGGAAGTTTCTTACGATAGCTGGACTCCTTTCCTTTGTAGCGATTGAGGAATTGTACCGTTGAGATCATTCCCACTTAAAATTCTGCATAGAAAGAGAAATCTTGATACCGTTAAGAACATCAACAGAGGTGGAATTTGGAAAGCATTATTATGTTAGCGAGAAACTTACATGACTAACAACGATTTTATGTTGCCTAGAAATTCAGGCACCTCTCCGGTCAAGTTATTATGCGACAAGTCCCTACAGTTTGCAAGAGAGAATTATATATGAAATTACCTCTGATTACTTTGCACACGTAAATAGTCTGCTTTGCCTTTGAACAATAATAAACATACTTACAGTTTTTCTAGTTGCGTGAGATTTTGAATGGCAGCTGCTATGGTTCCAGTTAAACCACTTGAAGACAAGTTTCTGGTGAAGATTTTCAAAACCATATTCAAAGTGTTAATGATCATCGATTACTTATAGATCCCTATGTGTGTGGTGCTTGTGTATTAGTGAACTTTTGACTTACAAAGTAGTGATCCTTGGTGGCATGGAGTTATCCGTGATGCTGCAGTTTAAACCGTCCCACATAAGCTGTTGTGGTATGCATGGATCTCCTTGCCAGTTTATTCTACTCAATCCATAGGTAGCTTCAATGGTTTTGACAGCAGCGACTGAAAAATATGTTTCAGGGATGTGAGATTGCATAGAAAGCATAGACCTTACATGCATAAACTTGAAAAATACATACCATCTTCTTCAATTGTTGCAGACTGTGGAAGCTGGATAACTCTGTAGACCTCAAAAGCGTTAATTAGAGGTGGAAGAGTTGATCTGTTGGTTCTTATCAGCTGCAAACTGCATTCCCCTCCATCGCAAATTATCGGTGACCGGCTAAAGATAGTAGTAAGCACTAACTTCGAAGGAATTAGAGGGCCATATAATAGTTTTTCATTCAATAAGATGTTAAATTCTCTGGTATCATTAGCCTGTAAGTCTTGGATCTCAGCAAAGTGTTCGTACAAGTAAAATTGGTCATCAGGATTTTCTGCAGTCCATTCAATCGTCAATGGCGCACTGACATTAGTAGGCACGGCAGCAGTAGTGAGAGCAACTTTAGGTGGCTCATAGCTGTTAGAATTGCTCACAACGCTAGTGGTGGAAATTGGGGTCCAGGCGCTACGAATATACGAACTCCATTGGCGATCATATACATCGTCCGGGAACCTGAGGATGGGAACATCATCGTATTAGCAGTGGCATAAGCAAATAACATGGATAATTTCATTTTCCGTCCACTTGGAGTTTTGTGATCTTATGAGATTATTATGTTACATGATTTATGTTTTCATATACTTTTACGTAGTATGTAAAAGTAATCTTTTCATTAAAAAAAACTACTCACGTTGGAAACAGAGTACATACCCGCAAAAGACAGAGGATGACAGAGCCAAAAGAAACAGAGCAAAACAGAGCGAAAAGAGGAGATTATAATCAGTTGGAGTTGGTACCTTAGAGAAGAACTTGAATTGCTAATATATCGTCGAGAGAAAAGTTCCAGAGAGCCAGACTTGGTGCTATAAGAATCATTTGCCATCGGCCGTATTTCCAAGGCTGATATCAGGGGTGTAGTCATCCCAGTCTTAACAAGACAAATCTGCAAAGAGTTTAATGTTGGTATGTGTAAGATCTCCTCTCGTGTACCATTCACTCGCCTTTCCAAGTCTATAGTGATCCATCGGTTAGGTCCAATATACATATCAAACTTCGGGCCAGTGTCAAGACCATCATAGTTTCCATATACAAACCTAGCCCTGATCAGATGATTTCTTCCTTTCTCAACTTTTAGATTGTAGCAGTTCCGTCTTCCTTCTGGAAAATATCTCAGCGTCGTGGATGGCTTCAAGAAGTCATCCATCCAATTTGCTTGGATCATACCAGTTTTTCCACTCTTGATGAATGTTGCGTCCGAAGAGAACTGTAACCCAGTTGACTCCTCTCTATAAGGAGACGGTTCATTTGCCGGTAGCCCGCAATCCAAATTGATGAACCCTGTTAAGATATATGAAAAAAAAAATGCCCATTAAAAAGGCAACAAATAGAACTGCCAAGTAGATGTACGATCAAAAACTAAAATGGTAGAAAAAGGAGAAGCAGAATAATACACACATATGTCATTATATTTTCGTTTAAGACATAAATACCTTGTTGGCTCTGAGCTTGAACAATATGAAGTATGGCCAAAGTTCCGATAAGCGGCAACAAAATCCCAAGAGACGTCTCCATATTTCGCTTACCCACCTAAGAAAAATTAAGAAAACGTTTGTCCAAGCTGTAGAAGATAACAGGAGAATATATAAGCAAACACAAAACTGGTAAGTAAAAGAAAAGACTTTTTCAAGTCAATGAAAAGAAAGAGTAAATGTGTTTTCTAGTGCAACTTCACCATGGGAAGAAGAAGAAGAAGGATAAGAGGATTACAATGTTCCAACGTCACAATTATGAACTCGACTGAGGTCATTTGTGGTATTGGACATCAGAGTAGTTTCTTGGTCAGATAATATGGAATTTACATCGAAAGAAATTGTCAATCACACAAAAAACGAAAGATATTGGATTTAATAGCCACCAGACTCACCACAATGATGCATGAAGAAATGTTCAGAAAGAGTTGACATTCTAATAGTCATTGACTTAAAAATGTACCAGACCTGATTTTGTTTCAGTCATTTGAATAAAAGTTAGAATACAGAATAATTACAGCATACATGCTGACTAACTATTACCAAGAAAAGTAAGTCAGCATACAGAAACAAGGTTCATAACAATTGACCATGAGCTTGAACAAGATGAATAATGACCAAAAGGCAAATAAAATCTAAGAGATAAATGCTGACTAACTCTTCAGTATTTTTCTAGTATAACTTCACACTATGGGAAGAAGAAGACTAAGAGATGTTCCAACCAACGTCAGTATCATAAAAGCTGAGTATCAATCTCTTATTTCTGAAACTGTGCAACTTCACCATGGGAAGAAGAAGGAAAAAAAGGGTAAAAATGTTCCAACATCACTGTCATGAAAATGTGCACATCAGTTTAGTATCTAGTATCCTGGTCAGACAATGTGCAACTTGGTTTAGTATAACTTCCAAAGACTGTATCAATCACGCAACAAATATATTTGGCTTTAATAAGCCACTAGACTCAACACCATGACAACATGAAGAAACATAAACTCTGAGAAATAGTCAATGGTCGTTGACTTTTAATTGGTGAAGACAACCTCTCTCACTATAATTTAGAAGATTAGTAAAAAAACCAATTGTTTTTGTTCCATCATGAATACAGCTTAAGACCCACAAATCACAGTTGTATATCAATCATTATACGCTAATGGGGTCAACTTTTTTGGAACTTTTGGTGAAATGAGTGGCATAAATTGCGAATTTTTGGAACAAAAACCTGTTTTAAAATGACCCCAGTCCGCAGCGGGCGAATCCGACAGAAATTTCCGGTAATAAATCGACCATCTACGGCGGTGAAACCTCCCGTCGATGGAAAGAGAAGAGCAGTTCGCCTTCAGCAGTTCCCGGCGGTGAGAAGTCATCATCGGCGAAAGTACTTGTTTTGGGAACGCAATGCGGCGATTGAAGTGTTACTACACTCGCGTTCGGTAAACGACATTCACAAATAGTGAAGTTAGGGGTTTTGTACGGCCAAAAGAGTTTAATCAGAGTCATCAATTCATGAATCTCTTAACGGCGTGACAATATACTCAAAACTCAAAAGAGAGAGACACATATTACAAAGTTTGCTTAAATTGTAAATAATTATTGATTACTTAATATTAGTACCATAAGTAGAGAGACATACACTCAAAACTATCTTGCCCTGGGAACCACGGAAGTGTCCAAGGCAATGTTGTTCATGTCTTTTGATTCCAAGCCTCGATTGTTTTCACATACAATACACTCTTTTAGTTCTTGAATTACCTTAGACATGGATGGTCGTTTTGAAGAAGAAGGATTCGCGCATGAGATAGCCAGTTCTATAAGGTTGACTTTTTTATAACCCAAGAAACAAAATGAAAGTTTGAAATCCTAATCGAAGTGAATATGCGTAAATTCCATAGTTTCAAAGAAAAACCTCTTCATCTGTCTCAGTCAGCATCGGCGAGTCAGTGGATGAGATTGAGAATCTCCGCTGGCAAAAAAACCTTCCCATGGCTGTCGTGGAATAGACGAAGACCGGAAGACAGAAGCATATACGACAGCAAAAATCTCCAGTCGTAAGAAGGAGAATACATGTCTATCAACGTGGCCAGTGGTGAAAACGACGGCGATAAGACCTCTACATCGGCGATATCTCATAATCGGTAACGCCATCCACGACGACTGGAGTGCTTGAAACGCAGTCGTGAGACTTGTTTTGGGCCTTATTGGGTTTACATAGTGGCCCATTATATTAACTTTTTAAAAAAATCCAGGATGATTTTGGATCCAGTAACTATTACCTATCTATATCACTCAGTCATTTGTTGTCAAATTCAAATTTCATCCGCTCTTGATAAAATGACAATGACGTTTGCGTGGTACTCACGCCACATGAAGAAACCAAAAGAGCAGAAATATAAATATGATTTGGATACCTCAATGATCAAATTAAAGCAGAATGAAATTTGTTGACGTCGAGTTTATCTATAAGACCATACAGAGTTACACACTTAAATCAATACTCTTTAACTAGTTTACAAGTTTTGCTTAATATGTAACTAGTTTAAGTATTGATTACTTATTAATACCACAAGTAACAACACTCAGAAGTCAGAACTATCTTGCCATGGGAACCACCGTAGTTTCCAAGCCAACGTCCATTTCTTGAGATTCCAAGCCTCGATTCGCACTTATCCCTGAGTTTTCACACACAATACACTCTTTAAGCTCGCTAATAACCTGAGACATGGATGGTCGTTTTGAGGAAGAAGGATTCACGCATGACATTGCCAGTTCAAGAGCTCTCCAAGCAGAGTTAATATCATAATCCTTGCCAAGGTTCGGATCCATAATCTGAAGAATATCACCTCCGTTAATCTGAAACCCAACCCATTGTGTTATGTGAGATTTTTCAGGGGTTTGATTAATCACGGGTTGGTTTGTGATCATCTCCAATAAAACGATCCCGAAACTGTAGACATCACTCTTCTCATCCAATCGACCTGAATGGTTATATCTGCATGAAAACAACATGCCGGTATACACTTTTTAACCATTGAAGAAGCTAAGGACTAAAAAGTTTCAGAACAAAGTGTTTGCATGTGTGTGTATTTAAAAAATTAATAATACTTACTCGGGATCAAGGTATCCAAGAGTACCAGCAATTGCGGTTGCATCTTGATATTCGCCTCCTCCACATTGGAAAGATCTTGAGAGTCCAAAATCAGAGAGTTTGGCCTTAAAACTCTCGTCTAGCAAAATGTTGGCGGTTTTGACATCTCTATGAACCATCGGCGGTTTGCATCCAATATGTAAGTACTCCAAACCTATGCAATGGAGTCAACTATATCAACTTATTTGCTAATAGCTCATCAAATTTTCCTACAGTTTTTAACTCAGTATGAACCTTGTGCTGCTTCTAAAGCTACTCGTAGTCGAGTACTCCAGCTGATAATGGATCCACCTCCTTTGCCTGTTAGATCGTTAGATCCATTTTCAAGTTTTATGTGTTTCATGAGTTAATGCTACATGCACGTAAAATAATTAATAAATATATCACCTGACAAATGTTGTTTTAAGTCTCCATTGGGCAGAAACTCATAGATGAGGGCCAAATTATCTCCTTCATAACAATATCCAACGAGGCTCAGCAAATTTGTATGGTGCACTCTCAGAAGAAGATCAACCTAAGGTAAGAGTAAAACTCATGTCAAGAAAATCTTGAAAATACTTCACCTTTGGTGATGTAGAAAACAAATAATAGTTTACTTGAGAAAGATTACAGAACCATGAGCAGAGTACCTCTGCTTTGAACTCCTTATAGCCTTGAGTTGAAGATTGAGAGAGAAGTTTAACTGCAACTTGTTCAGAGCCATTTACCGAACCGTGATACACCATGCCGAACCCTCCTTTACCTAAAACTCTTTGGAAGTTATTTGTCATTTTGATAACTTCTGAATATGTGAACCTTCTGCTGTTCTTATTAGCAAATGTAGCATTCACTGATGATCTCATCCGTGGCAGGTGAACTGTACATCAGGATAACGATGGTATATATATAACTATATATCTCTTCTTTTAATGCAATGAATTAAGTAACGGCATTCACAAGATTTGATAAGATTACTTAATTATTTGATGCATCTTTTGCAAGTACCTTCTTCAACTATTGACTTTTTCTTTCTGAGTACAAGAAAAAGAACTAGTATAGCAATGCCAATGATTGCAACAGCAACTGATGCAACAATTGCCAAAGGAAATTTCTTTTTACATGAGTCAGAGACACAAAGCCTTGGGTTTCCTTCAACGCTAGAATAAGATAAGGGTTGTTCAGGAGATCAAATGCACGAAATTATTATAGATAAATGATTGATAAAAGTTGAAAATTAAAGCTATGTGGAAAGTTTCTTACGATAGCTCTAGCCCTTTCTTTTGAAGAGATTGAGGAATTGAACCATAAAGATTGTTTCCGCGTAAGTTTCTGTTAAAAACGACTATGATCTGAGTTGGAGTCTGAAGAGTGAAAAGCAATAAAATGTATGTTGACAAAAGAAACTTACATGACCGTCAACGATTCTATATTGCCTAGGAACTCCGGCACTCCTCCACTCAAATTATTATTTGACAAATCCCTAATGTTAGCGTGAGGGAATTAGTAAAAAACGATTATTTTGCCAATTTATTCCAACCCATATGATAACAATTTTTTTAGCCTCTTAACGATGGTAAATACTTACAGTTTTTCAAGTTGCGTAAGATTTTGTATGGCAGCTGCTATGGTTCCAGTTAAACCAGTCGAAGACAAATTTCTGGTGATATTTTTAAAACCACATTAATTAAAATGATCATATATCATATATATGATTGTTAGAAGATTTTAAAGAGTGTGTGTGCACTGTTATTGAAATCAGGACTTACAAAGAAGTAATTCTTGGTGGTGTGGAGATATTTGTGTAGCTGCAGCTTAAACCATCCCAAATAAGGTGGTGAGGGACACATGGATCACCTTGCCAGTTGATCCTATTCAATCCATAGGCGTCTTTGATACTGTTTATAGCCATCACTGAAATAAAAATACATATAAATTTTCTTGAGTAATCTATAATGTCAAGTTTTATTGAAACACACTGAAAACATACCATCGTTTTCGATTGTTTCGGAGTGCGTAAAATTGACAACAGTGTAGACCTCAATAGCGTTAAGTAGAGGCGGAAGAGTTGATTGGCTGGTTCTTATCAGCTGAAAACTACAGATTTGTTCCTCACAGGTCATTGGAGACTCAGGGTAGGTCGTATATATTTCTAACTTGGGAGGAACTTCAGGTTTAGACGATGTAATTTCTCCATTCCATAACTCGATGAATTCCCTATTTTCGTTCGCCTGCAACTCTTGGATCTCCGAAAGGTGCGTATACACGTAATATTGGTCATTATATGTGTCCTCCCATGTAATCGTCAATGGCTCACTGGCATTAGTAGGTATGGCGGCAGATAAAAGTGCGGCTTTTGGTGGATCATAACCGTTGGAATTGTCAACATTGCTAGTGGTGGATACTTGCGTCCACTCCGACTGAAAATGCGGACGCCATCGTCGATCATAGGCATCGTCCGGGTACCTGAGGTGGGACGAATCTTAGAAAATCTTATATAATAAAGTAGGTTCCTTCGAACTCATCCTCTAAGAAGCTGACATGTGTCATTTTTTTTTAAATCAAATATTTCAACACCTATTTTTATAAGTTAAAAAAATAGACTTTGCAATGAATTACTTAACCATTAAAAACTATTTAATTTATTACACATAAAATACAAACATTTTACTAATTTAGTATAAAATAGCATTCATATAAGATATGATATGACATATATTTAACCCTTTCTTATGTTTTGGTCCATTCGATAAATAAAATAGCATATTTAATTTCATACATTATAGATGTCTTATTTTTCTAATATTTTAATTATGTATATGAAAATATATTGTTTGAAATCATATATATAAAATTAAGATTTTACTCCCTCCTTATTGGTCCATTTGGTATTTATTTTTTTAAAAATATAATAATAAACAAAAACATATCACATTTAATCATATACATTAATTCATACTTTACTACTAAATTGTAACTGAAAATACATAAATTAAAACCTGATTACATAAATCGTATATTTAAAAAAAAAATATTGTCAACTTTGTAGGTTTTTAAACCTAATTTAAATTTAATGCATATGTTGTTACATTCATAAGATGTCCATTCAATTCATATAAATATATATTGGATGTCCATTTAGTTGTCTTATTTTCTATTATTTTAGTTTTTTTATAGAATTATTACATTATCAGAAATTATTATATACTATTTTGATTTCACAATTTCAGTATGTGAAGAGTTTTAAAAAAACAATTACATAATTAAATGGAGTTTGTTATATGGTTTCAATATAAAAAATTATAACTTTCGATACTAAAGTTTTTATTTATTTTATAAACGAGTTAACTAACTATCAGTACAATATATATTATTATGTCAAATTTGAATTTCAGTTTTTTTTTTGTTTTCTAGGCCACTAGACATCTTCTTAATTAAAATCTTAATCTTATTTACATATTTATTTAATGCAAGAATTGAATAGTGGAAATAGTGAAGCATTTCAAATTATCAAAACTTATAATCAGTTAAATTAAATGATTTAATTATATATATGTTTTAAAGTGAATTTAGCTATGTAAGAGCATTTTAATAAATGAGTGGTAGATCATATCAAAGTATTATTATGGTAATGAAATGATATTAACCTAGGTTAGTAAGATATTTTTATATAATTATTTTCGCGATGAAGAATTAAGATATTATAATATTTGTGTGGTGGAAAACATCAACTATATAGTGTTATTTGAAAATTTATTTGGAAGTGTCTTCCTTCCTATTTGTTTTTTTACAAAGGATATTTCATTCATTTGTTTTAAATAAAAGTAAATGTATTCAGCAACCCATTTGTCATAATATATATATAAGAATTTAACTCTCCTTTAATTGGTCTAATTGATATCTTTTGTTTTAACAAAATTTAAATTGTATTAAGGGATAACAATAAAAATTCACAACTTATGTGTCATGAATTTAACATTTAGACTTCATATTTTTTACTATTCAGTTTTGTTTTGTAATATGTCAAAATTTTCCAATTTGAATTTATGTTCAGTATAAATAATTTTCTAATTCTTCCATTCAACTTTGTTTTGTAACATTTCTTCCAACTTATACAATATTAATGTAAAATACTTATGTATTAAAGATGTCTGGCGAACAAAAAAATGTAAGAAAGTTGTCTTATATTGTCTTAGAATTAGTCAACATGCATATAACACAAAAGAAAGTGACGTAATTATATGGAATTTCAAAAATGTCTCATTACAAGTACCACTTTTTAAAAATATCACTTCTTTCAAACTTTATCAAAAAGCCACCAAATATTCAAATTTATCCAAATATTCAAATTTATTCAAATATGTGTATAATCTTATAAATATATACACGAATTACCTTTATATGAGTGTAATATTTTTTTTTTCATAATTACCTTATAAAAACATTATAAAAACCCTGCAAACCTTTTAAAAACCTTGTAAAAACGATTTAAAACTTTTTAAAACCTTATAAATTATTTGGATCAAATCTCTCAGTAGTAGTTATTATCCAGAAGTACCTTATAAACCATATAACTCTTCATCATTTTTCATATTTAAAAAATGGTATTTTTGAAAATAGATAGATAAAAAGGATATTTTCGAAAATGGGTATTCTAAAAAGGGTATTTATCAAAACTTCTCTAATTATAAATACATATTCACTATTCATATATCTTTTGTATATATCTTATAATCATCATTTTTTTACAAAACAAAAAATTAAAAGTAATCATTTCTTATGTAACATTTTACATTTATTTCAAAAGTAGTTTATCATTTTAATGTATATCTAATCATAAAATATTACATAATTTATAATTTATAATTTTACATTTAACCCACGCGTCGGGACTCTCCCTAGTAAATATATAAGACTAACTTTGACAATATCCGACTAAGTAACCAAAAGCCAAGGACAATACATGTCAGAGCAACAGAACATAGCATGACAGAAGCACCAAAAAACAGAGCATTGAGAGGTGAAAGTTGAATTTCGGTTACCTTAATGTAGTAGCATTCTCGGATTTGTTAAGATAATATCGAGAGTACAGTTTCAAAGAAGTGAGAGAACCGGGCTCGGTGATATAAGTCTCGGGTCCCAAGGGACGGATTTCCAAGGTCGAGATGATTGGTGTAGTTTTCCCAGTCTTAACAAGACAAATCTTCAACGAGTTTGATGTTGGGATGTGCACGATCTCTTCCCGTGAACGATTTCCATTCAAATCTATCGAGGCCCATAGATTAGGTCCAAGATACAGATCAAACTTGGGGATAGTGTTACGACCATCATAATTTCCATATACAAACCTAGCTCTGATCAGATGACTTCTTCCCTTCTCAGCATTTAGATTGTAACAGTTTCGTATTCCATCTGGAAAGTATCTCAGCGTTGTTGCCTGCTTCCGGTAAGTTTTCTCCAGATCTGCCTGGATTTGACCAATTTTTCCACTCTGGATGAATGCTGCGTCCGAAGAGTACTGTATTCCGTATTTCTGATCATTATAAGGAGGGAATTCTGCGGGTAGTCCGCAGTCCAAACTAATAAACCCTGTTAACATATACATATGAAAAATTGACCGTTTTAAAAAAATACAGAACAAACTAAGTACCAAAGCTTTAACGAGAAGGGGAATAAGCAGAATAATACCTTGTTGGTTCTGAGCTTGAACAAGGTGAATTATGGCCAATTTTGCAATTATTACTAACAAAAGCCTTAGAGATCTCTCCATACTCTCTCTCACTTCCCAAGGAAAAATAACGAAGACTACTGTCTGTATACTCTGTGGAAGATAAACAGAGAATATATATATAAGCTTAACAGAAAGAGTTCGTCAAGTCAATGTCTTTTGTTAGGGATATGGTTGTAAGATGAGAAGGGAGATAGGGGATATGGTTGATCGTTAATCGTTAACTAGTAAAAAAAAAATGATGGTGAAGATAAACAACAAATAAATACACGAACTCAAATCATTCACAAAAGAAAAGACTTTTCATAAGTCAATGGTGAAAAATTGAGTAAATGTGTTTTCTAATGCAGTTTCACTAAGGAAAGAAGATGACGAGGGTTATTAAGAGGACAACAATGTCCCAACATCACTGACACTGTCATGAAGTTTTTCTTGGATATTGAAGGATCGGACCAAGAAAGCAATAAATTGGCACTGTCCTTTTTGTTTTGTTTTGTTTTTGTTTTCTTGACTTCTCTCAATCCAATTATTTGCGAGTCTCTTAAGTATATATTATTTTCACCATGCAAGAAGAAGAGTAGCAAAAATAAGTAAATCCAAATTATACACTAAACCAAAGACTTAGTCGGGTGACTCGGGTCAATGGTGCAATGTGTTTTTTCTCATTGATCAATACTCACAAGAAAACGTAAAGCAAGTTTTAGAGAAATTAGTCGTGTAGGCTTCGAATTTTATCAATAAATCGTGTTCAGATTTCCTTCCGACCTTGAGAGTAAATCTGGATTTTATCTCTGTCAGCCAATAATAATATCGTGTTTGATCCTACCAAAAAAAAATAGTATTGTATCGTGTTTGAGGCCGACAAAGATGAAAGAACCTCTGATGGTAAATCGTCCATCTACGGCAGCGAAATCTCCCCGTCGTGACATAGAAGAATGCCCAATGGTGAAAACCTCGGTGAGGAGACGTCTTCTACGACGGCGAGTTTCTTTTTTAACCAGAAACGCGATCGCTGATTGAGGTGCTGCAAACGCAGGTGTACCCATCGCTCGCGTTTTAAAAGGTAACTAGATTTTAATAACCCGTCGGTGTACGGCATGCCAAACATTTTTTTATTTTTAAATTAATTTTTTTTAATGTTGGAATTTGTTTAAAAATTATAAGTATTGTATAATATCAAATTAATTAATTAGTTTGAGTCGGTATATCTTATATTAATGTTGTTAGAAAACAATATAATGAAGTTTTAATCCGTTTTCAAGTAAAAGATAAATGATATTTTAATGTTTTAGTAATATTCAAACCTGTTTTGTCATATAGTGTTTAAAAGATTATTTTTAAAACAAAAAAACTGTAATTTTGTTTTTGTCAACATAAAACAAAAAAACTGTAATAATTGCTTGTATATGTATTTTGCATAACAATATTAACGCGTTTTCTACCCGATGTAAGACATTGTAACATATATCTTGTTGTATCGGTTTAGTAATATACACCCATTTTCAAAAATTCAAATTGCAATATATGTAGAAATAAATTTGTATTTTTGTTATACATTTTTAATGTAATAAAATATAATAAATAAGATCATATAAAGATATTGTACAAATTTTTTAATTAAGTTTTGATATAAAGGTAACATATACATTTTTTTATACCAAATTAGTAGATATAATTTAGAAAAATAATTGATTGTTTCTATTTTTTATGTATATTTTTATTTTCAATATTAATTTACTTTTTTTGCAATTTCTAAGGATTGAATTTGTAAATAACTTTTTAAATAACATAACTTCAAGATAGAACTCCAAATGTACTGGCCCGATTTTTTAACGGATAAAGAAAGATTTGGGCCAAGGCCGAGCCACTATGTTAGGTGCACTGATCCAAAATGGTGTTTGCCTTTTTTTTTGGTCGCCCCAAACTGATGTTTGCTTAATTTGCAAATTTTCTCAATTTCTCAGCTTCTACGCTGTGTAGTGTGTACAGTTGTGTCAAACTTATATTTGTAATTTTGTATAATACATGTTTGGATCATAAGAAAATCATTAGTCAAATATTTTCCGCTGTCAAATAAAATAAAATAATAACAGCATAATAATTCAAGATAAACAAACAGTCTCAGTCGGCGCAAAAATAATGGAAACGTTTAAGAAAAGAAAAGAAAAAGAGACAAATAATAAACTAAAGAAAAGAAAAAGAGACAAATAATAAACTTATCTCGCCGTAGGAAACATTTTAGTGTCAAAACTCAAACTCACTTCAGCAGAACGCTGAGAGTCCATGCCTTTACCCATATTTCCCCTTGAGTTTTCAGATACAAGACACTCTTTCAATTCACTAGCAACTTGGGACATGTTTGGTCGGTTCACCGATGAAGAATTTACGCACCACATCGCCAGTTCAAGAGCTCTCCATACAGAAGGTGACTCATAGTCCTCATGCAGGTTTGGGTCCATGATCTTAGTAATATCTCCTCGGTTAAGCTCAAACATAACCCATTGTGTTATGTGAGACTTTTCACGGGATTGGTCAATCACTAGTTGGTTTGTGATCATCTCCAATAACACAATCCCGAAACTGTAGACATCGCTCTTCTCACCCAGCCGACTTGTACGGTAATATCTGCAAGGCAAGAACATGGTACTTATACTCTACAAATAATACAGAGCGAATTGACAACTCATCTTCAGCACATTGTAATGGTAACTAACGATACTTACTCAGGATCAAGGTATCCAGGAGTACCGGCAACCACAGTTGAAATATGGGATTCACCTCCAACGGGGAAAGATCTCGAAAGCCCGAAATCGGCAAGCTTGGCCTTTAACTGTTCGTCCAATAATATGTTTGTCGTTTTTATATCTCTATGTACAATTGGTGGTGTGCATCCAGAATGTAAATATTCCAATCCTATTCAAAGCAATGATACATTGTTAACCACCAGGGAAAGTCATTCTAAGCTACTTTTATTGGCTAGGCTTAGTACAAACCTAGTGCAGCCTCCAGAGCTATTCGTAGTCGATTGCCCCAGTTGATAAAGGACCCATCACGCTTTCCTGAATATTTGATCCTTTAGATCCATGAACCTTGAAACTTATAATGAGCATAGTCTAGCTAGATTTTCGAATCGTGAAGAAATTCAAGTTTACCAGATAGATGCTGTCTCAAGTCTCCATTTGGCAGAAACTCGTAGATAAGAGCCAGGTGGTCTCCTTCATCGCAATATCCAACGAGGCTCACCAAATTTGTGTGGTGAACTCTTAGAAGAAGATCAACCTAATTAACCATAAGAAAGAAAAACAAGTGTTAGCATAAGGTAGTGAGGCTAAAGATCATCGTAATTCTTTTAGAAGATTATGCATACCTCTGCTTTAAAATGTTTATAGCCTTGACCTGATGATTGAGAAAGTACTTTAACAGCTACCTGTTTAGAACCATTTAGAGTACCGTGGCACACGACACCAAATCCTCCTTCCCCTACAACTCTTTGGAAATTATTCGTCATTTTCATAACCTCTGAATAAGTAAACCTTCTCTTTTTCGTCTCGATTGATGGCTCCGATATATTATCATATGTATTATGAACTGTTGGCGTACTCTGTGGAGATTGTAGAGCTATAGAAAATAAAGCAAAAAGTAGGGGTGTAAGAAAAACTGTTCAACAAATTTTTGGAGTTCCTTGATAAGAGATCTCCTGCATTACCTTCCACAGTCGATGGCTTTTTCTTATTGAGAACAAATATAAGAACCAACACAGCAACAATTATGGCCACAGAAGCAACTGATGCAACAATTACCACAGGAAATTTCTTCTTGGAGTTTTCTGTGCAGGAACCAGAGAGACAAAGCCCTGGGTTTCCTTGAACTCTGCATGAAGAGTGTTGTTAACAGATCTAATCACAAAATGGCTGTGGATGATAACTGCGGAATATTAAAAGGTATGTGGGAAGTTTCTTACAGTAACTCTAGTCCATTTCTATGAAGAGCTTGAGGAAGGGGACCATTTAGATCGTTTCCACTTAAGTTTCTATTAAATAAGAGTAATCTTTATGAATACAGACACATGACCAAAGGGGAAAGTAAATGAAAATATGTTGAGCAACTTACATTATCACCAACGATTTCATCTGGGCTAGAAATTCGGGAACCACTCCAGTCAGTGTGTTATTTGACAAGTCCCTAAATTGTTATTCCCAAAATAAAGTAAAGGTCAATACATTTACTTCCATCGACAAAACCACTATATACGACGGACATACGTACAGTTTTTCTAGCTGTGTAAGGTTTTGAATAGCGGCCGCTATGGTTCCAGTTAACCCGCTTGAAGACAAGTTTCTAGTGATTCAAAGTATGATTAGTAACATATCTTGAAGATAAGTGTGTATTTGCGTGTGTCATCATACGACTTACAAGGAAGTTATTCTTGGAGGTGTAGAAATATCTGTGTTGCTACAGTTCAACCCGTCCCACGCATACTGTTTAGGAACGCAAGGATCCCCTTGCCACCTAATTCTAGTCAATCCATAGGCAGCTTTGATATTTTTAACAGCAACCACTGATATAAATTTCACTAATGTAAGGATTAACAGGTTAAATAGTTTTTTTTCCGTGAAAGAGCATAACAATGAAGATAAAGTAACATACCATCATTTTCATTTGTTTCCAACTGTGGAAATTGGATAACCGTGTAGATCTCGAGAGCATTAAGTAGAGGAGGAAGAGTTGATCTTGACGTTTTTTTTAGCTGGTACCTGCATTTTCCTTCTTGGCACGTCTCTGGAGAACCATTATAGACAGTATCTATCACTAACTTTGCAGGGATGAAAGATTCGGTAACAACAACTCCATCCCATAATAAGTCAAATTCCCTGGTACCATTTGTCTGTAAATCTTGTATCTCAGCAAAGTGGCTGTACACGTAATACTGGTCACTACGATTATCCGGTGTCCAACTGATTGTCAATGGCGCGCTGGCATTGGAAGGTGTGGCAGCCGTTTCAAGAGCTTTTTTTGGTGGATCATAATTGTTATCATTGCTCACTTCGAGAGTGGTGGAAATTTGGGTCCATTCCGTTAAAAAGTAATTACGCCATCTGCGATCATAAACATCATCAGGATACCTACATATGTGGAACAAAGGTTGTATTAGCATTGGACAAGAATAGGAATGTTAGAAATAAAGTAAAAGAATATAGACTCCACCACTGATTAAGAAAACACTTACCGTAGAAAGCCATCTGTCTTGTTGAGATACATCCGAACGAGAAGATTCAGAGAACCCGACTCTGTGTGATAAGAATTATTATTTCCCAGTGGTCGTAATTCCAAGGCTGAGATCAACGGTGTAGTTTTCCCTGTCTTAACAAGACAAACCTGCAATGAGTTTGATGTTGGAGTGTGAAGGATCTCCTCTATTGTACCATTCACAAACTTTTGCAAATCTATAGTTGCCCACAAATTAGGTCCTAGATGCAGATCAAATATTGGGTTAGAGTTAAGACCATCGTAATTCCCATAAATGAACCCAGCCCGGATCAAATATTTCCTATCCTTGTCAACACTCAGACTATAGCAGTTCCTTCTCTCATCTGGAAAATATCTCAGCCTCGTGTACGGCTTCAGGTAGTCATCCTCCATATTCGCCTGGATTTTACTACTGTTACCAGTCTGGATGAATTCAGCATCAGACGAGAACCGTAGTCCGGTTACTGACTCAATATAAGAAGACGGTTCACTCACAGGTAACCCACAATCCAAACTGATAAACTCTGGTAAGAGAGTGAAAAATCAAAAGCATATCAGGTACAAACATGACTGAATATCAAACATTAAGGAGAAGTAGATACATATACATATACATAAAAAACCAGTGAGATGCGGATACCTAGTTGATCCTGAGCTTGACCATTACGAAAAATGGCAAAAGCTCCGAATAGCAGCAGCAAAAGCCAACAAGGAGTATCCATACCCATAATAATAGCTTTTAGATATCAAAACATTACCAATGCCCAAGTTCGAGAGAAACAGCGTATAAATAGATAAAGCCAAGAAACAAGCCAAGCCTAGTCTTTGGCAACATGGCAAGATGTACTGACTTTGGAAATTCTATATAAAAAAAAAAAGTCAATGAAACGAATCGGGTAACCCACTCTTTAACTCATTAAGAAATGTTCACACAGAGACAGCAAGAAATTTGAATTTTAAGTGGTCATTGAAGCATATCGGGTATTTTACCACTAAATCAAAACACATTTTGACGTCTTCATCGACAAGAACAGCTTCGAATTACAAAGCAGAGGACTCACAATTATTAATGTTGATTATTTTATCTACACTGAAGCAAGTCAACATGAACTAACAAATTCCAGAACAAAGACGCCATTATCATATAGAATCACCTTCGGGCCATGAATCTGAGAGAAGTTTGAGTCCCATCTCTTTCAGCCGGCGTCGACAGGCAAATTAACTGTTGTGAGGAGACCGAATGTGGGGAATCTACGGCGATGAATCGGCCAAATACGGCAGAAATATCTCCCGCCGCTAGAAAGACGGCAATGACTATGAGTTCTCTTCATCGGCGATTAGTACTGATTTGCGAACGCGATCGACGATTTGGAGTTCTGAAAACGCAGTCACAGGAGTGTCGCGTTTTAAACGCAACGGTTGGTGTATTTATATGTATTTTTTTTGTACGAAGGATGCGAAAATGACGAAACTACTAGTTTTGGGCCAGACATGTATTTTTCGGCCCATTATCGAAAACGAATTCGGATCCATTATTGAATCAAACCTATCAGCCATCCGTTGTCACTTTCATCTGTCTCTCTACGCGAAGCGGTCCCGAGCAAAGTTAGAGAGAGAAATCCTCCGAGAAGACCGAAGAGAGAAAAAAAAAGAAAGAAAGAAAGATGAGGTTGTTCGATCCATGGCCAGTGTTCTTCAAGAGAGAATGGAAACGTTGTTGGCCGTTTCTCACTGGATTCGCCGTCACTGGCGTCCTCATCACCAAGCTCACGGCTGGATTCACTGGTAAGTCTCTTCAGATCTGACCGATCTTCATCGGAAATGAATGAGCCAATCCTCAATTGAATAATCGAATCGGATTTTATTGATGTAATTTTTCATGTGGTTGATTGTTGGATCGCTGGCTGTGAGAACCCTAATTTATGGAAATGTATTGATTCGTTTGCAGAGGAAGACGCCAAGAACTCCAAGTTTGTCCAACAACACAGGCGGTAATGTCTTCATCTTTCGATCAATCTATTCATTTCAGATTTTTATCTGTCTCGATCTTAGTTTGGAGTTTGTATGATTTTTCTGCATCTTTTGATTGAGTCATACGAAGATTTTTTTTTTTTCATTTCGTTCAAATTTCTTAGAAAATTGTTTGGTATATTGTAAACTTCATCAATCGTAATTCATGGTTTGGTATCTGGTTTTCTTCAATAAAGCTATACAGAAGATGCTCGTATGAAATGAAATGCATTGTCTATGTTTGAATAGTCTGCATCCGTTTCTTTAACCATTTTGATTCTGAAGATATGGTAATGTGTGAAGCATTATGAGTCATACACGAACTATCCCACCTCATTCAGATTAATACAGGAATTTCAACATTTAAGATTTCATAGGGGTACCATAGGACTAACCATTATACGCATTTGTTCATGATCTTCTGTTTCGAATTATTCAGGTGATCTACTGTCGTGAATTGTTAGAGGCTGAGAAGGCGACCTGTTCTTATGGAAACTACAGTGAGTGCTTCGGCTTTCAAACCTGCCTAATAACATGAAAGAGAGAATTCTAGACACTTATAAAACTCTCTTTTCCTTTTCTCTTTTGTTTTCACAACTCTTGAACAAGTGAAAATCTACTCTGTGGATCCGATTATTTTCTTATATGTTTGAAATGGATCTCTTCTTCTCTTTTAGTTCCCCCAATATAAAGTATATTGGTTAAGTAAGCCTTCAGTTGAATGATCGAATCCACCAACAAGCTTTTGATTCCTAGCTGGAAATGTTTTTCTTTACCCTAGTCTTATATATTAGTTAGTCATAATGTTAATTCCTGATTAACTTGAGAAAAAAAAAACCCTCTGCAACACCAGTTTCTGTTATATCAAAATTTCTGGATACACTTGTGCAGTGCAACGCAAGTCATACGCTTAGGTAAAAAAAATGGAAACTTGAACTACGACAATGTTCAGCAAGTTTGAAATGAAATAAATTTTCATTCATGGAATGATATGCTACGAAATATACTGTACTTTGTTACCACGTTTATATTAAAAAAAGCTTTCATTGGTTCAAATAAACATCGAACCAACTAAGAAAACTATTGTCATGCAACTTTTGGGTTTATTGCAAGCCAAGATCTTTCTTTAATTGAGCAAGAGTTGCTTCGATCTCATCAATATTGTCTTCTATACTGTTCTTCGTGCTATTATTGTTCCCTGACGATTTCTCCGTTGAGGAGCCTTCTTCAAAATCAAATCTTTGTCCGTCTTTGCTTGATCCTTCATTTTCTTCGTCGCTTATGTTAAGTTCTTTCTCGAGAAACTCCACAAATTCTTCCCCAATTTCCTGAGAAAAATATTAAGAAACATGAGAATCAAAAGGAGCAGAAAACGGGTTTTAGTATCTTAATCATCAGAACCGATTCTAAAAATTCCTTGATAGAAGAACAAAGTCACCAGCAAAAAACAATCTCAGTTTAGACGCTACCAACGAAAACTAAATCAGAAGGAAACAGGTTACTATAGAGTCTCTATGGATTTTTTTTTATTGACGCTTATAAACAATGAGGGAAATGCATTTAACCAGATCCGAGGTTTTGAACATGGTTAGTAGTAACAAAGTTTATTGAAGAAACAATCAGACTAAAACCCTTAAATAGAAGAAAAATCCAAATTTTGATAACCATGAAAATTTCAAGTTTAAGTTCATATTTGACATGAATCATGGACTCCGGGTTTTCAATAATCGGGGCTTACCGCTAGTTCTTCCCAAAGACTTTTTGGTTTTCCTTGTGAGGATGCACTAGCTTCCCAATTCTTATACTCTTCTTGAAGATCTTTGAAGAAATCCCCTGTCAATACCACAAAAAGTGAGCCTCTAAACGAACGACTAAATACAATTACGCAATGTTCTGTGCATAGTCTAGACATGCAAAAAACCAATCTAATGACAGAAAGAAAATAGATTTCACAGGTTGACTCTACCGATTGTTATTTGAACATCCCTCACGAATTCACCTGCATAATAAAATGTGTTATGCATAAGATCACACTGACCTCAATCAACCTAATCCCCCAAAAGATCACAACACATTAGAGAGAACACCGCACCAACTATCACTAAATGGACCTTGCATTGACATTATGTTGCGAAACACTCTGAACATTTTCAAAAACCCTATTTAGCATTGGTGTTTGAAACCCTTTGTCGATGCTTCTACACTGTTTTCATACAAAAATTATCTTCTCTAAATAATGTCAAGCCATAGTTTAGCATTAAGCTTCAAAGAATCAGTTCCCATATTACACAACAGGATCATGATACGACCTCAATTTAATAACAAATATATGGTGCTTTCAGGGGATTAGGGGTTTACCAAGTCCATAGAAATCTTCCTCGACTTGACTGCCACTTTTTTGACTTCTTTGACCCGTCGAGTATGAATAATCAGAAGCACGACTACTATCTGATCCGTACTTCCGCCGTGAGTCAGAGTTTATTAGGGTAGTGTATGCATGCTTTATTTTCAAAAACTTCTCTTGCGCATTTGCCTATACACCAAAAACACCCAGAGGATGAACTATACTTTTCTTCCACAAGGGTAAAGACTAAGTAATTTAAGTCCATCAACTAACTTCAAGTAGGTCTACAAACAATACACATACACATGACAGCACCAAACAAAGTCCAAATTTTATGAATTGGAATATATAGGACAAACATGTAAGCATTAAAGCATCCATACATACATAACTCAGATGAGTTAATTCCAATGAAACTGAAACCATAAAAAAGTACCTCTTTATTAACATCTGGGTGATACTTGAGAGCAAGTTTACGGTAAGCCCTCTTTATATCTTGAGGAGACGCTGATGGAGACACACCGAGAATCTCGTAAGGAGAGACTCTAGCTCTAGGGACGATGATTCGACTTCTCCGTCTTTGAATACCGCTCCGTCGTTTATAAAACGAAGTGAGACTAATGTCTCCACCATAGCAGCAACTTGTTACAGGAAAACCCAGAAAATTTAACCGATAAAGGAATGAAATTGGAGGAAGACGATGAGAAAGGAAGAAACTTTGTGGTGTTGGAGACCGAATCGTAGATGTTGCATACATAATTCTCTCTGTCTCATTGGATCGAATTCATCCTTTTTGGACAATCGAATCCGGTTATTGTTTAACCGCTATTCCAGTTTCCGGTTTTTTCTTCTTAATCGTAACATATGCTCCGGTTCGTACCGTTTAATCTGGTATAATCGTTTTCTTCGTTCTCTGTCCGATAAAATTGGGAGCTTTCATACTTCCCTCACTGAAATGTACCATCGACAATGCGGTTTTTGATAAATCTAGAAGCTTTGATTCTCATCCATGAACAAATTTCCTGTAATTCCTTGTTCGTTTCGGTTATTGTCGATCGGTTCTTATGTTGAACTCATCGAAAACAAAGGTCGTGATCGACTGCTTTCTGGAGGAAGAGTGCTTCATGCTCATCTGGTGACATCTGGGATTGTTCGGTGGACGAGAATTGCAGCTAAGCTTGTAACTTTTTATGTTGAATGTGGGAAAGTAGCAGATGCTCGGAAGGTGTTTGATGGAATGCCCAAGAGAGACATTAGTGGATGTGTTGTCATGATTGGGGCTTGTGCTCGTAATGGCTATTATCAGGAGTCTTTGGATTTGTTTAAAGAAATGAATAACGAAGGTTTAAAACTTGATGCATTCATCGTTCCTAGCCTTCTTAAAGCCAGTCGCAATCTGCTTTATCACGAATTTGGGAAGATGGTACATTGTCGTGTGCTGAAGTGTTCGTTTGAGTCTGATGCTTTTATTGTTAGTTCTCTTATTGATATGTACTCAAATTTTGGGGAGCTAGGGAATGCCAAGAAGGTGTTTGATGATTTGGGTGAACATGATTTGGTCGTGTTCAATGCTATGATCTCCGGTTATGCTAACAATCGCCAATCAGATGAAGCATTAAGCTTGATCAAAGATATGAAACTACTGGGAATAAAACCTGATATTATCACTTGGAATGCTCTACTTTCAGGATTCGCACATACGGGAAATGAAGAACAAGTATCTGAGATTCTTGAGATGATGTGTTTGGAAGGTCACAAGCCCGACGTTGTGTCATGGACTTCTATTATATCAGGCCTTGTACATAATTTTCAAAACGGGAAAGCTTTTGATGCTTTTAAACAGATGTTAACTCATGGGTTGTATCCAAATTCAGCTACGATCACCACGCTTTTGCCTGCTTGTACTACACTTGCAAATGTGAAGCACGGGAAGGAGATTCATGGCTACTCGGTAGTCACTGGACTAGAAGATCACGGTTTCGTTAGAAGTGCTTTGCTCGATATGTATGGGAAATGTGGATTCATATCAGAAGCAATGATTTTGTTTCGCAAGACGCCAAAGAAGACAACAGTTACTTTCAACTCGATGATGTTCTGTTACGCAAATCACGGGCTTTCAGACAAAGCAGTTGAGCTATTTAATCAGATGGAAGACACGGGAGAGAAACTAGACCACTTAACATTCACGGCCATCCTCACAGCCTGCAGCCACGCGGGTTTAACTGATCTTGGGCAAAAACTGTTCCATTCGATGCAAAGTAAGTACAGAATCAACCCGAGATTGGAGCATTATGCTTGTATGGTGGATCTTATCGGCCGAGCAGGGAAGCTTGTTGAGGCCTATGAGATGATCAAGGCTATGCAAATGGAGCCGGATTTGTTTGTGTGGGGGGCTTTGCTAGGTGCATGTAGAAATCACGGGAACGTGGAGCTTGCAAGGATTGCAGCAAAGCACTTAGCAGAACTCGAACCTGAGAACTCAGGGAATGGTTTGCTTCTGTCAAGTTTGTATGCCAATGCTGGTAGTTGGGAAAGTGTTGTAGGAATGAAGAAAATGATTAAGAAGAAGAAGTTTAGAAGGTTTCTAGCGAGCAGCTGGGTAGAAACTGTTTGATCCTAATGCTCGTTCGGTTATATCATCAAACTGAGACGTGTGTTAAGCATAATGGTGCCTCCAGAGATGATCTACAATTATGGTGGGAGACGTGGTTTTGCAATGTGGAAGGTAACAAAGACTAAGGAGAATCATGAGTGGGATAATGAGGCAATAGATGAATGGTACAAAGGGGAATCACCCGCAACCCCGAATGGTTATCTTATGATAATGATCGGAAAGAATGCTATATGGTGGAAGAATCGGAGTTGTGGGACATGGAGGATGAGTGGCTGCATCTCTTTGCTGAGTTTTCATTTTACATGAAATGGGATGGATTGTTTACACCGAGCAATATTGCAGAATGTCTCCCATTGAAGACAAAAACTGGTTTCGGAAACTTGAGAAGAAGATGGAACAGAACCCGCATGCCACGTGAGAAGCTCAAGGCAGCAAATGTAATCTTTTACATAAGTGTTGAATGTGGAGATGATGTGGTAACAGGTGAGGTTGCTGATTATAAAGTGGTTATACGAACGGCTATTGATGGAAAACCAGGACACATACGCCTAGAGGTTAGGTGCTTGGAGCATCTAATTTTAATCATGAGGTTTGTGTCAATAAAACGATTTTAGCCAGTTATCTTTTATTTATTTCTTAGTATATCTTGAAAGGAAAGGATAAGATTACTAATCAGATAAAGACAAAATGAAAGACTGAGATCTTTTGCTGATTCTGAATCTGAATTTTTCTGTTTTTCTTTTTGTCTATTTTATTACCTAAAGTCATCAAATTTGTATATTCCATTTAGAAATAAACATAAATATTTGAGACCATAGAACAGGTCAGATTAGATCTGGTGAGAGCAGAGAGCTTCCCCATCTCTTTGAGCTTCTTCCATTGCTGAATCGAGAGAAGGGGGATAAAAAAAAATGGAGGAAAAGCAAGTGAAGAAGAGAAGGATAGTGTTAATTCCAGTTCCAGCTCAAGGTCATGTAACTCCGATTATGCAACTTGGAAAAGCTCTTTACTTGAAGGGATTCTCCATAACCGTTGTTCAGACACAATATAATCGAGTTAGCTCTTCCCAAGACTTCTCTGATTTTCATTTCCTCACCATCCCAGATAGCTTAACTGACTCTGATCTCCACAGCCTTGGAGCACTCCCGTTTATTCTCAAACTCAATCAGGTCTGCGAGGAAAGCTTCAAGCACTGTTTCAGTAAACTAGTGCAGGAACAAGGTGATGATGAAATTGTGTGTGTCGTCTATGATGAGTACATGTACTTTTCCCAAGCTGCAGCTATGGCGTTTCAAATTCCTAGTGTCGTCTTCAGCACGACAAGTGCTACTGCCTTTGTCTGCCGCTCTGTTTTGTCTAAAGTCAATGCAGAGTCGTTCTTGCTCGACATGAAAGGTACTCAAGATTCTAGTATTCTTTTAATCTCATTTCAGTAGCCCATTTAGTCAGATAAACCAATCCAAATGCTGTTCTCTCTGCAGATTCTCAAACGCAAGAGAAGGTGTTTCCAGGGTTGGATCCTCTAAGGTACAAGGACTTGCCAACTTCAGCATTTGGGCCATTAGAAAGTATTATCAAGCTCTATTATAATGCTGTAAACATTCAAACAGCTTCTGCTGTTATCATCAACTCAGCTAGCTGTCTAGAGAGCTCGTCTTTGGCATGGCTGCAACAAAAACTACAAGTTCCAGTGTATCCTATTGGCCCACTTCACAGGGCAGCGTCAGCGTCTTCTAGTTTACTAGAAGAGGACAGGAGCTGCATTAAGTGGTTGGACAAGCAGAAACCAAGCTCAGTGATTTACATAAGCTTGGGAAGCTTGGCTCTAATGCAAATTAAAGACATGTTGGAGATGGCTTGGGGATTGAGTAACAGCAACGTACCTTTCTTATGGGTAATCCGACCAGGTTCTATTCCCGGGTCGGAATGGACAGAATCCTTACCAGAGGAATTCCATAAGTTGATTTCAGAAAGGGGTTACATTGTAAAATGGGCACCACAGATGGAAGTTCTCAGACATCCTGCAGTAGGAGGTTTTTGGAGTCACTGTGGATGGAACTCGACGCTAGAGAGCATCGGGGAAGGAGTTCCGATGATCTGTAGGCCTTTTACCGGCGATCAGAGGGTTAACGCGAGGTACTTAGAGAGTGTATGGAGAATTGGGGTTTTATTGGAGGGAGAACTGGATAAAAGAGCTGTGGAAAGCTCTGTTAAGAGGTTGACTGTGGATGAGGAAGGGGCAGATATGAGAAAGAGAGCCATTGAGTTGAAAGAGAAGCTCGAAGCCTCTGCCAGAAATGGAGGTTCCTCATACAGCTCATTAGACAACTTTGTCAATTCGTTGACGACACCGTGAAGATGAGATAGTCTCTGTCCAAAGTCAAAAAGTGTATCAGAAGAGATTCACTAAAAGGACGTGTAAACATTTTTTTCAGTGTAATTTTTGTCAGTTGTCTCTAAATAGAAGAAAATCTGCATTTGGAGACAAAAGCATTGTTTTGAGTTACTCTCTCGAACAGGAAAGAGATAACATCTTGATCTTATGCATTACAGTTTCTGAGACCAATTTCAGTCACACAGAAACCCTTACAAGATATTTTCATTTTTTTCATCATACCAAACAGATCAGCTGAGTCCACCCGGGCCACTTTGGTATCTGTCTGGATGGTCACAAACCCGACATTTGTGTCCTGAGATTTCTATCATATCTCCTTTCTACTTTTTAGAATGACAAAGCTTCCAAAAGCTACGATCACTGACTAGAAGATTACAAGTGCTTTTCTCGGTAGTAAAATGGTGCTTAAAATTGGATAAATGATCGTTTTGGGCTACAAAAATATTCTGTGTCTTTGGCGGCCGTGTCTGTAACTGAGACATCCACACTACAGAGTTTGAATCGTAATTACGGCAAGATGTCAGCTAGAGTGGCAGCTTTTATGTTCAGACTTAGATAATTCTGTAACACAGCAGAACTATCCAGAAATTAAATAGAAAAGAAAAGAAAAAGATAGAGATAGACATTAATTAGAAGATGGTCCAAAGTCCAAACACGAAAACATAAAATTAATATAGAAATTGAGAAAAAGAAGCCTTAAAGTGGGGCAGTTGACAACCTATAATCAACTGTGTAGTATCTATCCGATCCTTAGAGAAGAAGGTTACCAAAATTGTCATTTCTATCTTCGGTGTTCTTTGTCCATTTTGTTAACTCCACGTGCTTGTATTCTGATTTGCTTCTCCCTTTCACACATTGCTGAGAGCTTTCCCCAGCCTCAGAATTTAGTCCACTTAGGGATATAAATCTGATGGCGATGAGACCAATGTAACGGTTAACACATATCATATCCTTCACGTGCCTATAAAGATCACATCATAGCTGGTGTAACGCATTTAAGCACACTTATGTTTCTTTGACCTTTTTCCTTCATACATTGAGAAAGCAAAAAAGAGGGAGAGAACAAAGAGAGATAAACAATGGGAGAAGTACGAGAGAAGAGAAGGATAGTGTTGGTTCCAGTTCCAGCTCAAGGTCATGTAACTCCTATTATGCAACTTGGGAAAGCTCTTTACTCCAAAGGATTCTCAATCACTGTGGTTCTCACACAGTATAACCGAGTTAGCTCTTCCAAAGAATTCTCTGATTTTCATTTCCTCACCATCCCCGGCAGCTTAACTGAGTCTGATCTCAAAAACCTAGGACCATTCAGGTTTTTAGTCAAGCTCAATCAAATCTGTGAGGCAAGCTTCAAGCAGTGTATATGTCAGCTATTGGAGGAACAAGGTGATGATATTGCCTGTGTCGTCTACGATGAGTACATGTACTTCTCTCAAACTGCAGTTAAGGAGTTTCAACTTCCCAGTGTCCTCTTCAGCACGACAAGTGCTACTGCTTTTGTCTGTCGCTCTGTTTTGGCTAGTGTCAACGCAGAGACGTTCTTGACCGACATGAAAGGTACGCTAGATCTTTTTGTAGCTTGTTACCTCAAAATTCCCATTCATATAAACCAATCCAGCATGCTGTTTACTTTGTAGATCCTGAAGTGTCAGACAAGGTGTTTCCAGGGTTGGATCCTCTAAGGTACAAGGACCTACCAACTTCAGCATTTGGGCCGTTAGAGAGTATTCTCAAGGTTTACAGTGAGACTGTCAACATTCGAACAGCTTCCGCTGTTATCATCAACTCAACGAACTGTCTAGAGAGCTCTTCCTTGGCATGGTTGCAAAAAGAGCTACAAGTTCCGGTGTATCCTATAGGCCCACTTCACATTGCAGCTGCAGCGCCTTCTAGTTTGCTAGAAGAGGACAGGAGTTGCATTGAGTGGTTGAACAAGCAGAAATTAGGCTCAGTGATTTACATAAGCTTGGGAAGCTTGGCTCTAATGGAAACCAAAGACGTTTTGGAGATGGCTTGGGGATTAAGTAACAGCAACCAACCTTTCTTATGGGTGATCAGACCTGGTTCTATTCCTGCCTCGGAGTGGATAGAGTCCTTACCAGAGGAATTCAGTAGGTTGGTTTCAGAAAGAGGTTATATAGTGAAATGGGCACCACAGATGGAAGTTCTTAGACATCCAGCAGTAGGAGCGTTTTGGAGTCACTGTGGATGGAACTCGACGCTAGAGAGCATCGGGGAAGGAGTTCCAATGATCTGTAGGCCTTATACAGGCGATCAGAAAGTCAATGCAAGGTACTTAGAGAGAGTATGGAGAATTGGGGTTCAATTAGAGGGAGAGCTGGGTAAAGGAACTGTGGAGAGAGCTGTAGAGAGGTTGATTCTGGATGAAGAAGGAGCAGAAATGAGGAAGAGAGCCATTGACTTGAAAGAGAAGCTTGAAGCCTCTGTCAGAAGTGGAGGTTCCTCATGCAGCTCATTAGAAAACTTTGTTAATTCCTTGAAAATGAAGAATTCTATGTAGTCTCTTTTCAAAGTCAAGACTGTATCAGAAAAGATTTGTTTTAGTATTATGAAATGAAATGTCTTTCAACTGATAAATAATAGTTTCTGCATTCGGAGTCAAGCATTTCTCTAGGTGACGACCTTGCCGCTTCTCTATTACAGTTACTGAATGCAAGTTCAGTCACTTTCAGTTTCTTCAAATATTTTCACTTTGTCGACTGAGTCCAGTCGAGCCAGTTTGGTTTCTGCTCAAGATCAGCAAAGAGTCACGTTTCAAGAACTGTTAGAGTGTGTTGTTCTATCTTCAAGATCATGTTCTCTGCCAAAAAGCTGATCTGATCTTGCTAATTGTGGAAGAATGGGAGATTTTGAAGAGAAGTCCTCTCAGCATCAATTCTCAGCGAGGAATGGAGGCTCTTCAATCTTCATACAACTTGCGTGAGTAACTTCCAAACAGGAAAATTGCATAACCAAAATATATAGTTCTTCCTATTACTAAAAAACAGAAGGTTACAAAAAAAGCCTCCATTGAAGAAACAAATTTGTCAGACGAAGCAGCAGTGAGTGTATGGGTGAGTGATTCTATATCAATCAACTTGGATTCAATTGATAGAAGCAATCTACGCTGAATCAATCCAATGATTCTTGATGCTTTCAAAAACGGACACGAGTGACCCACATCAAAAGTGAATATAAAGATAATGTTAGAATATGGTGTGACCAGAAACATCCACTGAATGAAGCATGCAGATCAGTCAAAAAAAAGTTATCTTCTAAGTTCTAATGGAGACTCCATATTGGTCACCGAAATATTCTATGGATTTTCTCATGACACTTTATTTATTTAGGCACATATGAAAATGAAAATTACTAAAAGAGTACTAACTCATTGTGGGCAAAGAGGAAAAGGAAAAAAACAAAACATTAGCGTATTGTTGAAATGTCACTTTCTTCCTTATGGTTAGGAGTTATTGGTGTGTGACCTTCCAACACAATCAAAAGATATTTTTCTTAAGAAAGAGAAAAAGTATTGATAGAAAGAAGAAAAAAAAAAAACATGAGACTCTCATTTGTTGCTATATTCATTATCCAAACACAGGAAACAATGAACAAACTGAGAAGATGTCTTGAATTTAACAAGACTACAAGTGTGAGAAGTCATGAGAAGTATTTACCTCATAAAAATGGAGATCAAGAACTTGCAAAGATGAGTTAAATTAATACATAGTCAATCGAACGAGATTTTATCTTAAAGAACATATAACAAAAACTTCTAGGATTTAGACCAAAACACTAACTTGTGGAGGAACCATCAAAAGTCATAGATAACACTATCCTAGTAATCATCAAAGAATATGAATCAGTGATTTCTAGGTACATATCTGTTTATGAGCTACCCAAGAGCTAACAGCAAATCTCGGTTACATTCAGTGTCAGATTCTGATGAGTGTGTGTTAAACATCAAATCTGGTTTGTAATTAGGATATTAAATTACCTTAAGCAACAAAGGGCACAATAGCCAACAGCTTATTATGAACAGAGGTTATAAACAATCCTCAAATAGTGTAAAAGTTCTAAAGTATACTTAAGATAAACAGGACGAACACAAAGCTCACCTATCTGTCCTTGTCTGTAGAGTAAATTACAGACCTTTAGGATCCATTTACTTGTCATTCACGTTACCACCACCAACAGAAGGAGAGTTCACCATGGTTCCAAACCTATTCTGCTGCATCATCATATATTGGTTTGATTCATTTCCATGGTTACGAAGCTGATGATATTGTCCTTGCATACCCATGTGATTCCCATAGACTGGCATCTGAATCATCGAAGTAACCCCCAATTTCCCATTACTTCCTCCGCCGTCTTGAAAGCTCTGTGGAGGCACCGGCGTTGAAGAGAAGAGCTGATCCGACGAATACGGTCCTTCTTCCGTTGTCAATCCTTGAACCCGTTTAAGGTAAAGCCTATACTTCTGCAAATGAGACGCGACGTTCTCACGACTAAGTCCTTCAACGTTCATCAGCTGCATAATTGTCTTGGGCACTGCGGATTTGATCCCTAAGTGAGCCACAACGTCAACGAATCTCTTGTGAAGCTGCGGCGTCCACACTAAACGCGGTCGTTTCAATGTCTTCCCAGACGCATGATCTTCAGTTCCGGAATCACCTTCCTCCTCCGCCATGGAATCAACCGCAGCCTCACCTCCATCTGATTTCTTCTGTTTCTTCGGATCTGATCCAGGGCTACTCGATCCAACTCGATCCACGACCTCCTCCGCCGAATAACCATTGGCACTGCTGCTTCGCAACGAAGAGATCGTGATCTGCGACGCGCGATTGACGTCGTGAACCGTACGGCTCCGTTCTGGGATTATGCTAAAAGCTAACGCCAAAATCGAAGGGACTAGAGATTGAGACAACGGAGTCAAATCATCACCGTCGGGTAATCCAATCTCCCATTCCGGAACCCTATCCTGTTCTTCGCCGCCGGCGTCGTCACCGTAATCGCTCATCCTAACTTCCTTCCCCATTTTCCACACTCTCTTCGTTTTCAGAAATTTCTTCACGGGTTTCAAATCAACACGATCCTATTGAAGCTCAACTACAACGACATGTGAAACTTCGGATCAGAGATCGGAAAGAAGACCGGAAAATTCGCAGAGCCTAGTTTTTTCCAATTCGATTTTTCCCTTTTTTGGAAAAGGTGAAGAAAAAAGTGCAATATCGACTCCGAGTCACTGCCTACGTGGACGAGTAACAAGTTAGCTAGATATTTTGATCTTCTCATCATCACCGTCTACACGCTCTATTAAACTAACACGTGTACTTATCCATACATAAACGAAATCCATCAGCCGTTGGATTGGTAGTTTTAGATATGTATACTGACATCTAAAGATCAATCTAACGGCATCTAACTGATGATATGAGTTCATTAAAAAAGCAAATTAACTCCTGCCTTTTATTGGACTATATCTAGGCCCATTATATTTTTCGCTAGCCCAATACCTGTGTTCCAAATCTTCGCGTACAAGAACATCTCTTTCCAGATCGCCGCGCGACTCGGCAGCACTCTGAACTCAAATCACAATGTCTCACTGAGTGCACTCGGTAGCCTTCACATTCGAAGCGTTATCTGCTTCATCTGTATCGCAAGCGAGCTTCTTCGATCTCCGTCCTGTGTTTTCGTCACTACTCGTAAGTTTAATTTCTAAGGTTTTTGTCGATTCAAAGTAGATAGACCAGAATCAAACAAAGAGATTGATAATTAGGTTTATGAATCGAAACTTTGTTGTTGATGTTTAGGGGGTATAACCAGTTTCTGGAATCGTTGCATTGAGTAGAAGCCCTAATTTTGGGGGCGTGTGTAGTGGTCTAAATGAGTAATTAGACAAGAAGAACCAGTTTTCTTATCCAAGCTTCAATGGAAGTAAGTGTTAAAACCCCAAGTAGTGATGGTGAGTGGACAGTGGTCTTACCTAGTAAAGGAAGACAAGGAAGAAGACGCAAACCGAAACCTAAGGTTCATCAAGAAGAAGAACAACAACCATGGAAATCAGATGATCTTGAAGTTGATCCGCAGAGGCAAGCAAGACTAAAGCAGAAGATGGAAATCTCTATGAAGAAAATCGAAACCTCGGAGTTTTACACAGCATTCTTAGAGCAGCTCAAGTCTCCTGAGGTTTCAGACCAGATTCGCCTCGTGTTAGGCACTGATACACAGCTTCAGATGGTGATGTACGGTATAGGCAGCATCGAGTCTTATGAATCTCCGAGGTTTCAGCTGAGCATTGCAATTTTGTTGAAGAGAGAATTTGATTGGGTTGGTGATAGCATAGAAGTGTTTGATCCAGTTCTCTCTGCAACCGAATCTAGTTACCTAGAATCTTTGGGATGCACTGTCCTATCTGTGAACGAGCAAGCTCGAAGGGAAGCTTTAAAGCCTACTCTATTCTTTATGCCACACTGTGAGGCCAATTTATACTGCAACCTATTGGAAGCAAATTGGAGAACGGACCGATTGTGTAGAATCGCATTGTTTGGGAACAGCTTTCAGATGTATGAGGAGCAAGTTTCGTTTGACCCAGAAGTCATCTCTGCCACCAAACGAATCATAGCTGCACAAAGAATCACAAGCGAGTTTGCAATTGAGACAGTATCAGAGGATTACTTTGCAGCATTCCATGATTCAAGTTGGCATTTTTTCAGTTCTGGTATAGATTCAGAGCTGCCATTGTTCGTTTCAGAGGAATTTTAGATCCTTGTTTGTAATACTCTTTGATTTCACCTGTGTACCATTAGTTCCTCTGCATAATTTTTGCCATCAAAGATTCAAATTGAGGGGGCAAACCAAATTGAAGTTGTTTCAATGCAGGTCAATATAATTCAGGTCATACTTGCAAGCCTCCGTTCATTTCTCTGTCAGTCAGTTGGATTTGTTTCACACTATTCCATGGAAAAATGAATATGTTATCGCACAAACTAACATGTTATACTCTACTGTTGTGCCTAGCAATTGAGTAACAAACACTTAAGTGTATTCAGCTAAAAGTTGATAGTTTCATATGACTTAAATGATAAATCCATTTCTAGGTAGAGATGTGGCAGTCGAAAACACTCAAAATCCTCTCCTCAGCACTCCAATCCAGGACTACATCTATATGCATAATTTGAAGTAACTAGCTTACTATAAATGGTTTGTACAAACTAGGCAACTAGCCTCGAAATGGATTTAAGTAAAATAATCAAAATATGATATTGATACCAAAAAGCGTAACAAGAAATGAAAATGTAATACCTTTCGGCTTTGGTCTTAATTGAATAACATAATTGTCTATTATGAGATTATGATATAGAGCCATGAATGTTTTTAAAACAAAAACAAAAAGAAAAAAAAGTGGATAACGTTTAGAAGAAAATTTCAACTACAATAAGTGAATCAGTATAAGAAACAAAAGACAACTAGATACAGTCAGAGATCCTCAAAAGAAAAAATGGACATTATTAATTAATTGGTCCTATACATAAAAAGGGACAAACTCTACTATCCATTCTCGACCTTTGTTTCTTTATCTTCATTTCTCCGTTTCATTCATATAGCAGAAATAAACCTTAGGAAGACCGGAAGAACAAAACCATGGTGACCAAAAACTCAATCGAATTCGAACGTTACATAGAGCGCAAAGCTTTTGACGAGACAAAAGAAGGTGTAAAAGGGATCGTTGACGCTAAAATAACCCAAGTCCCTCGTATCTTCCACCACCCTCAAGATACCTTAACCGACAAGAAACCCTCTGTTTCAGACCTAGAGATCCCTGTCATCGACTTTGCAAGCGTCCACGTAGACACAGCGTCACGTGAAGCCGTCGTAGAGAAAGTCAGATCCGCAGCGGAGAATTGGGGATTCTTCCAAGTGCTCAATCATGGTGTTCCTTTAAACGTGCTTGAAGAGATCCAAGACGCAGTTCGTAGGTTTCACGAGGATGATCCTGAGGTCAAGAAATTATACTTCTCACGTGATCCCACCAAGAACAAATTTATTTACAATAGTAATTTCGATCTATACAGTTCTTCGTCGTCTGTTAACTGGAGAGATTCTATCGAATGTTACATAGCTCCAGATCCTCCGGCCCCTGAGGAGCTCCCTGATACTTGCAGGTAATGAGAACATATTACTTCTTTAACTGAAGGATAACAAACCATATAAATTTTGAGCTAGCTAGACAAATTAGATCATACTAATTGGTTTTTAGAGATGGAAACTCATGATTCCTTAAGTAATTGATATCTAACATTGTTTTGTTGACTCAGGGATGCTATGTTGGAATACTCAAAGCATGTGCTGAGTTTAGGTGGTTTGCTCTTTGAGCTTTTCTCAGAAGCACTAGGTTTGAAATCTGAGACCCTCAAGTGCATGGATTGCCTGAAAACTTTGCTTATGATCTGTCATTATTACCCACCTTGTCCACAACCAGACCTAACTTTAGGGATAAGTAAACACTCAGACAACTCCTTCCTCACGGTTCTTCTTCAAGACAACATCGGCGGTCTTCAAATTCTTCATCAAGACTCTTGGGTCGATGTCTCTCCCCTCCCCGGAGCTCTCGTCATCAACATCGGAGATTTCTTACAGGTACAGTAAAATTATTGTAAAAAAATAAAAAAATACAAATACTTTAAGATTAAGTGTCTTTTGTTTATATTCTTACGTTGGATTTGATATTGATATTGCAGCTTATAACGAACGATAAGTTTGTAAGTGTGGAGCATAGAGTTCTTGCAAATAGAAAAGGACCAAGGATTTCAGTAGCTAGCTTTTTCAGCTCAAGTATACGTCCAAATTCAAGAGTTTATGGACCGATGAAAGAGCTTGTGTCGGAAGAAAACCCTCCAAAGTACAGAGACACAACCATAATAGACTACTCCAAAGGATTCTTTGAGACAGGTCTTGATGGAACATCGCATCTCTCTAATTTGAGGATATGATAAAATATAAACGACAGGTTTGTATTTTTTTACAACTTTCTTTGGTTCAGTTACTCTATTTCTCTAGCTTTGCAATAACTAAATCAATGTATCAAAACTTAGAAAGAAGCGTGTGTGTCTATCAATGTATGTGTGTATGTTAAGCTACTCTTTCTACATACAAATCTATCTTTTGATGTAGTGGTCAAAAAAAGACACTCAATTTCAGCACTAAAATTTATTAAAGTAGAATCAAGGGCTATCTATATGAGTAATTGAAAAACTAATCTAGTCCGTATAATAAAACAAAAAGTACCGAAGAAACAAATTCAATTACGACAACTTATTATAGTCAGAGTGAGAGAGAGATAAGAGTGAAAGAGACAACATTAATATCAATATGTAATCATCATTGATGACGATTCATTAGTTCCGGTCAAAATACACAACTCCTAAATCGTCCTCTTTAATCTTCATTTTGCTTTTTCCTTAGAAAGAAGCAAGAAACAGTAAAATGGCTAAAAACTCTATCGAGTTCGATTGTTACACTGAGCGCAAAGCTTTCGACGAGACAAAAGAAGGTGTAAAGGGGCTCATCGACGCTAAAATCACTGAGATCCCTCGCATTTTCCACATCCCTAAAGATACCTTACCGGAAAAGAAACCCTCTGCCTCTGTTGCAGACCTAGCGATCCCTACCATCGACTTTGCAAGCATCGGTGTGGACGCAGCGTCACGTGAAATCGTCGTAGAGAAAGTTAAATATGCGGTGGAGAATTGGGGATTCTTCCAGGTGATTAACCATGGTGTTCCTTTAGACGTTCTTGAAGATATTAAAGATGCAGTTCGTAGGTTTCACGAGGAAGAAGATCATGCCGTCAAGAAATCATATTACTCTCTTGATTTCACCAAGAACAAATTTGCATACAGTAGCAATTTTGATCTCTATAGTTCTTCACCGTCTCTAACTTGGAGAGATTCTATCTCTTGCTACATGGCTCCTGATCCTCCCACTCCTGAGGAGCTCCCAGAGACTTGCAGGTAACGTAAACATACTAACTTCAACTTCAGCCAATGGCAAAATTGAATAGTCAAGACTTTTTTGAGAGTGATTAGTTCTATAAGTATTGAATTATTTCAGGGATGCTATGATTGAATACTCAAAGCATGTGCTGAGTTTAGGCGATTTGCTCTTTGAGCTTCTCTCAGAAGCACTAGGTTTGAAATATGAGATCCTTAAGAGCATGGACTGCTTGAAGAGTTTGCTTCTGATCTGCCATTATTACCCACCTTGTCCACAACCTGACCTAACTTTAGGGATAAGTAAACACTCGGACAACTCCTTCCTCACGGTTCTTCTTCAAGACAACATCGGAGGTCTTCAAATTCTTCATCAAGACTCTTGGGTCGATGTCTCTCCCCTTCCTGGAGCTCTCGTTGTCAACATTGGAGATTTCTTGCAGGTAAAGCAACAATCTGAAAGAAAACAGATACCGTATGATATTAAAATCAAACATGTTTTGCTAATACATATCAAGTTTTATTTTGAAGTTGATAACAAACGATAAGTTTATAAGTGTGGAGCATAGGGTGCTTGCGAATACACGAGGACCAAGGATTTCAGTAGCAAGCTTTTTCAGCTCAAGTATACGTGAAAACTCAACAGTTTATGGACCGATGAAAGAGCTTGTATCTGAAGACAACCCTCCAAAATACAGAAACACAACCTTAAGAGAATACTCAGAAGGATACTTTAAGAAAGGTCTTGATGGAACATCGCATCTGTTAAATTTCAGGATATGAAACTCATGACATTTAAAATAAAAATTAAAAGCATATTGTCTTATTTGCTTGTAAGATATTCATATCATATATGGATTGTTGTGTTTCTTACATCAGCTACTCTGTTCTTGGCTCTGCAACAGTTAGTCAATTCAATGTACCGAAAATAAGAAGAAGTAATCTGTTTATAATGTGACTATGTGTAATTAAGCTACTTTGTATCTGGATCTTTCTTAGCCGTAACCCATATATATAATATAGGTATAAGAGTATCAGTAAATGTTTTACATTCGTTTTGATATAATGGTTCAAAGTTATTACCTCTTCAATTTAAAAGGTTTTTGCCAAAAATCTTTATATAAATGGATAATCCTGTCAATATTAAAAGTTGTATATCAAGTCTACACTTAATTAATCAATATGGATGTAGCTGTCATTATGCTGATCAGATTCGTCATGCCGTCCATCACCACCTGATTATTTGAATGTATACAACATTTTTGAAATATGATTAGATAATCAGACTTCACAGGACGGGCACGGTCTCTATATTTCTTTAGTTTTCTTTTTCAATTTCTTATGCAAGATATGAATTAGACCAAAACTTATAGATCTTAGTTCGACCTAAAATCTTCTGTTTTCTATAAAGTATATGATTGGTCTACGTACATGGTGATGATTAGATGCAAATATGATTCGTTAAACTATTAACATTTTTGAATAAGTAAAATAGATTAGTTGTTTAAAAAAAAAACCGTGACTATATATAAAGAATCATGCACTAGTTAAAATGGAGATATGATTGACATATAAGTGTACCGTGGTACTAATTAAAAGTGTAGTAAGTAACTAGATTGACATATATATATATCAAGTGCTCAGCTCTACAATAATTACTGGTATTGTTGATCAGTTGAAACTTTGTTCGTCTTCGGTTTCATTTTTTGGCATCATCAACAAATCACAAATGGTCCGGTCTGAAAACGATGTATGTCATCTCTATAAACCTCTTGGCTCTAGACAATGTAGCAACTAAACAAAACAAGAGAAGAAACAAATTATCATTTTAATATTACTTTGTTTTCGTCAACGCTGATACTAATTAGGGAGATGATTGTATTGTATCAGCCTATCCAGTGCGGGGCGTTTCACAAGGAACCAGCTCTTTGGTCGCCGGCGATTTAGCTATTAAGTTATTACATTATAATATGTACATTTTGTAGTACAACTTCCGAATGACTTTACCGTTGTACTTTGTCAGAGCAAATCCCCAACAATAAAAGTCAACACTGTACTACAAACACCTACAATATAAAACATGAACTAAATATGTATGTTCCATGAAAGTGAAAAAAGAGCACAAAACAAACAAACAATAATTGAAATAAAAGAAGAACAAATAACTAAAAATGGCTTTGTGTTCCAATAAAACCCTAAAGTCAACTCTCTTCTTCTTCTCTGTTCTCTTCCTCTGTTTCTCCTTCATCCTTGCTCACGGCGGCATAGACGACGGGGACGAAGAAGAGCAGACTAACCAACCACCTCCGGCAACCGGAACAACCACCGCCGTGAATCTCCGATCGAGGAGCTTGGTGCTTGTGAAGATCTACTGTATTCTAATACTCTTCTTTAGCACATTCTTAGCCGGGATTTCACCTTACTTTTACCGATGGAACGAGTCTTTTCTCCTCCTCGGGACTCAATTCTCCGGTGGTATATTCCTCGCGACCGCTCTAATCCATTTCCTCAGCGACGCCAACGAGACTTTTAGAGGATTGAAACACAAAGAGTATCCTTACGCCTTCATGTTAGCAGCCGCTGGATATTGCCTTACAATGCTCGCAGACGTGGCCGTTTCGTTTGTTGCGGTTAACCACCACGGCCGAGGAGCTGGCGCCGTAGAGTCTAGGGTGGGTGATGACGTGACAGTGAAAGAGGAAGGCCATCATGGTGTTGATGTGAATCAAGTGCTTATACGGACGAGTGGATTTGGAGACACAGCTTTGCTCATTTTTGCACTTTGTTTTCACTCCATCTTCGAGGGAATTGCCATTGGTCTCTCAGGTAAACTCTCAATGAAATAACCTTAATTGTCGCTAAGTAACCATGTAGCTAAACTATGTACGTCAATCATTCATATTTTATGTGACTTTTGATTTTAGTAACCTAGCTAGTCATTAGGTTTTGGTCCATGGTTGAATTATGGTAAACCTCTTATTCAAAGTGTAAATCATTCTGAGTATTGTATGCAAAATACTAGTTCTAAGGTACTACATACGTATAATCTAGCTAGATATTACGAAATATACGACAGACATAAATTGATATAATGTTGGACCTAATTCATGATGTGTATATAAATATAATTGTGAGACATTATTCTTTAATAACCTTCTCTTATGAATATTTTGGTCAGTGACTAAAAGCGACGCTTGGAGAAACCTATGGACAATATCATTGCACAAGGTCTTCGCAGCCGTAGCAATGGGAATAGCTCTCCTCAAGCTAATCCCCAAACGACCATTCTTCCTTACTGTTCTCTACTCCTTCGCCTTTGGGATATCGAGTCCCATAGGCGTAGGGATTGGCATTGCCATCAACGCCACTAGCCAGGGAGCAGCTGGTGACTGGACCTATGCGATATCTATGAGCCTTGCGTGCGGAGTTTTCGTGTATGTAGCGGTTAACCATCTCATCTCAAAGGGATACAAGCCTCGTGAGAAATGTTACTTCGACAAGCCAATCTACAAGTTTCTTGCTGTCTTCCTCGGCGTTGCTTTGCTCTCTTTTGTTATGATTTGGGATTAATTTTGTTGGTGATACTTTAGTTTTTCGTTGATTAGTTTTTCTTTCTTTCACTTGTCTTTGTTCAAGAATCAAGATATTGTTTTCCTATCATCAACGTTTATGGAAAGTAACAATTCAATGTAAATTATTGTAAAACAGAAATTATAAGCAAATGTGATGACTAATGAGCCACCATTACAGATTATATTCGGCCTATGTCAAGCCCAACAATACGACTGAAAGCAACAAGAAAAAGTACAAAAAAAAAACAATGGGGTTTAAATTGCAAATAGTTATATCAATTTTACGAAACAAAGGATAGTACTAATAATTTTTACTTAATCAGTAATAATGGACCGACATATATAAATGCGAACGGTGGACCTGAAACACCGGACACTTGGTACAGTTTTGTTTATGTCTTTTAACTTCCCAATGTTTCAGAAAGGAATCTCTCTAACTTCAATACGAACTATGCAACCAATTCAATCAAGAGGAAAAAAAAATATAGAGCGTGAAATAAATTCCATGACATTTGTATTACATTACATCATGAGTCAATGGAACAAAAATGACTAAAAAATAAACACTTCCATTTTGATGTGACAATTTTATAGCGGTTAAGTAGAGATGTTTAAAACCCTTAAATGTAGTATTTTAGATGTTTTGACACAATTAAATAACAAAACAAAATCGTAAACACTCTTTCATTTGAAGCTTTTTTCTGACATAATAGATTTTATTTTCAATATATTGTAGCAAGAAATTTGCTTTTTATTGTTTCTTTTTGTTTAGAAGTATAAAACAACACTCTCTGTAATATTATAACATACATTTCATTAAAATGGAAAGAGTGTATCTTTAATACAATAATTTTTTTCAAAAAATTTAACGGAACGGTAAAGAATGAAAGGGAAAAAATCGAGTAAAATCTGTAAAAATATTTAACCTAATCTTTTGTTTCTTCTTCACATCTTCTATAACAATCGATCTCAGGCATGTTTGTGCCAACAAAGGAGCATTGAAACGCAGCGTTTCATGATGTAAAACCGGGACTTGTGCTCCTTGGCAATATTACGACACTTTCGGGTCACGGAAGCTCCTTTCTGAGACAAGCTCCGAGGGATGGAACACTTTGAAGCGGAAGAAGTCATAGAAGATGTGTCAGCTTGGCATTTGGTTGAACCGCTTCTAGACAGAAACGGAGATTTCGAAGGAGCAGGTTTTGCAGAGAAGCTTCGTCTAAAGATGGGCTCTGATGATGAAGAGTAGGAAGTGGGTTTAGTTGAGAAACTTCGTGTGAAGATAGGTTTCGAAGAAGAAGAGGAAGAACAAGTTTTAGTTGAGAAGCTTCTTGTGAAAACATGTTTTGAAGAGAAATGAGTGGTTTCGAAGATGGGATCTTTCTTGGAAACTTTCCACAACTTTTCATCATCCATGAATCAATCAAGAGTGGCTTCGTTTGATCCAAGTCAATGTATAAATGTACATCAATGTGTAATAAGTGTATCTCTCTCTGTGTGTGTTCGATGTTTGAGTTGAAGACGGAGCAAAAGATATATTAGAGAGCTTGGAATGAGATAGGTCAAACTTCTAAGGCAGTTCTTGTAATATTCACACACGTATCTATAGAGATTGTCCAAAGAAATAATACTTGTCTTAAATCGATGAAAAATTAATTATTATTTGTGGTGGTGTTATTCAGTAGTATTTTATAAAAAAAAATATTTAAAAAAACAGACAGTTGTAAAAGTTAATGTAGTATATAAAATTTGGAATTATGTTTTCAAACGTAATACTTGAAAAGTGACAAAACAATTCATCATAGTAAATAATATTTTCACAATCCAAAAACAAAGATATGAGTTTTTTTTTTCTTTCCAATATGAATATGATCGTTAATTAGTTTTCAAAAGTAACATGGGATAAGCATAGTATCAAGAGATTCTGGTTTAATCGGGCTACATTTTCATATTAAAAGTATTAGAAGTACACAAGCTTATTTAACTATATGGTATCGACGTCATTACTTAGAAACTCTGTCATCGTTAATTACTTATTCGAAAAGCTTACAAAAATACCGGATTAAAAATATTATCAAGAGTTGGGACCATTAGTGTACGATTACCCAAAGAAAAGTCGTAAAACAAATAGCATTAGTGAAATTTGAATTTTACTTTCACAATATTCCATTGCACGATTTGACCACCCAATTTATGTAAACTTTGAAAAACTAATATACTCTTTATCACAAAAACTTTCAAAATATTTCTTATTTCGAGTTTCTTTATAAATTATAATACACTAATTTCTCCCCTAACCTATATTTTTTGTTTGTAAGAAATATTGCGCCCCGAGATTCATATGATCCATGTGAAAAAAATGTTTTTATTTTTTCTTGATCAGGTCAAAGAAACTACACAATAAAGCTTGGGACCAAAGGCAAAGAATTGACCCCAAAAAAAAGAAAAACACTTATGGACCATTTTCACATGTGACCATGTGAGTTCCCCACAAGCGTAGCCACAAGAGACTTCTCACTTCTGAGTTCTCACTATACACATTCAACTTTGAACCTTATCAGTATTTTTAAATGCACGGTTGTTATAATCTTGTTTGGGTTTTTAAAGCATGTGTGGGGGATCCTTTGAAAGGTCCACATGTGAATGGTTTCTGCCAATAACTAAAGCAAGATGGAAACACCATAAACTAAAAGATATTTCACAACATGTGCATGATCAAGAAATTGTCAAGTCATAAACAAGAAAAGAGACTTTTTTTACCTTCTGTTTTTTTGTGTGTGTCCTTGTAGGATCTCCAAGACATCTTCAACCTTCTTCACTAGAGAATGAACAAAGAAACTGACAATAGTAGCCATGTATTTGCTGATGCAGCATCATCAAGATTCCCACTCGAAAAGGAACCCTTTTCTTCAGATCAAGGGGTGAAAACAAAGGGAACCACATCTCTTGTGAATCTTAATGGTGCTGCATCTGCGACTACTGGCTGATAAACATTCACCAAAGGCTATACCTTTCCTAATTCATCGAGAGAACCCAGCTATATCAACCGCAGAAAAGATCCTTATCGGTTTCGAGCTCTAAAGCTGGGAACTTCTTTGGTTTTAACCAACAAATGAAAAAGCAAAGAGGAAAGCAAGAGAATTCAGAGAGCAGATGAATCAGTAAGATGATTTTGGTGAGAAGCAATTGAGAGAGATAGGTACATGAATGAATATATACACTCATATGAAGAAAGCTAGTTGGTCGATGTAAAATCACTTGGAAAGGGACAGAAGTAGCATCGAGATCTCTAATTGACTTTTGAATAAAGAGAGAGATCGCATCAATATAACACAATCCCACTTCACTATACAAGTGTCAGGAACAGAAGCCAAAGCTAAAGAGTTTTCAATATGACATATCTGATATCTCCAGATTTCAAGTGTTTTATACACAAACCTCAAAACCTTTTTTCTCCAAAGTACCATGAAGAAGCCAATTAAAGAAACATTTCCAGGTGGAGTTTGATAATGGGTTGCAAATGCAAAGGACGATAAAATAAAGTTTTATCAGGATACAAGAATTTTATTAAACTAAACATGATTGATTAGTGTGGAACAAGTGGGATTAGGAAAATTATTAGATTAGAAATGTCACTTTATTTAGACTAATCATGATTAAGATTGTTCCTTGTGCGGTTTCTTACGTGTAAAGGCGAAAACACTCAGAAAACAGGCAGCTTTAGTTTTTAACTGGAGGTGTTCATAAACTTTTAAGTCAGGGAATCAGTTTTAGATCAGGAGATTCACAAAATTAGGGTCACATGTACCCAATTAAATGGAACAAGAAAAGAAAACGGATGCAGCAAATCACGGTTAATGATGCAACAGCAAAACTGGATCACCACAAAAGGACAGAAGATAAGGCACTAACACTATAAAGCACTCAATCAAAATATGTGTTAGTAAATCACTCAACACTCATAAGCTACAGCTACAAGCAATCAAGATGATGTGAAGTTTGGTTTTCATAAGAGCCAATCAATTTCCAGATCTAACCCAAAGTTTTAAACTTTAAACTAATATTACTAGTTAATAATACTAATTAGAAATATCTTGAAATAGAAATTAAGAGAACCATGAATAGCATATAAGCATATCCCTTTCACAAGCCTAATATTCCATTAAAAAAATAATAAAATCCAACTCATCTTCATTCATACATCTTTGACTGATAGATACCAGATAATTAGACACAATACAGTTCCTCTAAAGCTAGCACTAGTAAACAAAAGGAATGAACTTGTGCCTAACCTTATTAGCATAATCCGAATAGCTTTGCCCGAAATTCTCCACCATCAATTCCTCCTCCAGCTTTGCCTTCTTGTTATAGTAAACCAAAGAAACCGCTAAAAGAAACAACAGACTCAAAGGCGCACGCAGAGCAGTGCAGTATGTAGCGAAAAGAAGCACCGTAGAGGCATATATCGGATGCCTGACCCATCTATAAGGACCAAATTGCACAACAGCTGTTGGAACAACAACCTTTTCAGAATATCTAGCAAGATATAGCGTTGAATCATAATGCATAAGCATTGTAATCACAATCAGAATCCATATCCCTACATTGGCCCAACCACCTGGTAGACGGTGCAGCTCAGGGCCTTCAAAAGCCGCAAGCCAGTGTCCAACCATGATGCCAACACCAAACAAAATCCGAGACCATAAAGGCGTGTTCACATCCCATTTGGGATCATGGGTGCGAGCATAGTAATCTCCATAAAGCCTTTTTCTGACACTTACATTGAAGAAGAAGAAGTAATGATACGCCAAGAAGAACACATAAGGCCAGCCTTCAAGATAACCATTGAAAAAAGCAGGAGGCACAAGTGTAAGCCATGTGAAGAGTGAACTCACAATACCAAGCTGCTCAAAGGCATTGGCTTCTCCAAGCCAGTGCTTACGGAAACAGTAAATCCCGTAACCCGCAAGTCCCACAGCGATAAACCAAGGCCAGAACAGCCATGTCCAGCTGAAATACATCCAGAAGAAAGGGTCGAGAGCCAAATTCACGATCTTTTTAGCAGCCACAGCCAAAACCGATAGAAAAAGAGTTAACTTCGCTACATCAATTGGCTTCACTTTCAACTCCCGAACTTTCTCCGCCAGTGAACGAAACGAGAAGAATCGGAATTGGCTAAGGAAAGGGTTATCGGAATCGGAAACAGTGGAGCTAGAAATCGAGCATCTGGGCGAAACCCATGAACCTTTTCTCAGTGGGAAAGAAGCACCTTTCCAGCTAGATGGACTCTTAATAGCTTCAAAACTTGGGAGTAACGGAGAGTTTCTGGAATCAGCAGCACGAATCGAATTGCACATAAGGTGTTTGTTCAAATGCCCGAACGAAAACTTTCGGTTCTGTTCCAACGGCGTCGTAGCTCGAGGAACAACCTTCGAGCAGAGAAGTAGAGCTTCCATGGCGAATAGAATTCAAAACAAAAAAGAACCAACAGATACAAAGACAAATATTCAGAACATATATTTCAGCTTCATACTTGCTTCGAAAAACTAGAAAGCAGATAATCTTCCTACACAGAGAGAAAGTGAACTAATTTTTACTTCAGTGTTCGATAAATTAAATTGGGCCTATAGGCGAAGAGAAACTGGCCCAGTATGAAAAATAGTTTAAGGTCTTAAAAAAAAGGTAATGGGCTTGGGGGCAAAACTGTAAAGAAGTGAGGAAGGTTCTCTAAATTGGCTCAGCTAAAATGTGTTGAATATGACGCCGGCGGGGTCTTTGGCAGTTGAAAACCGACCGGTCGCACATGGCGCCATTTAATGAAAGTGGGTCTTAACTCTTAAATATGTTAATTACTTAAACTTTATGACACATATTAATTAACACAAAGTGTTGGCAAAAAATAAAGATACATATTATTTACATTTGTGACTTTTTATATCAGAATAGCCAAAAAATTAAAATGATGTTCTTTTTTTTTAATATGTTAAAATGAGAGGTATACTGAATGATTTAAACAGTAGTTTACATTTCCGCATATTCGAGTTTCCTATGTATAATACACTATGTGTTTTGAACCCTTTTGTGCTTTATAAAGTCGTCTCAATATGTTCCATTATTGTTTAAGACCAAAATATTTAAACAAAAATAAGACCAATTCGGAGTCTTTAACCCTTTTTTTTTTAGTACTATTGAGGAGTAATAGTAAAAGAAATTAGGTCTTTTTATTTAATATCACACGGTCAAGAATAATATCTCACGCAAGTCTTTTCTTATTTTTTAGTTTCTATATCAAAATGGGTGACATGATCAAGAGAAGGATATGCAAATTAAATTATTGACGCGTGGACTTTATAATGCCTTATTCCTATATAGAATAATACAAACCCTATATATATATTTTTCATATGCTTTCTTGAATTGCACATCAACGAGAATCATGAGAAACCATTTTTATAAGCATAAAATATTATCTTTTTGACAACGATACCATTCTCTTCTATATATATAAACTCGATTAAGCAAAGACGATATAAATATTTACTCGTCGTCGTCTATAGAATTTAATTAATAATACGCCATTTTTAATGACTTTAGGATCACACGCTGCATATTAAAGACGCTGCTGCATTCTCTTTTTTCTTCATCAAATATTTTTCTCTTCTTCGTTTCCCTCACGTCTATTATCATTAGAACCAATCAAATTTGCAGTTGTTTCTGAAAAAATGGAATTTGTGAACTCCTCTCCACCAAGATATGAATGTCTCCTCTTTGGTAAGAAGTTTCGTACTTTGATTCGTTTAAATTTCAAGAAAATGGAAGCAAATTACAGTTTTTTATTTGATCTATCTCTCGATGTTTGTTTCCAATATATAGATTTGGATGATACACTTTACCCTTTCAGCTCTCGTTTATCAGACGCATGCACCAACAACATTATAGGTATGCGCCTACCCCTTTTCATCAATATATATATACATATATATATATATATATATATATATATATATATATTGTGATTAGTTCTTTGATACAACGTTTAACATATCTTAATTATGAAGAGGGGGAAAAAAATCCTTAAATCCACTAAATTACATTTTGTGTAGAATTCATGATTCAAAAGCTTGGAATAGATGAAGAGGGAGTAGTTGAACTAAATGATATTCTTTATAAGAAACATGGAACTACAATGGCTGGCCTTAAGGTAAAATTATCTTCCTTGATCATAAATATATATATGTTGGTCAATGGATAGAGAGATGTAGACACAATACACAATAAGTGCCTATAGGTTAACCCGATATATAATAGTATAAAAAATCGTTATATTTCTACAGGCGATAGGTTATGAATTCGACAATGACGAGTACCACAGCTATGTTCATGGGAGATTACCTTATGAGAACCTTAAACCGGACCCGGTTCTGAGAAATCTCCTCATTACTCTACCTTTCCGGAAATTGGTATTGTTTTCTTTTGCTTAATTTCAACTTTTAGTTACTTACTTATGTTATTATATTCATAATTAAGGGATTTTTATTTATTTATGGTTTAAGGTGTTCTCAAATGGAGATGATGCTCATGTGAAGAAGGCTCTGAAAAGACTCGGCATCGAAGATTGTTTTGAGAGAATTATAAGTTTCGAGACCTTAAACCCTAAGACCGACGATGCTGAGCTTTCTTGCGTCATAGGCCATCTTCCCGAGAATCCGGTTATCTGTAAACCTACCGAGATTGCTTTTGAGAAAGCATTCGACATTGCACAGCTCAATCCTCACAAAACCGTAAGTTTCAAAAACTAACAACTAAATACATACTTAGACTTCTCTTTTTGGGGTTAGATTTTCTTAATCGATAGTTTAATCTCTTAATTAACGTTATCTTGTTTTTTTTTTTTTTTTTTATTGTAGTTGTTCTTCGACGATAGTATCCGGAACATCCAAACCGGAAAATCCGTTGGTCTCCATACAGTCTTGGTAAGAACCGGTTAACCAAGACCTAAACAAATTTTTTAAGAAGTTAGAAGATTTAGTGGAAAATTCATGTGTGTTTCACACTTTCACCTATAAAAGTTACCAAGTCATGAAAAATATCAATTTGAAATTATTCTCAGGTTGGTAAATCAGAAAAAGTGGAAGGAAGTGATTACGCGTTAGAAAGCATTCACAACATGAAAGAGGCATTTCCGGAGTTGTGGTCGGAATCAAACATCAACAACAAAGCATCTGAAAGAATTGTTTACGCTGCACAGATCTCAATTGAAACTACTATTCAAGCTTAAAACTTTACATGTGCTCCCTTCCTGCTCAGGATATAATTTCCATATTTAATAATTGTTTCAATAAAATATATATATATCCATGCACCTTGTATTGTACGTTGATATATTATATATGTAAGTTTGTACTTATATATAGTTTATAAGTTTAATTACCATCTTTTGTAGATTATACGTATCATCATCAGTTGATTATTCGCTTAACAACTATTAAAGAAAAAACTAAATGCCACGTGAAAAACAATGGTCGATGTAGACGTGAGTAATTGCTTTCTCTCCTGATTTGACGATAGCATGAACATGGATCCCACGGTTAATCAAATTAATCATCCATTTATAATATACTATATAGTTGCGACTTCCGACTACATATCTTGAAACTTCTACTACTTGAAAGAAAAAAAGAAAAAAAAATTAAACAAAAGATCTCTAGAAAGATTATATAATTCATCGACTAAAATGATTTACATTCATAGCGAGACATATATGATTCACCTTAATTTAATATGGCCAAACTTGGAGGATCCGTATTATGCGGAATAAAATTATATATATGAACGTACGTTGTCATATTTCAATGTTTTTGGTTTTGTTTTTGTTAGTCATATTTCAATGTTATCATGAGAGTTTTCTTTTTTTAAAGATTTGCAAATCGAATACGTACGTCCTTATATATATATCTGTATGAGTAAATGGGACTTCTTCAAATTAAATCGTACACCATATAACTCAACGAAGATGAATTTGATGTTTTAAGATATATAATCATAAAACCATCCTCTGTAATTCGCCATTAATAAAACAATCAGATGAAATTGAACCTCAAAAGTGAAGAGAGATGATAATATTTCCAAGAACTGCAAGAATAAATTATAGATCGTGAAAAATTAGAGGCGGTATACAACAGAAAATAAAAAAAAAAATCTTACACCATATTTAGAAGATAGACTCTGTGCAAAAATAGGCTCTCTTGATTTGCATTGATTGTGAAAAATGTAGAATGTGGTCATGTGGGTTTTCTAAACATATATATACGAGTTTTTTTTTTTTTTTTTTTTTTTTTTTTTGCTAAAAATATATATACGAGTTAAAATCAATATTAATGGTGAGTGTACTTATTTTGACAAGAACAGGGATGATGTCGTCGTCGTTGTCGTCCCACTCTATTGATTTCTCGATTAATATGGAAAACGTGACAATGTCATGGTCAAGCTAACGAATCATATACTAGTTTATTATGAGAAGTAGAATTGTTTTAACGATAAATGTTTAAGTCTTTATCTTTTCTTTAGAAAAAAAAAACTCTATACTATTAATAAAGTACTATTCGAACCAAATTCGAACGCTGTTATTGACTTTTGTTTTTTCACGTAGCTTTTAACGCGCATTAGCTTTGTTTCCTACTTTCTTATATAAACACATACCTGCGTTACATCTTTGCTTCATCAAATATTTTCCCTTAATCACACCATTTCTCTCAAAATCTTTTAATCTCTCTAGCTCTTTTAATACCCCACAAGCACTAATTACGGGTAAATAATGTCTCCTCTTTCTTTTCATTTTTTACTGCAAAGAGAATTATATTTTCAAATATTCTTTCTTTTGAGTTTTCACTTCTATGTTTTTGAATCTGCAGATTTGCTAGTTTGGAAGAGAAATATGGAATTTGTGACTAACTCCTCAACACCAAGATATGAATGTCTTGTCTTTGGTAAGAAGTGATGTTTAATTAGTTAAATCAAATTTAAGAAAATGGAAGCATATCAAAAACAGTATTCATGTATCTCTCTATATATTGTTTGTTTCCGATATAATAGATTTGGACGATACTCTTTATCCTTTAAGCTCTGGTCTATCAGAAGCATGCGCCAACAACATTATAGGTAACTAACTATATATCCTTTTTAGTACTTATTTTGTTATTTCAACACGTTTATTAAGGAGAAAAAAATCACCCGGAAATTTATGAACCGTCCTTAATTTGGCAGAATTCATGGTTCAAAAGCTTGGAATAGAGGAAGACAGAGTTGTTGAACTAAACCAACTTCTCTATAAAAAATATGGAACTTCTATGGCTGGCCTTAAGGTATACACATTTTGTTGATCAAACCAGAAAAAAAATGATTAATAATGTTTTACTAGAAACATATGTATAATATTTGATATTCACATAATTCTCAGTACGTACAAAGAAAACATTTGGTTTATGGTAAAACAATATATTATAATTATATGATTACGAATGCAGGCTATAGGTTATGAATTCGACAATGACGAGTACCACAGCTATGTTCATGGGAGATTACCCTATGAGAACCTTAAACCGGACCCGGTTCTGAGAAATCTTCTTCTTACCCTACCATTTCGAAAATTGGTATGTACTGGTTTACTTATCTTTTTTTTAATAGCTTATATAATTTCAGTATAATTATATATATAATTATATATATATATATAATTATATATATATATATATATATATATATATCCTTGTATGTAGGCTATTAATAAAATTTTGGTTTATTTATTTATTATTGTTAAGGTGTTCTCAAATGGAGACGATGCTCATGTGAAGAAGGCTTTAAAAAGACTCGGCATTGAAGATTGTTTTGAAAAAATCATAAGTTTTGAGACCTTAAACCCTAAGACCAACGATGCTGAGGTTTCTTGCGTCGCAGGTCATCTTCCAGAGAATCCGGTTATCTGTAAACCAACAGAGATTGCTTTCGAGAAAGCCTTCGACATTGCACAGCTCAATCCTCACAAAACCGTAAGATCTTTGATGACTAATAAAATTAGACATTAGTTTCATACTAGATTTTCTTAAACCAATACTATAATCTCATAATTAATCAATTCGAACTGTCTTTCTTCTACGTACAGTTGTTCTTCGACGACAGTATCCGGAACATCCAAACCGGAAAACTCATGGGTCTCCGTACAATCTTGGTAAGATCTGATTAACATGTTACAGCCAAATCAGTATTAGCTAGAACCGATATATTACGTAGATATTTATCAAAACTCATCATAATGTAACATTTATAAGACACTAAACGAGAAATATTAATTTCAGGTTGGTAAATCAGAAAAAGTGGAAGGAAGCGATTACGCGTTAGAAAGCATTCACAACATGAAAGAAGCATTACCGGAGCTATGGTCGGAATCAAACAACAATAACACGAAATCTGAAAGAATCAATTACGTCGCACAGATCTCGATTGCAACTTCTGTTGAAGCTTGATATCTACATATCACATGTTTTACTCAATCTCTGTGAAGATCATATTTACATATCATATAGTAGTAATATTACCATATAGATAGTAGTACACACCGTTTCTTGTTGCCTGCAACGGTGGATAAAGAGAGTAGTGACATACATTACATATATTTGTTATCTCTGTTCTGAATAAAACATTATTATTCTTTTGGTTTTAGAAGTCAAAAACATATCGCACAAGTCACAAGTGTATTCCATAAAACCACCATGTGTTACCAAAAAAAAAAAAATGTGTATTCCATAAAACAAAAGAGAAAAGGTCTAAACTAAACTTTAGATTAGACTATAGTCTATAACCATACATAAATTTAAGAAACGTAAAGAGTTCACGCTAATACTTCAGATGCTTAATAAAGTTATTGGATGGAAAAACTTCAGATGGACCGGAGTGGTACAAAAGCAATGAACTAAACCGAGCCGAATATATTGGAAGGTCTACTAAATTAAGGCGCACGATACATGTTGAGGAAAGTGTTTTGGTCGGCTCTCATAAAGATACGCGTGTCCTCTCATTATTCGTTTAGCTTTATAAAGTAAAATGACACGTGGAGAAATCGTAGATGTCGTCGACGCGTGAGTATGAAAATGCTTTCTCCCTAGATTTAATGAGAACCAATCGATGTGTCATTGAGACTGTTGAGAGAAGCCATTGCAACGTTTTCGTTTACATTTCCTCTCCTTTATTTTTTTTCTCGATCTTTCTTCTCTCTCTTTCTCTTTCTGAAGTTTCCCATTGATCAGAAAAGGTTAGTTACCACTTTCTTCATTGATTCATCTTTTGTTCTTCGTTGCAGATTCCTTCTTTGCATTTTCGTTGATGATTTAATCTGTACGATTGATCTCTTTCATTTTTAGTCACGGGTTACATTTCACTTTTTTCTTGTTGGATCGATTGGGAGTTATTATTTTATTTATTGGTTTTATTTCGAAATAGGGTTTCAGATGATATATGTTGTAATGTGTATGTTTATTGGTGGTTGAGTTAGATGTTATAATCTTTGGGATCTGATGTCAAAGTTTCCAACTTTTATGTGAAATGTGTGTATGTGTGTGTTGGAGACGTTGAGATTCAGTTGGTTGAGGTTTTGTTTCAGGTGTGATTTGGAACCATAATGGCGTACGAGGAAGACTTTCAACAAACTTCTGAAGCCAAATATGATTGTCTTTTGTTTGGTAATAAAAAAGAAGATTTTTTTTTAGGAATGGGACTTGATTATCAACTTTAGTTTATTGCAACTTGGTGATTCAGAAATGTTTTTTAAAGTTTAGGCCTTTTTCTGATTAAAAATAATTGTTTTTGACTATGATCAAACAGATATAGATGATACCCTTTACCCTCTCAGTTCTGGTTTGGCTATGGAAGTGAAAAAGAACATTCAAGGTAATGTCTGTTCTCATTCTCGTCTTGTCCTTCTCTGGAATTTTGGTTTCTCATGGTATAGCTGAACATGTGGTTGTTGTTGTGTAGAGTATATGACTCAGAAACTTGGCATTGAAGAAGCTAAAGTCCAAGAACTGTGCCTTTCGCTTTATAAAATCTATGGAACTACTATGGCTGGTCTCAAGGTATCTTCCTTCACCACATTGTTAACATTCTTCCATATCTTTCATTGTTGTTAATGCACATGCCTTTTTTCGTTGGTGTTGATTCTTTCAGGCTGTGGGTTATGACTTTGATTATGATGATTTCCATCGGTACTGAGCTCTACCTGTTGTTCATATTTGCTTTACATGTCTTTTAAAGGTGTTGGGAATTTGAGATTTCACTTTTGTTTTACAGTTTTGTTCATGGGAGACTGCCATATGCAACACTGAAGCCTGATCCAATTTTGAGGAATATCATTCTTAGCTTGCCTATTCGGAAAGTTGTATGTGTTCTTCTCCTAGAGCTCTTACCTGGTCTCTAACTAGTGTCTTATCTGATCTTTCATTTTTCTTATTCTGCCCATAGGTTTTCACGAATGCAGACAAGGCTCATGCAGCCAAGATCATTGCCAGGCTAGGCCTAGAGGACTGCTTCGAAAAAGTCATTTCTTTCGAGACTCTGAACCCCATCAACAAAACTGAAACTCCTAATGATACTAAAACCAGAGAAATCTTTGACATACGCAGTTACATGGCAAATCCTGACCCAAACATCGAGCTCCCAAAGACTCCAGTTATATGCAAACCATCTGAAGGAGCATTCGAACAGGTTTTCAAGATGGCCAACATCAATCCTAAGAAGACGGTAAGAACATATCAAATATTAACTGCTTTTGTTTTTCTACCTAAACCAATCCATCACTGAAGCTTAATAAGTTGCAAATATCTTGGGCGTTTTCAGTTGTTCTTTGATGACAGCATCCGCAACATACAAACCGGGAAACGTGTGGGTCTCCACACCGTATGGGTAAGTATAAGAAGCAGAGATAAACAAGTCTAAAACAAAACTTGTCAATCTCAAAGGCTAAAAGCTCACTTATAATATTATTCTTTTGTATTATCAGGTTGGGACTTCACACAGAGAGGAAGGAGTAGATATTGCATTGGAGCATATTCACAACATTCGTGAAGCTCTTCCTGAACTATGGGAAGCTGGTGAGGAAAAAGCCGAGGAGCTTAGAACCAGGCAAAAAGTCGCCATTGAAACCATTGCTTAATCAAGCATTCACTTATACTTCACAGCTAATAGTAAAAACAAAAACTTCTGAATTCTTCACTTCTAAGAGTAAAAATAAGTGTAATTTAAAGCTTTGACTGAGACCACTTTGTGAAATTGTGGAGTAGTAATGAAAGCAAGCTTACTTTATTGAATGATTGCAACATCGTTTAATATCTTTTACAAAGTCAAATACCAGTTTAAATAGTTGAAATTGCGAAAACTGTGAGTAGGAATGAAAACGAGCTTACTTTTATTGGATGATTGCAACATCGTTTAAATCTCGTTAACAAAGTCTGGTATATGACTATGATCATGAAATCTTTTTACCTTTCACTTGCTTATCTTGTTTTCCTTTGCTCCGATACAAAATAATCTGACTCATGATAGTTCCATTAGTGAAGATTGCAATAAAAAATCCCATAAACATGCTAAGCGGAGCATTGGCCTGATAGCTGGTGAAAACTCTCGCCATTGCTCCACTGAAGTTCATGAAACAAGTCAAGAAACTAAGTTGTCCAGTGCTTTTGTTTCTGAAATTCTTCCAAATCTGAGGGATTCTTGCAGAGAGAAATATCAAATGCTTAGAAGCATAAAGAGCTTCAAATAGCAAAGGATCAATCTTACCAGCTAACACAGTTGGTGCTAAAGCAAAGTAAAGAACCGCTCTGACCCAAGTTGATACAGAGAGAGGTCGAGAGAAGTAATAGATACAACCCACCAAGATCAAAGCTTGGATCAAAAGAAAAGCTAGTTCACCAAAAGCTGAAAATGGAAGCTCTTTGTAAATACAATAAGCAAGTGAGATTGTGTAACCAACCACTTCTAGCTCAAATGCTACAACACTTAACCCTTTTACACTCTTGTTGTCCACGACTTTCATTATCTACAAACAACAGTACAGTTCAATTTATTTAATTTAGGGAATCAGGGTTGAAAAAAGTCAAATCTTTGATTGATTGAGTTAACCGTTACCTGGGGAAGCTTGACGGTCATTGAAGCAAGGACGACGAAGTAACCGAGCAACTTAGAAATGAGAGGAAGAAGACAATCTTTCGCCGGAAAGTCACCGTTCTGAAGAGATCCTATCGCGCAGCTCAGATCAATCCCAAGATAATCCATGGTTTGCTCCTGGAGTTGCTTCGTTGACTTTGTTCAGCTGTCTGTTTTTCTTTTCAAAAAGACTCGATAATAGTTCTACTGTTTGATTGGTCATGCTTCAGACTTCAGACATGAATCGAATTTAAATACCCAACAACTAAACCAATGTAATCTTGGTTTGGTAATTAAATGTTTCAATTTGGTATGGTTTGAATCGGTTAGGTTTTGATCAATTAAACCTAAAGTAGGAAAATATCTGTTTTTTTTTTTTGACGAAGCTTCAAATCGGAAATCTAAACCTAAAAACGAAAACACTCGAGCTATTTCTGCTCTCCGGTACCGGGAATCTCGTGTTGGGAGTAATTATTGTGATTTAAGAAAGCTACAATGGCGAAGAGAGAGATTAGTAGCACTCTGAAAAATCTAAAGGTACTATCTTTTTCTTTCTTATTTGAAGTAGCTTTCTCCATGTGACATGACTGCGCTTTACCTTCTTCTATCTTCACGACCTTGAAATTGAAAGAATTTACTTGATGATTAGAATGGGTTTGGTCTTTTTTTCCCGTAAATTCGAGCTTAAAATTAAACTTTTTTTATCTCTGTTTTGCTGGGATTTTGATTCATGGGGTCTGTATTGGCTCGTATCTATAATAACCTTTAGCACTGAGCTTAGCACCAGTTATCGTATTGGTTTGGGACTAAAAAGCGGAAATTTTCATCAGTTATCAATCATGTGCTCCTAGTTGAGTAATCTGGTTTTGGCTGAGAGACAATATACTTGTTGTTTCGTCATATGTTGGTTCATGAACAAAGAATTAATTGATGCTCTTTGGCTATAGTTTATGCAAAGGTCTGCTCTGAAAGTAGAGAAGAAGAAGGCTGATGAAGAGCCTCATGGGGATTTTCCTTCCCTCGGCACTGTTGCAAAGAAGTGGTACCGTTTCTTTTCTTTTTTCTTAATTGATGTTAATGTTTTGTATTCATCAGATTACTGGGAATGAGGACATTGTGTATGTGTTCTCTACCCCGTGTTCTTATTTTTTGGGATCTTGATTGATATTGTTTCTCGCGGCACTTTCAACTACTCTGACTTCCCTGTGTTCACGAATTGTAACAATATTGCAATAGTTTTCTTAGTTGTCAGTATCTGATGTTATGTGTTTGGTAGTGTTCTCTAATGTCTGATTTATTTTTTGATGCAGTGTGGTTATAACAGACTGGGATCCTCAGCCAGGAGCATTGTTAGGACGCATGTCATTTCAGTCTTTCAATCCCTCTATCGAGGTTAGTGTGTGTTTGTGTGACGCTGTGGCCTGGAATAGTTTGCAATCGATGCTCTTCCCTTTCAGCTTTCTGAAATAAAATTGTTCTCTCTTTAGAAATTGAATGAAGAGGCAACAAACGGCGGAAAAGCAGATGCCACAAGCTCTAGCAGTAATGGAGGAAAAATGTCTTTTAGGTCTGTACTCTTTGCTTATCCTATTGGTTCTCAACAGTTAATTTACCAGAGAGTGTACGTACAACAAAACAACGATGGAGATCCATTGTCAAATGAAGTCGTTGTTGATAGCATTAGCAGTAGATTTTATCACCTATCATTTGGTATATTTTTGGTTTTGCTTCTCTTTAAAGTTATAAACTATAACTAGTCAAGATGCATCCTCTTTCAGTGAACCGGAGAATTCGAAGGTTCAGCCTAGTCGGGAAACGAATGGTGACCTGAAAAGAAAACAGTCTGAGGTAGTCTCTGAGGAACTAAACCGTCCAAACAAGTCCCCGAGAAGCAGTGACAAACCATCACCGAGCAATTATAAAGGCAATGGTTTCAAGAAACCGAAGAGCAAGAAAGTGGACTGGAGCGTTTTGAAGCCACCAAAACCTCAAACCAAATAGGGTTTAATTTAGCTAACTGCAGCAACCTATTTTGCCATTAGTTATCGGTTCATATGTGCTACAGTGCTAGTACATCATATGTTGCGCTGTCTGTATCATGATTGGCTTGGTGTTGCAACCCGTTTGATAAATTATAGCCAAAAGTTTTGAAAATTCTATTTCGGTGTTGTATGCTTGTGGTAGTTCCAGATCTATGATAAAAACAGTTTTATCTTTTCAATAAGGTTTGAATCCGATGTGTACTTGCAGGAAAAAGAGATGCATTCCACTCATGGGATCAAACATATTCTACAATACCATTGGGAAACAAAAATGAAGCAATCGAGAAGTAACATTTTCAGATGTTTACATGATTATTTGGTAACTTCCCTGCAGGTTTCCAACAAGAAAATGCATAAATGACTCTTCCCTTCCATCCTTGAAGCATCCAGTTGTTATCGCTATCGATCACAAAATCTCTATGGTAACGTTTCCTAACGATTTCCTTAGCCTCCTTCATGATCTGTTTGCTTATTGTTGCTGACTTAAACCCGGCTCTCAAAATCCTAACTCGCCATTGCTTGTAGGTTTCAGGCCTTGCAAACCGCTCAGCTCCCTCGGAGGAAATCACACTCATCGCGTCTCTCACGAGTAATTCTTTCTCCAACAGTGCCCTGTTTTTGTATTCATCCTCTGCTTGTATTGTGGTATCAAACATGTCAAAGAGTGAAGAGAAATGAAAAAGCGCTTCTCGGAACCTCGTCATGAAAAAAGGAGAGTTGTACATGCCATTAATCTCTGCAAACACAAAGAGGTCAGGATTGATATCTCTGAATAGCTTCAGAACCGTATCTCGTGGAGAGTCCAGTGACACAGTTTCATCCGGGGTGTATTGCAACCGATGAATGCAGTTGACAACTGTTGTCTCTCCTGGATTGATCACAATTTCATCAAGACTGATGCTTTCCCATTTTTTCGCTATGAAGTTGAACTCAAACGGGACATTGAACTTATCGCAGAACCGTTTCAATCTTCGACCAGTCTCTTCGACCCGGTCTGAAGGACGGAAACCTGATTGTGGCAGCTCGATTCCAGTTATCCGGAGCTTTGGTGGTCCTCCCGGTCGTTTAGACAGGGCTAGTAACAGACAAGGCCATTGAAAGCCATAGAGAACGCCAAAATCAACTATATGAAGCGTAGTTGCTGTCACAGCAAGCTCGTAGATTGACTTGTTTGCAGCAAAGTAATCAGTTACATAGATGGGACAAGTATGAACAAACAGCTTGTAGGCCTTCAAGATGTCCACCATCGAAGTTGTGCTAGAAGGAAACGGAGAAGAGACAGGTGGTGGGATGTTCCCAGTGATACGTGCCTCAAGCGCCTCTGCAAAATAAAAAGCCAGTCTTTGTGTCCCATCTCCGTCGCTAGAAGAGTGTGATCTTATCTCCTTGAGTTTCTCTGTAGCTCTTCTCTGGTCAAAGCTGGCCACAGCTTGTGCACATTGCGTCAAGAGACTCCGCAGATCAACTGAATTAGATTTTCGCGTCTTGGATTTGTTTGATGAACCTTTTGCTCGTCCTGCTCTGTTTGGTTGGCTCTGTTTCGATATTGCTGATTCTTCTTCTTGCTGGTTCGATTTGCATACCAACAACACATGCTCCAACTTTACCGCCAACTCCTCCATCTCGGAGCCAAATATTGCAGGTTGTTTGTTTCTCCGATTAGTCTCGAGATCATCTTCTTCGTCACTCCGATGGCGGTACTTCCTCTGTGATTCTCCACTCGAAACCAGCGCCGCAGAATCTGTTGAGGTCGTAGTATTGCTGATAGAAGTGAAAAAAGGGTCACCACCGGAGTTTTGATCGGAGGAACTAGTGGTCTGATCAGATTCTGAAGATGGTTGCTGAAGTATCTCGTAGAAGGATCTCTCAGCGGCTTGCAAAGCCAAATTGTCTTGAGATTCACCGACGAAATCTCCTTCGTCCATCAACATGTCATTGATGTACTTAAGAACAGGAGAGTTATCCAAACACATAGATGGAGGTGAATCGTTGGGGGAAGATGACTGACTCTGACTCTGAGCCTCATGGAAACCGGGGAAGAGATGGTTCCCAGATTCCAGATTGTTTCTGGGTTTGCAGCAAGACCCAGATCCGCCGTTCTCAAATCTGAATCCATCAACTGAAACTTGAAGCAGAGCGTCCATGTTTAACAACAACACTGATGATGATGAAGTTGAAAGCTTTTGTCAAAGTTTATCAGAAAAGAAAAAGTTGAGAGCTTTATTTGTTTTCTTTAAACGAAGAGAAGAAAGGCGGTGCGAAGTTTCATGTGAACACAGTTGAGGCTCGAGATAGAGAGAGCTTTAAATGGTTCTTTTTCGTTTCCTGTAATGAGAAATTAAAAAAAAAAATGGAACTTTCGAGGAAACCACTTAGCAGCCACAAAAAGGGGATCAATCAAGTTATTTAAATGGAAAACATACAATAATTATTATTAAAGGTTAGTTTAATTAGTGTCGGATCTATCTGCAACTACTTCTATAGGTGTTTTTTGGAGTTTGATTGTTATCTTTTTTTTTATCTCTGATATCTCCCACTTGCCTTGCTTGGTCGTGAGACTAAAAAAAGTCACTTACCTTTACTCAACTTTTGGAATTTTAGACAAATCAAACCAATTTTGGTGTTCAAAAAAAAAAAGACAAATCAAACCAATTTTGTTTAAATTCTAACAACTACTGAACTATTCCTTATTTCCATTTATGCATATGGTGTTTAGTAGTGTTCCAAAGCTCTATTGTTTAGAATCGTCCATACGAATCTACGATCAGCTAAGAAGCAGATACTGCAAGCTTTAATATCAATATGACAAAGAAATATTATTCTTTTATTCTTTTTTTATATAGCAACATACACTCCGATCCTAAAGAGGTTTAGATTGCTTTCCATCGGATTAATGTAGAAATAATATAGAATCAATTGAATAATAAGCTTTTTTTCCCTTCTAACTTATAATCCTAAGCAACCGTCTAAACAGCTTTAAACTCTAGAACTGGAACATTGATTAGTGCTTCATTTTCATGAACGTTATTTCCACTCAAACATTTTTTGTTTGTTTGTATAATAGTATAGACTAATAAACAAAGATAAAAAATCTTGATGTGCAAGGAATTGGACAAATATATTTTGGATGAAGGGAACGTGGATACCAAGCCTATTGTAATATTATTGTTTCTTGTTTAGTACTTTATTAATCTAATCAAATTATTTTATTCCTCTGTCGGCATTAACAAGATCATTTCATATCTTTGACTCTGTCTACATTTTTCTTGACCAGTCAGAGTTCGTAAGACGACGCGATTAGATTCCTTAATACTGTCATTTGACATTGTATATTAATGAGTATTTCTTTTTAAATAATGATAAGTGAATCAATCACTCAATTCGTATAGAGAGAATAGTCTTGTGTTTAACAGTAAAGGTCAATGAAAAGGTGAAATATGGGGGTAGATAGAGATGACTATTCTACTGATGAATGCGACTTCGTTAGTCTACATTCATCTTTATCTCCCAAATATATATTTTTGCTTTTCTTAACTTCGTGTGCTCTCTCGTTCTTAATTTCTTATTATAGTACCTTTAATTATCATCTTTATACGTATTTAATACTAACTCCTTTTTTCTTCTTAATTTGCCACCTAGTGTGAACACCTCTATGTTAATGCTATGTTTTAATCAATCATTCGATTTGGGTTTTTGTACTTTTGTTTTTGTAATGATCTAATGTTGTGTTTTGACCCTGAGACACATTATCTCCCATGCGCGTGATACACACCGTCCAATCATATACTCCAGTTTTATGCCTTTTGTGCGACCGAGAGCGCGTGGCTAAAGTTTGTCTTAAACTATTGATTTATCTTGGAACTTGAATAATTGATTTATCTACTGATACTATTGTTAATTACGCTGATTATTCTTCAACATGGGATTAGTTTAACCTGATGCAGTATCGTTTAATCATTTGTGCTTTACTTAATTGCGCATCAATTAGTTTACACGAAAATATAATTGATGGAGACGTCATGACTGACGCTAGCAAATATAAAAATGGATCTATCAATGGGCTTCTATACAGCCCAAACCAGTGTATCATGTCTCTAGTGGTTTTCTTCAATTATACTTTCCCTTCCAAAATCACAAACTTGTAAATTACTATGTATGACTCAATAAAACAACACTTGGAGATTTGATTAGAATCCATTAAGATGACCAGAGGAGATTCAGAGGCTTTCCTTTACTACACTCTTTGACTTGATCTAATACCACTTCTTGAATCTTCTTCTCTACTTCCTCCATGGCTTCACCTGCATCTATTCTCTGCATCATTCACAAACATTTCAAGGTTTTTTCTTTTCTTATTTTGTGTTATAAATCTAATCTTACTCTGCACGGGAACAAACAATGAGTCTTAATCCTTTTTACCTTCCAGGAAGAATCGCGTAGAGTTTGATAAAAGTCTGCGACTTTTTTCTGAAACTCCACTCGCTCATACCTCTCGTCTCCATATCCACCTCTCTCAGCAGCTCTCTCAGGTGAAATGTCGAGGTAAAGTACTGAATCTGGAGCCAACAATCCAACTTCCGGCGCCTTACACCAATCAATAGTAAGACCTTTAGCTGCTGAGAAAGCTACACCAGAATATGAGTAACGATCCACAATGAGTGTTGTTCCTGTTTTAAGCTTTTCCTCCATCAATGATCTGTAAAATGTTACGAATTCCTAAGTCTTGTTACTAAATCATTAAGAAGCAAACCAATGAGTTAGCTAAAAAAGAGAAGAACCTTTTCTCCCATCGATTGGCACTGAAAAGGAGGTGAATTGTGTGATCATCTAACTGAGACTTATTAGAGAGATATGCGGATATCATCTGACCAACACTGGTCTCTCTATCAGGAAATCGCCAGAGCTCAGTGGGATGTCCTAAACCCTCCAAGAAAGAGAGAAGCTTAGCGCATTGCGTTGATTTCCCGCTGCGATCAAGACCTTCAAGAACTATCAATGCTCCCCTTGGCTGCGAGCTAGTTTCGGTTCTCAGACCAGAGCATAAGTTACCAATCTCCATCCGAACTGATGAACGCTTGAGAGACTGCAAGGGATAATTCAAGGAACGTGGCACTGCTAAAGCTCTGAAACTTGTAGAGACTAACGCACACACACGTATTAGATGAAGGATTCCAAACTGTAATTGATCTCTATAAACAAATGAGAGCATATATATATTCAAATTGATCTCTATAAGGTAATGAAGAATTCATTATTAATCTGTGAATGATCAAAATTTCATTTCCTTTGTTCAGCATAATTGTTTTTGTACCCTTTTTCAAGTTCAGTGAGCTAACACAAATCAAAATACTTCAAGAAGCAAAAACCAGTGCTAGCACCTTTAAAAAAAAAAAGGAAGTTTACTTACAAAGCTGAACACTTGAAAACGAGCAGATCCGTTTCATGCCCTTATCAGCAGCTAAAAATCTGCAAGAACTAGAACCAACATCAACAAGAAGCTCGACAGGTGGTCGCCGGACTCGCTGGTTGGAGAGGAACAAGTCGACGGCGTTGAACTCTGAAAGATGTCGAGAAACGACAAAAGGAGGGTTTAGAGAGAGTCGATAAACCCTTCAACTCTCTCAGAGGCTTTCTTCTAATTGAAGTACTATCCGGTTTGCTGTTTTCCGGTTCAGAGAAGAGATCGGTTTAGCCTAAAATCTGAACCTTATTTTCAATAGTTTCATGGATCTACCGATCAGACCAGTTTGTGATAGCTTTAAGTGTGGTCGTTGGAACGTGACTATCTCCATTAGTTTGTGAGAATGACATTGCCGTTTCATACGATGGACACTCTTGGATACAGAGTAAGTACAAGACTGGATAATGTGCTCTTTCGTCTAAATGGTTATCTTTCCTGAATTACAAATTGCATTTAAAACGAGCAAAACTGAAAAATAAGTCTTAGATAAGAAATGTATAAAGAGAATGAGAATGTGACAAAAGATGTACAGCAGATCCTCTAAAAGCCCTAAACTGGTCAGGAAACCTTATTCCAGTTAAAACTTTACATTGGGAAAGTTAACAAGATCAAAAGAAACCAATAAACGAGTAAAAAGACCAAATCTTTGCATCTATTTCAGAATCTTACATATCATCAATACTAGTAATACACAATGGAGTGACCACCTCCAAGCTTCTGCAAATTCAATTAGTGAAGTAGCAGAGCCTCTGTCTGAGAAGGTGTCTCCTGCTGCTGCTTGTTCACATTCTGCTGCAGCTGCAACTGATGCTGTGTCCAGTAGCCATGAGCGTTCAACACTCGGTTTAGAAGTTCCTGCGGCACTGGCTCTCCTCTTCTCTGCTGTGGAGATATCTTAGCTGTGTGAACCAGAGTTTTCCATTTATCCTGCACAGAACCAAACGCTGATTTCTCGGACCTAATCATGTGATCTGGGTTTAGCATTATCAAAATTTAAAGTACATATTAAAATGCAAACCTTAAGATCAACGTAGGTGCGGTGGTCTGCATCCTCAAAAGCACGAAGCTTAACATCTCGCCACCTGCATATTTCATCCAACATCAATCATCATCTTCTACTACTCATAATCACAAAAATGCCAACACTATGATGTATTAGTGTTTTTACCTTCCAGTACCGAGTTTCTCAACTGCTTGAACAAGTGCTTCTACTTCACTTACTGAAAAAGGTCGGCGGATTCTGCGCTGTGCAGCCTGCTGCTGTTGCTGTTCACTTCTTTTAGATTTACGACAAAGTGTTCCAGAAGGAGACAAATCAGTGAGCGCCATAGGAACCATAGCTTTAGAATCTTCTGTCATGTTATTATTGCCTAATGAGTCAGATGGGAATAGTGCTGAGTCATGATGGTCAGATTCCAACACATTGTCCAGGGTAGTAGCAGCTTCGCATACAGGTAGCATCTCCTTATAAGCATGTTCTAACGGATGACTGGAAAACAAAATAAGAACTTAAGCCACAAAAGATTTGATTTACTAAACGCAGTGGCAGCTTTGAGTGGTGAATACAAGTACCTAGTTAGCAGTTGAGGCATTTCTGAGCTGGGTTCAAGGCTGAAATCAAGTGAATCCAAGTGGTTGTTATCCTGAGATATCCCAGTCTGATGAAGGGTTTTATTATCATCTCGGACTTTTTTCCCCTGAACCATCAGACCCACTCGATGTCCATCGCTCAGTAAAGTGCTCACTGCTTCCATCACCATTCTCTGCATGAAGCCAAAGGATCATTAAGATCTTAGTTTCTTAAACTGAAAACAAAATTAAGAGAACATGGAGACATGGGTAATGTTACCTTCAAAGAGCCAACGGTAGCACTTTCTGGAATCTCTATGAAAAGCTCAGGCACCCTGAAGGATTTAATCCGTAGTTTCACTGAAATATACATTCTCATGTTAGCTTATTCACTCTCATAAATAAATAAAGCCGTCAAAGAAGACAAATGAGACTCCATTGTTACCATGGGAATTGCTTGACACAAAGGATGCACCTTGACCTTTCATCGAAGAGACTGTTCTGCTGCCTGCAAATCAAATGTACAAAATCTCATTACAATAACCAAAAAAAGCTACAAGATCTAGACAGAGGATTAGAAGAAAAAAGTCTTTTACCTCTATGCATCTTAGTGCGCAGACGGTAATCATCAGTAATTGAATCAGATATGTGGTCATAGTATTTCCTCTTCTTGATAGGATAGCTCCTTTGATTTTGCAAGTAATAATTTCTCCACGGTTTCGTATCTGCAGCACCAAATCCATGTCATCAAAACAAAACCCATCATCAATGTATTAAAAAAATGTCAAACAGACAAGAGAGGCTACCTGTATGTCTTGAACTTCCTTTCCAATGTCTAGAAGCCAATATCTTCCTGATTCTTCTGTCCCCAATACGCGGCACAGACCTAGGTGAATTTTTTGTACCACGGGGGCGAACGTACCCAGAAAAGTTTTCATCATCATCTCTACTAAACAAATTTACATCATCCCGAAGACCATGAGAAGCACAGTTCCCAATTGATGGCACTTGGGTTCTACTAGTACTACCTACACTAACTACAGCATCGCCATCGATAACCGGTTTTATATCTTGACTGAAGTTGCTGACTTGACAAGAATCAGTAGCACCAGAGTAACTAAAACCCTCTGCATCATCCTCTAGTTTGCCATTAATCACAGAACTGAATCCGCAGGGGCTTAAAGATCCCTGGTAAGGATTTTCCTCGGAAAAAGCTACTGGCATTAGAGGTTTTTCTTCTTCCGGGACTTCCTTCTTCACACGATGGTCTTCAATCAGTTTGTCTACAGACATGAGTGAACTCCCACTCTCAAATGACAAGTGTCCAGCTACGGTGGCCAATAAATCAATTGCACACATATTATTATCATCTGCACTTACGGTCTTGTCGACACTGCGCCTCTTCTGGCCAAAACAAAAATAAAATGAAAAGTAAGTAAACATATAAACAGATGATTAAACATGAGAGCGATAAAGGTAACGGGAAAATAACCCGGGCGGATCTGGGTGCTCTTGCATTGGCAGGTAAGAGGGAGGAGCCTTTGTATCCAAATTCTTCTACACACTTATGCGACACCATTTCTCAGAATGCATAACACGATGATGTGATTGGCACACGAAAGAAGCTTAGTTGATCAATGGCTTATTATCACACCAATCAACGAAATCCTGTAAATGTAGTTCGCAACCTGTAGATAAATTAAGAAATCAAATTAGAAATAGACATAGAAATCAACAAAACCGAGACCAAAAGATTAAACAGAATTTTAAGATATGAAAACACAGAACAATAAGGTTTTGTCTCTGGGTTTACTGCATGAAGCAAAAAAGGAAGGTTTGGAAGGTTTTGGGTCAAGCCCAGTTTTTTTAAAAAAGAGAAGCTTAAACCACCCTAAAACCCTAATCGATTATAAGATCTGAAATCGAAAGTCAAAACGTCGTTTCCAAATATTTCTACAGATAAAAACCCTAAACCCTAAAAAAAAAAATTAAACAGATGGACCAAAAACTTCGATCTCAAAATCAAGAGACCACCAGATCAAGGGTTTGCATAAGAATTCTAAATCTCAGATCGGGATTCCACAGATCGACGAAAGCAAAAAACAAAACAAAAAATCGACGAATTTTCACAAAATGCCCAGAAATTTTCATACCAAAATTCGCATGAAAAACGAAAATTCTGAAGACCCCAGAAAAAAAAAAAAAAAAACTGTAAATTTTCTGACCTTGAAATCTCAAACTTAAATATTCCGGCGAATAACACGGCAATTGCGAGATCGGAGAAACCAAAAGAAAGACAAAACGCAAACCAAGGACTCACACCAAACTCCCTTCTTCCTTCCTTAGTGACGGAAACTTTTTTCCTTTTTTTTGTTTTACTTGTTAGAAACGCTACCCACACGATGCGATCTTCTCTCTCTCACCACAAAGCAAAAAACAAATGAATCTCTCTCTCTCTCTCTCTCTCTCTCTCTCTCTCTCTCTGAAACGCTTCAAAAAAACAAAAACCCTTAAGAAAGACGACCACGTTTTTTTTTGCTTAAACCCTTTTTGTGCCTATATTGACCTTGTACCCACCGGATCTACCGGTTACACTCTTTCTTTTTCACAGGCTATCACCGGTCGACACACAACACCTATAAACCAGGTTCTTCGCCACGCTTTTACATTGCTTGTAATCCCTCAGATCTCAACACGTGGCGGCGTTGTAATTCATCACATCACTCTCGAATCTACCCAATCAGAATATTCCATGTCAATATTATTGATAATGTACATTATTTACTTGCACTTTTTTCTTTCCCCATAATTTTAAACAAAGTTAATTAAAAATAAATCCTACTTTATATCTTTGAAGAAATCTAAGGTTTTTACATGGAATATTATAACTACACATTTATTTTATTTATTACTAATACTGTATATATCTATATATCTTTACTCATTAAACAAAAAAGAATAATAATAATATAAGAGGAGTTGGATTCTATAAATAATAAAGTTGTAATATATAAAGGCTTAGTAGAGATAAAACCTGTTAGTATATTATTAATCGTAAACCATACGACATTCTGTCACGTGGCAGGTAGATCTAACTTAGACTATAGCTTATACAATAAAAAGAATAAGAATAATTTTTGTTATTTGGGTAACTAGTAAACTATAGCTTATATCTTAATATAATTCGAAAACTACAAAAACTTCTCAAGGCTAATTCAACAAAAAAAAAAAGGACCGTAAAAAAAAATAAACGTCGTAGAATTAACGGCATCGAGTTCGGTGTCGTGTTGTGTATAATTTTGGAAGGAAGTGTGTAAACGGCGTTAAGTTCAGTTCAGAGATAAGAAAGCTTGGGTGGGTTGCTAGTGGGCCCCTGGACCTAACTAGTGGGCCTGTTCCTATGACAGTGATTATATTATATTATCTAGAGAAGAGAGTGGCAAACTCAAATATTTTTAATGTTAACCATTTAAGATTAGCATAAACCACTTTTTCAATGTTGTTAATTAAATCCAAACAAATTGCTTAAAGTTTTTGATTACACGTCCAATACCTTTTTTAGGAATAATCTTTACATGTTTTAAGTAAATACCGATAATCTTATATGTTTCATGTATATATAGAACATTTAGTTTCAGAAATGATGATAAAATATTTTTGGTTTGTTACAATTTTGTGTTTTTGTAAATATTCTATAGCTGAATAGTGATGTTTATTTTTTTTTTTTTTATTTTTTTTTTTTTGATAGGAAACCAACCACCTTTGATCCTTTGAAAAGGGATAAGATGAAATATATATATATATATATATATATATATATATTATTTATACGTATTGAGGAAATAATGAAAGGCTTTATCATGATAGATGGAAATCTATTGGTCCGTTTATTTAGGATAATGATTCTCTTCACGGATGTTAATAAAAGATAATAAAATCTGAATTACTTTCTAATTTGGTTCTTTGTGATATTAAAATTTTGGGTATCGATCGGATATAATCCAGTACTAGGAAATTAGGAATACTTAATTTGGACTTTTGTAGTTATCTAAATGAATCTTCTTTGATAGGAGTATTTCTTTTTTTAGTACGTATTCAATTGGTGGATATAACATTTCTTGGTCAAATAAATATATGGGAAATGAAAAAAAAAACAAGGTTTAGTAAATTGATGACAAGTAGAGAGAAACCAAACTCGTGAGGGTTACAAAAACGTATCATATAGTTCTGCTCATTTCTATTCTGATCATTGCTTTATACAGGACCATACTCAGGCCTTGACGATTGGTAGAGGATTTCTTATACATGGTCATGGATGCTTGAAGATGAATGAGAAAGATCGAGTGCGGAAGAAAGATCGAGCTCAAGGCTCTGATACCATATCAAGAGTGTTTGTTATGAATTGTAACATCAACACAGATTTTACATTTAAACACGATAAGAAATAAAAAATTATTGGCTCTTTATTTGTTTATTCTAGAGATTTGCAACTTTACAAAACTGCATGAAAGGTCCAAGTTAAAATCATGTATTTATGATTATGCGGTGTACCGCGGGTCAATCCCTAAATTTTAAAAATGATTCACTGTATAATATTTTTTTTTCATTGTATAATATTTATACATGTATATATGTCACATATTGTTCTAAAATTAACAATCCAACTAAAATCATACAATTTAAATAATTTTGAACATATTCGAAACCAACACATACAATCTAAAAATGATAAAATTTAATTACTGATCAAAATAAAGTAAAGCAAACACAAATAAAATTATCTCGCAACGTACAAAAGACTAAAAATCCGGTAATTTTCCTCCGCGATGTATCGCGGGTCCGGACCTAGTTAAGTGTAAAATGAATGTGTATTACAAGTATTTATATGAGTAAGATAGTCTAAGCTAAAGGAAAGTTAGGCTAATCTTAAATATATGATATGTACTAATTTCACTATACTCCAATATCATAATCACAAAGTTTCCATGACGTCTGTCTTTCTCATATTCATGTGACTGTGACTCTACCATTGAACGAAACCCTAACAAGAATCTCGTCGTTTCTCTTACACACACGCTCTCGTATATCCATTAATTAGTTGTTTATATTAAAGAAAATACGTACTAGTAATATTTTTGTATATCATTTTGCTTTACTAGAAGAAAATTAAGATAAACACAAATCTGACGTACGAAGGAAAAAGAGAACAAAGATGGTTTGACGTAGAAGAGATGATGATGATGATTCATATAGAAAACACTTTTCAAAGATGGTTTGCTTCATAACTCAAGGCGGCTCACATTTTATACAACTCCTTATGACCAGTGAAATAAATGAAGATGACACGGAACAAATTTGTTCTTTAAATAGAAAAAAAAACGAACCAAAAAAAAAACAATCCGAAACATGATGTAATTATCATCAATCCTAATTAATTCAATATTATTTTTTTTTGGTAAGAATAAATTCAATATTATTGCATTTATGTGTTTTGAGAAGAAAAAATATGATTCACATTTATCAATTAATTAATAATTTATTTATTCGTCCCATGCTTCATTCTTTTTTTGGGGTGAGATCGTCCCATGCTTCATTAATGTTTTATACTTTAGTTTCGTTCGTCTATCTCAATTACATCATCATATTAACTAGGGAAATATCTTCACATTTAAAAATCGCATCTTACACACACACACATATATATATATCGTTGATATATTATTGTAAAAACACTGATCGACGTAACCACTAGACCAAAAGCATCTTCATAAACCAAAACTAATAATTGACTGTATGAACATTAATATACTATTAAACAAAAGCAAAATACTCCTTTCACCATCAAAACTTAGCATCTTTTTTTAACTGCATATATTTTAAATTGATTATTAAAACCAAACCAAAAACAGTAAAAACGAACAGATAAGTAATGGGTGGACAAAAGAAAATGGAATGTAAAGTATAATAACACATATCTCTCTATTAATAACGTAATAAACATAATTGCTTTTTTTTTTTTTTGTCATCAAACATAATTGCTTCTGATCGAAATAGAAAACAAAGATACAATGAGAGAGAAACACAATTTTGAATGTTTTTTTTTTCTTTATCACTCAAAACTACATAAATCAGAATTCTTTCACCCTGGAACAAAGTTAAAAACCTACATGGAACTCACTTTCAAGAGAGTCCATGTACCACAGCATTCTTATTAACCTATAAGAGTGTTACCTCATTCGGTTGATATATTACCATATTGCCAAGGATTAAACTCGATTGATTTGAGGTCCGTTTCATTGGAGCTCCCTGCTTCTGTCTCTTGCTGTTCCTTGTACTTCCCGTTGAATTGGTATATTTCAATATCTCCCCATGGTGTAGCTGTTATCTCATCCGTTAGATCGAACCATCTTGGTGTGAACTTTTGTCCCTTTGTCTCTCTGGTCCTCTTTTCGGCCCTTTGTCTCTCCTCAAGGCTGAGATAAAAAAAAAAAAGACAGCACGAAGAACCTCATGAGCATAACGTTGATGTTTTCTACAATCTAACATGCAATCATTCTTAAAGTATCTTTTCCTAGTTCATGAAAATATGACCGGTTTTGGCCCAATGCAAGATAGTATTTGTTCCACGCTGGAGAGAAATGCTATGGGAATAACAGCAAGTAAAAGACTTTCACATTATGACAACAAGTGACAAAGAAGGAAGAAAAGATGAAGAACCTGTGCTTCTCGGCACCAGCTTTAGAAAGGTCACCCTGCTCAAGAGCATATCTATCAGGACGTAGACGCGAGTCTGAAGCCAAGAGCTTAGCAGGCGCAGTGTCGAAGCTGTTTAACTTGTGAGCAAAGTGAGTGTACTGGAATTTGTCGTTTTTGGGGACACCAGCCAAATGCCACACCTGAAGAAAGCAAGAAAAGCATAAGCAAACGCTAAAGTATTATCAAACACAACCTAGCTAACTCCAGTAAAACATGTAAGACGGAAAAGAAGCGACATGCCTCTTTCAGCTCTGTGCCTGGAAGAGGTTCCCCTTCAGCATCACAAGGTTGGTAGCTCATTTTCTCATTCCATTTTCCTGTCATCATGATTTTTGGTTCTTCAGCTGCGCTGTAAACGTAGCCATCAACTTCATAACGGCCAGAACTGAAATCAAGGTAGCAAATTCCAATTAATAAGCATGTCGGGATTACAAGACTAGACAAAATGAACAGTGTAATATTAAACAAGAAGATGAAGTAATGTCTTGTTAATTACCCAAACCATCCACATGGCTGGAAATAAAGTACAACTTTGTCTCCAGTTGTTAAATTTGTCATGATCATTTCCCCAGGTGAGTCAACCCAGGTTCTTCCAAATATTAAATTGTGAATCTTAGTGGGAGGCGGCACCAAATCCAGAACCACACCATCTTTTTTGAGGGTTACACGAGTTCTGCAAACCAATAGACTAACTGGATGAGCTAGATGAAAATATAAGACATAATAGATACTAGTACAGTAGTTACGTAACAGTCTCTTGTATCTCTTTCATTTAAAAAAACGACAGAAGAATGGTCGGATTCCTTTGTTTGACTGCAGATAGAAATTAAAGCACTATGGAAAGGAAAGAGTACATGCAGCAAACAGTTTCTTCCTTAATGACAAGGGCCTTTACCAGACAAAGTGAGAAAGTGGAAAATAGATAAGAAAAGCTTACCTTCCAACAGGATAAACATCAACAGAATTACCCAAAAGTTTAGTTTTCAACTTTGATGTGATGTCGTAAGTGAAGTGCTCGTTCTCTGCATGACCAGCACTCATTGGAGGATGATGGCTAACCTGAAATGACAAAGTAACTTATTTGTAATGATCCAAATAGGCAACTTATTGCGAATTAGTCATTATCAGCTATGCAGATAACAGTGAAATGTATAGCTGCACCTGCTCAGAAATAAAAGAAATTCCACCATGGTTGGCCATCTCATATGTCTCCCCAAGAATAGGATTGAATGGCTTCCAAGTTCGTTGGAAAGCAAAGTAAACAGATATAGCCCATGATGCTGAATAAAAATTCACATACAACCACAAGAAAAACAAAACTCTTAACTTACATGTTACAAAATCAGAAGTCAATAAGAGTCTTTAATTTGAATACTTACAAGCATACACTAAACGTACGTATGGATCCTCGCATTCATCTGCTTGATCCAACAAGTGGGAATACTCCAGTATCTGTGAGAAATTTCCAAATGTTATACACTACAGTACACAGACATAAAAGAAAAACAAAAAGGGCACAACAAAATTTACAAACCCACGAGAATTAGATATAACACTAACCTCAGCCATCTTCTGGAGCATAGTCATAGGCTCAAATATAACAACAGGAAGAGTCACCATTGACGTAATATCCGAACCTATATATTTCTGCATCATCTTCCAGTAACTATCTCGTTCCTATTAAGCACAAAAGATAAGTTTCTTTAAGTAAGTAAAGGAAACATGAGGAACCTAAGGAGAAGTATCAACGATTACTTACCTCGTCCTTCCACCTTCCTTTATGAGCTTCCTCTTCTGCATCTTCCTTGCCACCATCAGGATTTATGACCTCAACTCCTTCATTACTTGGCGACCTGAAACGAAAATGCATCGAACAGCCATTAGCAAAACCAACACGGTTTCTCGTTGATTGAAGACCCAATCAAGAAGATCTCAGAGTAGCATAACACAAAATTCACTTGGATGATTAAAAAAAAGTTAACAAACTTTGATCTGTATATTGGCTGGCTGGTGAAGAATAAATAATAGCAATATCCATGTTTGTAATATAAAATTCAACACAATGAAACACCTGAAGAATCAAACAATAAAGCTTATAGCCCAGAGGAAACAGAGTATCCACACAATCACAGCGACTCAAGACGCAAAGGTTTCATCTTTAGTAAAGAAATCAGAGAGATAAGAAACAAGTAAGTTGATAAGAAACTAACTCGTTGACGGATCTCGGCATGGCGCTACCGAACAAGGAGAAGCCAGAAGTCATGGCGGCGAAGAAGCCCTTGTTCTCGTTCTTCTTTGGGCTACCCATATTTTTTTTCAAAACCAGATCGCTCTGTATAATAAAAATTCTGTAAAACCCCTTGTTTATGAATGAATGAATCTCAGAGAAATTTCTCGATCAAGCGTCTTCTTCAAATCAAATCAAATCAGAGAGACAAGTCTCGGAGAAGCTTCTCCTACGCGGAGGGAGGGAGACTAAAAGAAATAGAACTAGAAATGAGTTCGATCTGTAGTTTCTATAAATATCGAGGACTTCTACTGTAAATTCTTTAAGTCATTAATTAGGGAACAACTAATTAAGGATACTTTATTTTATTTTTAATGCTTACCAATTTGATTTTTTGATTTTTAAACATGTTTTGTAAATCAAATATTTATTTTGATGAGGCAAAAACCTCTCAATATCAGAATTACTTGTTTAGTCTTATTACAAACTTTGTAAGTTTAACTATATTACGTCTTATAATTACCAACCAAAAACTATATGAATGTATTATACCAATAAGCGAAATGAATAAGTTGACCAATGTATTTTTCTTATACAAATCAAAATTTGATTCCAAAGTCAGAATTTGGAAAATTCTTGTTTAAGGTACATACCACAATGATAAATTGCATTATTTTGAGGCATCAGATCCAAAATTTCCAAAAAAGCTAGATTACTATAGTAATTAATTACAATGAGTGGAATTGTAATTTCTTTTTGTTAAAAATGGATCAAATATTTGATATTGAATCTTTTAAATCACAGTCTGAATCTCTTGGATCCAAAAACATGAATGGCACTCACAGTTTAATAATAATCTCACGACTCAGCCACTATTTCTTCACTTAAAACTAATTCCTGAATCTAATAAGAACCCTAATTTGTTTACTTCTTCTTCGTCCACTCCAAGGTTTCTCAGATTCTCTCGATATCGAAAGTTTCGAGCTTTGGTTTTTGGTTTGTAAATCGAGGATGAAAGAATCGAAATCGACCAAGTTGAATCAGCAACAGCAACAACAAGACAATCACCAGAATGTTCACTTGTCCCCATCGAAACTAGCCAAGTTGTTCGATCCCGATGCTTCTTGGGACAAGGTACTTCAAACAACACTCTTCTTCTTCCTCCGTAATGTCCGGAAATCTCGCAAGCTCCTTTGACTTTTTTTTAAAAACTTGGTACTTGATTGAGCTTCGTACTCGATCTTTCTGAATCAGTAAGGAAATATTAGTAATTTGATCCGCTCAAGCTTTTTGTGAAATTGAGCTCTTGCAATTTTTTTTGAGTTATTTTTTGGTTATGATGATGAATTGGGTTTTGGTTTGTTGATGATGATGATGATGATGATGATGATGATGCAGGATCAACTGGGAGATGTGTTGCATTGGATTAGACAAGTGGTGGGATTGATCTGTGGATTGTTATGGGGAACTATTCCACTTGTTGGAGGCATTTGGATAATTCTGTAAGTGTTCTATACACTTGTACTAAGGTTGCAACTGTTTCTTTGCGTTTGCATTTTCATCTTGTTTTAATGATTGGTGGTAATAAACATGCAAAGATACAATCTTTAGCCTATCTTGTTCTGGCTTTGTTTCTATCACTCTCACTTTCTTGGTGTTTCATCTTCTTCATAGGCATCGAGCCTGAACCCTCTGATTATTCCTTACAGCTTTTTTATCACATTGCTTTAAAGCCTCCATGTTTAGCACAAACTTTGTGATGCAATGAACTAATGATGGGATTTTTGCAGGTTTTTGGCGATATCCTCAGGGATCGTTTACGGTTACTATGCAATGATTCTCAAGGTTGATGAAGAAGATTTCGGAGGCCACGCAGCTTTACTCCAAGAGGGTCTCTTTGCGTCACTTACTCTCTTTTTGGTAAGTTTGTTTTTCATCTCAACAGTACAAACTCTTTTTTCAACAGTATTTTTTCTAAGGTTTAACAGAATCTGTTTCATCTTGTGTCTTCAGCTCGCATGGATTCTTGTCTATAGCTTGGCACATTTCTGAAAACAACCTGAGCTACATTCTTTTTACTCAGCAGCGAATGCTCGTTCTTCATTACTTCTTTGGAACGAATCTCTGTTCTTTTCTTTTCTTTTTTTGTAAAATGTCTGAAGATAAGGCTACGAGAGACAAAACGTTATAGTAACAATTTTATGAATATTTTGAATGTTACAAAAGCTTTCTAGTATATCCTTTTTACAATACACAATTGAGTAGAACCAATTCCCAAAAATCTTTCTTCATTTGTCAGATTATGTAAGTTTGGAACGCCGATCTCTCCTTGGCCTTGATACAAGGTATATCCTGCCATAAACCCATTTTCTACCCAATCGTGATGTAGATTTCTGAAGCAGTAAGAAAAAAAAACAATCATTGTTGTTAGAAAAGCTACAGAGGACTACCTAAGCCAGAAATTGGTTCACATTCAAACCACAACAATCAGCGTTCTAAAAGTAACCGCAGAAGCAAATTGCAAATGAAGAGAAAATAAGGGAAACATAGTAATTTTACCTCCACTTTGGTACGAAACTCCAGAGTGCACTCACAAACATGACAGTCAGCTTTGTGAGCTGATCGGTTTGATTGATCGGATCTCACGAATGCAAAGACCTACACGAATTCATTAAAGTCAAATGTTACGAGAACTAAAGACACAACGATTTTGTAATTTTGCTGCTGCAAAAGAATTACGAGCCAATATTTGACCTCTTCCCCGCAATTTGGGCAGTCTCCTCTTAGAGCCGTTAAGTCATTTCTCCATAACCCTTGAAGTACTTTTACTGCAAACAACATTCTTTATCTCAACAGAAGCAAGTGACAGCTATTACCAGTTACAGGTAAAATCTTGTTTGCTTTCTGGTACCTGCAGAAGATGCAATCGGATATCCAAAAGCAGGCCCTAGCACGGTGAGAAGGATGCCGTTCAACTTTGACAAAAGAGGCACAGAAGATGACAATTGGCCGCTATAGATAAGCCCTGAGTCCAACGGATCTCCTCCATAGACTAGGCCGAGGCCATAAAACGTGGGCAAAACACAAGCCGAGCTACCAAATAAGAAAATCAAGATCCATATGGTAGCTAACAGGACAACTTGTGATGCATCATCCTGTCCTACAAGGATTTATCTCAACATCAGACGAAAAGAAAATAGATAATTTTCTCGAGAGAGAAACTGACCAAGAAAACTAAACAATGCATAAACTTGTTGGTTCGAGCAACAATATTCCGGGAATTATATCACTGTAATGACATTTAAAAAAAACTGAAAAGCAATCATCAGCAAACAAATCCAAATCTCAAGGATAAATAAAATTGCAAATCTCATAGTGTGGTCAAAATGAAAAACTTGGCCCAATCTGTTTCACATTGTACCTCTGCATCAGCATATGTTGACTGCCGCAATAGGCTGCACCGAGGGTATTTGACAACAGATTTTGAACCATACCACCGCAACTTAAGCTGCAACAGTTGCAGAAAGCAAATCCAACTTCATTTAGCTACAAACTATATTAACCTCAAGTAAATACATATGAAGCATATACTAACAGTTATCATACATACCTCAACTCTGTCAAACATGTCATCAACTATCAAAGGCTTGCCATTGTAATACGCATCCTTAGCCTATACATAACGCATCATAAAGCATCATAAAGCAGACTTCAATATCTAAAGATTTAAGCCAACAAGATCAATCAATATGAATATAATCAACAGTTTCATCACAATTCATAGGATTCGCTTAAGAATCCAAGAACTAAGTACTATCTCACAGACTCACTCACAGGTTCAAAAGAAGCAAAAATTAACTTGGTATATAATCAATTTCTGAGTAATACACATACTCCATAACCACAGAGACGAATTTGAAAAACCAAAACAAGTTTTTATTAGGCGTACTTGGCGATAAAGAGCTTCTAAAGTTTCCTTGCGTGCTGAATCAATCGGTCCAACGAAGATACAAGAAGGACCTTCTTCACGAGAGGAAGGTGCAGTTAAACCACCACCGTGTCCTCTGGTTCTAGTAGAGATCCGCACAGAGAAAGGAACACCAGCTCGATTAATCAACCTGGAAAGCTCAACAACCGAAGAAGAACCAATGAGACGATGCCTAATCGAAGTGCCGCAAGCGCCCGCCATGATGAACAACAACAACAAACAAATATCTTCTGATTCGCCGGAAACAAATTGAAAAAACAAGAGGAGGACTAAGCGTGTGGTGGAGACGGTTGAGCCGAGTGATTGTGGCCACACGATACTGTTCGGCGCGTGCACGCAACATACTACGCTTATACTGTATATCATCTTTTTTATACAGATACGGTCATACTGTGAAAACGACGTCGTTTCAAATCGAAATAGATATTTAAGAGTTTAAAAATAAACGACAGTTTTATAAAAATTATGCGTCTGCCGGGAGTCGAACCCGGGTCTATTGCTTGGAAGGCAATTATCCTAACCGTTGGACTACAGACGCTTATTGTTTGACGATGTCTGTTTAGAAACTTTGAAACCAATTGTTTGACCATACTTTGCCCTTCTGAATGATCTTAAGACTCTAGTACAAATCAAACACACAAATAATTTTTTTTTGAGAGTAACCATTGAAGAAAAAAATCCAATTCGGTTCAAAAAAGTGGAAAACCAGTCACAGTTTTATAAGCCTAATTCAAACTGATAAAAAGAGAGAACATTTGACCAAAAAAAAAAAAAAAAAAAAGAGAGAACATATCCTAAGGCTCGTCACACTTGTCTCGACGTTGTTACTCAAATTTTAGAAGTCTTCTTTTCTTTTTAAGTTAAAGGCCTCAAGGCCTCTTGCGTTTGTTCTTCATAGCAGCAAGACTCGACCATATCTTCAAGATCACCTCAGCTGCTTCCTCCATCTTTGCCTTTCGGTTTTCCTCATAGTTCCAAAGTTCCACAATCACATAGCTGCCACTCGCGTTGTGCTCCTCAATCTCTAGTTTTGCTCTTACCACTTCATTACAAACTTCTTCGCCGTACTGGCTCTTTAGATTACGAAGCTTCTCATCGTTTGTATTCACCACCCTCTGCGCATTTCACATTTGGTATCTTGAGATAATATGTAAAAGGAAATATGTTTTTGCAGATTAAGAAAAAAACCATCTTTTGAGATATGAAAGTATAGACATGAGTTAAAGTCCAAACCTTTGGCGTTCCATCAGATTCATCGACTCTAAATGGATTCCAATGCACATCTCCGATGTTTGCTTCCCACACTGAACACAACTGCATAGCCTTAATCTCTGCTCTTGACTTCGTAACTTTATGTTTCTTCATCACCGCAGGTAAGAACGGTTCAGGGTTTAACTGCCCCATTCTCTTTACTCTAATCTTCTCTTCCTTCATCAATTCTTCATTGGCATTCCATAGCTGCTCATCAAAGCAGTAACATGAGTTAAAAGAACAAGCCAAAGACTTTGGAACAGACAGATTCAGAAGGTTTTTGTACCTGTATCATCTCTTTACGAGCGTCTTGATACTCATCGTTGGTCGCACGTTCTTTTTGTGCCAGAGTCGTCATCTTGTCTTGGAGAGACGTTTCTCGAGCCTCAAGCTCTATCTGAGTTTTGGCCATATTCTCCACAATTTTTGCATCTCCATCACTCCCCATCATATGTTTCATTACATTGGTCCTACCTTTCAGCTTCTCTATCTCCAACTCCAGCTCTTGCGTTTCATTTAGCTTAGCTTCCATTTCCATTATCCTTTGATGAAGCTTCTCTTTCTCTTTCTGCAAAAAAAAAATTCATGTTTGTGAAACCAGAAGATGAACATGGAAGCTTGGTTGTAACTTGTTCATGAATATATTTCAGTCCATCTAAAGAACTACTTGCCTGATGCTTTTCTGCAAGTTTCATAGCTTCCTCATTCGCTTCATTCTGCTCCCACATAGCCTTTTCGTTCTACAACAACAACAACAAAAATATCCCAGTTTTAGGGTGCCTTGTGGTCTTTTTGTTCTAATCTACAAGGATTGCATAATCACCATTTCTCTTTCAAGTCTGGATTTTGCCATCTCTTCTTCGTTTATGATTGCTCGTTGCTCGATCTGTTTTGCACGCTCGTCCAGCATCTCCCTCTTTGCCTCTAGTTCTGACATAGACTTCTCATGTCCTTGCATAATATGGTCATACAAATGTTGCATACTCGTCTGCATCTTCTCAATCCCTTTTCATCAGGAAGACACACAAACAAACCAAAATGAACTCAGCAAGAAAAGACAACACAGATTTTGTTTTAAAGCCTAATGAAATGTTTCATGTACCTTCTTGGTAGGTCTTGTTCAAAAGAATGTTATGCAATGCCAAACTCTCCAAACAACGAGATGTCTCATTAACTTTCTGCTCAAGTTCTTGCTTACATTGCTTCTTCATCTCAATCGATTGAGACATGTTTTCAACAAGGTGAGCCATTTTCCTCTCGTCTTCTTCCATAAGCTGCGAGATACTTTTCAAATCTCTCTTCTTCTTAACATTCTTCCCAACAATATCACTTCGGTTATAATCATCCGTTCTCGCAACCCATCCGTAAAGCTTTTTATCTCTCAAGCGAATACCTGTTGCCAAAGAAAGATAACTCATTGTCAAGAAATCAAATGACTAAAAATCACAACAGCATACAACTCAGAAACAATCTTTTACCATTTTCCCAGTCTCTCTTCCCATGACGGTCTACTTCAAAACTCCTTTCAAATTTCATGGCGTTTTCAAATCCTTCAAAGTCTTTAGTGAACTCAACCAAAGCATAACCAGAATGTCCCTTGAAATTCCAAATGGGTTGAACTCTTGTTGGATTAAACCCTTTCACGGTTAGCTCATCACGTAACTTTGAACCACTTTGGCCCACTCTCCGACCAGATTGATCAACCTCCGTGGGTATGTTGGCCACAAGACCAACCCATGGCCATACAAATTTAGTCTCCATCTCTGCGGTCTCCGCCATATGTGAATCTTCGACTGGAAATTTCTGCTTTTGTTGATCCTTATCCATCTGAAAGCTTCAATAAAGAAGATAATCAAATGAGATTTCATTTCCAGAAACGATAATCGAAGACATGATACATAATATAGAGAAGACCCATGGATTTAGCTACTGAAAATCACGGTTTTGAACAACCTAGACAAAGGAAAAACACAAACTCTTTTTTGGGGTTTTAGCAAGAAGGAAAAACCTAGAGAGAAATGTATGATTCACAGTTAAAAAATGTTAAGTTCTTATGTCGAAGAGAAATGTAGAAAAAACAAAAAGGAAATAACTTGATGTGAAGAATACTGGAAAATGCTTCTCTTCTCTCTGCTCTCTTCAGAGAACCATTTCCTGGGTTTATCAGAAAAATCTCTTCTTTGTAACACTCAGATGCTAGAAAAAGAAACACAAAAATAAGGGATTTGTTACGTGTACGGCTGGAGAACCGAAACTTTGTTTTTTCCTTTTCAAAAAAACCTTTCAAGCAAACTCAGACTTAAGACCATTCAAATCCCCCAGAAAAAATGAGAGTCGTAACCATAGCAAATAAAAAGCAGGGACCTTTTTTTCTTGTTCCTATGTTAGTCTGCTTGGTGGTGGTGAGTCACAAAAATAGTGTGTAGAAGTTTTCTCTCCCAAAATTGCTTTTGAAGGAAGAGACAGAGCGTCGAAGGGAGTAGACTCAGTGGCAGTACTGTAAATATTGATAAACAGAGAGGGTAGAGATAATCAAAAACCAACAAAAACGTAAAAACCTTTCCTTTTCACTTTTTCTTTCAAATCCTTGGGACACAAGACTAAAATGGAAGCCTCTGGCGAGCGGAGAAGGTTTATAAGACCAAGAACTACTAATTTAGGTGATGATAGAGCTCATAATAGCCTTTTGATCATTTATTGCAATTTTGCAGATAATAAATGGGCTAAAAATAGTATTTATCGTAGTGAATATTAGTACACAAACTTAAAAGCTACGTTGAAATTTATGTTTAGCACACCACCAAACCATAGATACAGGAAAATAAAAAGATCAGATGCGTCTGCCGGGAGTCGAACCCGGGTCTATTGCTTGGAAGGCAATTATCCTAACCGTTGGACTACAGACGCTTCATGCTTTTGCATCATGCTTTTTTATATCAAACTACTCGAAAGTTCCTAAACACAAGGAAAAAGAACTTTAGATCAGAGAGAAGCTCCATATCAAAATGTCCGAAATGAAAAGCTTCTTTAGTACACGACGTCTTCAAATTCAAACTCATCACATTCCAAACGCAAACGCAGATATAGCTCCAATGAATTATCGTACACATAAGTTGATGAATGAAGAAAACTAAAACAAGAATCACCCAATTAAGTAACCGTAACATCTCTGTTTATCTTACAATAGATGCAATGTCCCAAAAATTTTGCCATCATCGTCTTCACAAATCACAACGACAGTTTGCTTGGGTTTCTGTTCGTGATGAATGTAAACGCAGTGCTCCAATCTCGTCTCACTGAGTCTTGAACCTTGACGTCCCCAATAATAGGTGTCCAAGCTTCTTCTCTTGTGTTCCCCATTGACCAGCTTACCTTCTCTGGTGGATTCTTAAAATCAAAGTCCAATGGAGGGGGCGGCCGTGGAGGCTCTCTAGCTTTTCTGATGGCTTTATTGCTTCCTTGGCCTTCCAAATGCTGCAAAACAACAAGATTCAATATGTATCATGGCTTTGAAACAGGCAGTAAAAAGGTTTGCACTTTTAAAATGTTAAACTCACGTCTGGATTGAAATCTGTATTCTCTGCTTTCTTGGCGCCTTTTTTAGAGGTTCCATGTTGTAAGTAGTAGAGTACCTCAGTCCTGGACCGAAACTTACGGCCTGTGTTTGGTTCGTAATAGTACTGCAAAACCGGATAAGATAATTTTACAAGTCTACATATAACATGACATATTAGCATCAAGTATAAGAAACCACCAAAACTTCATCTCTTGAATCACAATATATAACAAACCAAACCATTTAAAATCGCACTGATAAACTGTATGATTAGGTATCAATTTATTAACAGCTAACGCCTTCGCCCAATACACCATAACAAAACTAAGCAGAACCAAGCACATCATTTTACTACAACATTACACTTGACACTACTTAAAGGCAAGATTTTTCTTCACTGACTCTACTAAAGCCTCAACTCAAGAACAACATTAGTTGATTTAAAGAACATTGTAGCAGCTATGAATCCAAATTCTGAACCACAGAGAACAGCATCAAACAAAGAATCCCAAATTTACAAATTTCAAGCAACAATAGTCAATATAGCTCAAAGTTCATAGAGAAAGCAGAGTAAAGCTGAGAGTTTTGATTTAACCTTATCAACCGAACCAGCCGTAGCACCAGAGGTTCGAACTTTATCTTCAACTCTCCAACCAGAAGGCAACCAATTATCCCCAGGCGCCGCACGCTTCCGCGACTTCGATTCGGACTGATGACCTGAACTATCCTGCGGTGGATTCATCTGATCTGTACCGTTAGCCATCCCAATGCGTACCTTCTCACCCGAACCAGAAACTCCGGTACCTCCCTGAATCGGTCGCCGCTTCGCACTACTGCCTAGGGTTCCGTCACCGGCGGAGGAGATGAAGGCTCCGGAGGCGAGAAGTGGATCGGACAGAAAATCGCCGGGCACAGAATCTGACATACACGAATTAGGGATTGGATTGTCTTCTTCACCAATGAGCGCAATGAGATTATTACGGCGGCGATCTCGAGAAAAGGTAGAATCTTTGAAAATGGAGAGATTGAAAGATTATTCTGTTTACTGGGTTTTTTCAATTCGGTTCGGTTAAACCAAAATTGAATAAGAAATTAGAATTTAGCTAAACCATCCTACCCATTACATCAAGAAATGCCAATTTTTGTATTATAGAACTGTTGTACTCAAATCTGATCCGTTAAAGTTTTGTGTTTACAAACTAACAAATAACAATAATCCCATTAAACCGAAATTTTATAAATTTTAAGCTTAGTTGATAGTTGATGCAATTAAAGTAGTATGTCACAATTGCTTATACTACCTACTAAACCATTATAAAGATTGTTTTGTATTTGATTTGGAGTCTGTTTGTAATCATTATGCATATAACAACAACTTTTATAAAAAAATAATTTGTTTAAATAAAAACTTATAATTAAATTAAGTTGATTATAGTACAATGTGAGTGAAAGATCATAAAAGAAGAGTATGCTTAGTTTAAAAACAAACAGAGAGGCTATTGGAAAAAAAAGATAAAACAACTATAGATGTCTTGTATACCAATTGGTATGCATAATTAATAACTCTTTTTAGTGTTTTCTTTGGGTTTAGCTGCTTCAAATAAAATTACAAAGAACAGTGTTTAGGGAAAGATTTGTGGCATTTCGTTGCAATCCGTAAAATATACTCAAATTTGGTGATTCCATGAACTGTGTTTAGAAGCACTTCCTATGCACAATTGATGGTCCAGATTCATCGTACTCTGCTTTTGCAATCCACATCTGTCAAAAAACAAAAAGAGGTTACAATCAAATGTTGTTGTAATAAGGTTAAAAAAATGTTGTAAGATTATGTTTTCACCTGCTGGAAAGTGCTGAGTGAAGCCAATATAGAGCCACCGATCCATACACTGTACTTCCTCTCCGGTGGAGCCACGACCTTAATCTTCATACTACTCGGAGCCAAAGCCGTAATCTCTTTGCTCATTCTATCACCAATCCCACCAAACATTGTGGTTCCACCACTTAGCACAATGTTTCCATACAAATCTTTCCTAATATCCACATCACATTTCATGATAGAGTTATATGTGGTTTCATGGATTCCTGGATTTTCCATTCCGATCATTGACGGCTGAAACAGAACTTCAGGGCACCGGAACCGCTCTGCTCCAATGGTTATCACTTGTCCGTCGGGAAGCTCGAAGCTTTTCTCAACGGACGAGCTTGTTTGGGATGTCTCTAGCTCTTGCTCGTAGTCTAGGGCAATGTAAGAGAGCTTCTCTTTCATGTCTCTAACAATTTCACGCTCAGCAGTTGTGGTGAATGAGTAACCACGCTCTGTCAGGATTTTCATGAGGTGGTCCGTGAGGTCACGACCCGCTAGGTCCAGACGTAGGATCGCGTGTGGAAGAGCGTAACCCTCGTAGATTGGTACCGTGTGGCTCACACCATCTCCAGAGTCCAAAACAATACCTAACCAACAAGTATGCAAAATGACCAATATGAATCAGGGGTTGTCCATGAAAGCAGAACCTAACCAATTGAAGAGTATTACTGACCAGTTGTTCGGCCACTGGCATAGAGTGAGAGAACGGCTTGGATGGCAACATACATAGCAGGAGTGTTGAACGTCTCAAACATGATCTGAGTCATCTTCTCACGGTTAGCTTTTGGATTGAGAGGAGCTTCGGTTAAGAGAACCGGATGCTCTTCAGGGGCAACACGTAGCTCATTGTAGAAAGTGTGATGCCAAATCTTCTCCATATCATCCCAATTATTAACAATCCCATGCTCGATTGGGTACTTGAGAGTCAAAATACCACGTTTTGACTGAGCCTCGTCTCCAACATAAGCATCCTTCTGTCCCATCCCAACCATCACACCCGTGTGGCGTGGACGGCCTACAATGCTCGGGAAAACCGCTCTTGGTGCATCGTCACCTGCAAATCCAGCCTAAGCACGAGAGAGATTTAATTTCAGTTTATACAAGTATATCGCATATATGACATAGTCTTGTGTGACATAGCATATATATATATATAGTTAGAAAAATTTACCTTAACCATTCCAGTTCCATTATCACAAACAAGCGGTTGAATGTCTTCACCGTCCGCCATTCTTCAATATCTATCATGAATATGAATCAAGACTATATGAAAATGGCCTTACACATTCTAGTATCAATTTTTCCTGTCATTTTCCATGTCGGAACCGTTACCAAGAAACAATAAGAATTGGTAATAATAATAACCTGGTTGAATTAAACGAAGAACAAAACCACAAGTTGGATCCTGAAACTCCCCTGAGACTTGGAATGGGTTCAAAATTTCTGAAAAAACGAAACGAGCTTTGCTTTATATGGTTCGACTGTAAACAGATCATGGTCGTTAGTTTTTTCTTGGCTGGAGCCTATATCTAAGAAGGCTACGACACGTGTCCAGCTATTTTTAGATACCTGACCGAGAGAATTATGGTTTCGGTCATGGCTCGCCGGAAGAATCGTTATTGAATTGGGCTTCTAAAAAAAATATGGATCATTGAACTTTTTATAATTATGTTTGTATATGATTTTGAAACAAAGTCAATCAAATAACTTATTAACATATTTGTTCAAGTTTAGCAGGTAATATTAGGAATATATATATGAACTTATTTTTATGTTTTAAACAACAATTACTTCCTTTCTTTTTTTTTTTTTTTTTATTATCTTGAGTGCATCTGAACCCTTTACCCCACTCCAGAGAAAAAAAATTATGTCGATAGTTGCCAATATTATACACACCCAACCCCTCAAGATACTTAAAGAAAAACAACAGGGAGAAAAAGTGAGATTATAAAACAGTATAATTAACAAAATGAAAACTAATAATTAAAATCGAGACATCATATGGGTGTTTTTGCTGAAAAAAGGTTGTGGGAGGAGATAGAAAAAATGGTGTAATGATGATAAGGATATGTGGGGAAGCAGCATAATTAAGCATGAGCATGAGATGTAATTATTTCGTATGAAAGATTGCATTCTTTCTGTATTTCGTATTGTTAATTTTGTTATTATATATTATACGATTGTTATTTCTCTTACCGTTCTTTTAATAAGATACCTAATATCAAATGGTAAATCAAACTTTATATACGTGCATCTGTTACAAATTTGACTTTTAATAAACACAAAAAAAAAATGTTATATGTACCTAGTAATAGTGGTAGTTATTATTTACCTAATGAGTATTTTAAAAAATAAAGGTTATACATATATGGAACAAATAACAAGAAGAAAATAAACTTAGGATGCGGTGAAACCCAAGCAATCTTAGATGGCCCCCCACCACACCCCAGCATGGAGACATGCATATTTGACATCTTTCGAATTATTATTTCCATTTTTGTAGCTTTGTTTTTACAACCTCAATATTACCATAAAGTATTCTATTACAAAAGAAATTTCCAAATAAGTTTTGTTGTCCACATTTTTCATTACAAAATTTCGTTGGATATATATATTGGAAAAAATGTCGTGGTTGGTTTACATATTGATCTTGGAATCTCTGTAGACATTCCGGTGCGGACATATATGTAGATGGGGAGTGGTTATTGAAATACAATAATAATATAGAAATCGAGTAGATGACAAAACGAAACAAAAAAAGACGTACCACCAAATTCTTGGAAACCCATATCAGTGTCAAAATCTCAATGAAGGAATCCTAGGAATCAGTCTTACGACAATTTTACAAGAAGCCTAATTAAACTTCGCCAAATGCAACGTACGATTTTGTGTATATGTTTTAGCATATTAGGTATTACTTTTATCGATGAAAATATGTATATATTCGAAATTTCGAGTGTGAGTAGTGTGCTAGCTAGTGCATCTACAGTCTACATATATAATTATATGTAAACTTCAATTAATGTTAATAATATTACAAAGTCTCATTAACATCAGGATGAGATGGAAAGCTAAAAAGCATATACAAAGCTTAAAAGGTAATAGATTCCATAGAAGAAACAGTGGATTTTATAGTTAATCACGTGACATGATTTTGACGAATCAAGAGTAAGTAAAGTATATGAGCGCGAGTCACATGAGCTTTATTAATTATGAAAACATTAACCCAATATTTAACTTTATTCAAATATAATTTAAGTTTATATAAAAAAAGTTACCTTTTATAATACAAGTATACTATTTTGTCATATTCAAATGTCATTAGGTATTTTGTGATAAATTATTTAGTTACAGTCTAAATATTTGGTTAACTAAGCCACATGCATGGACGAGAAGACTGCATCAGGTAGGTTTCTTACAATTGAGATAATAAAATATGACATGATTCTGTGTAAAAAAAAAAAAGATAATTTACGACTATATATATTAGTTGATTTTAAATGATTAATATATAGTACAATAAATTTGTTAAAGTCTGAGTTAGGATATTCGCTAGTTCCTATACCAACAAACTTATAAATTAAAGAAATATTTTTTTAAAAAAATCTTTTAATGCAACACTTATAAAGACAGATAAAAAGTGAAAATGATGATCTTTTTAATCCCAACAAAATAATAAAAGTGAAAAGACATGAATATGACTATCTGGGAACGAAGATAGAAAGATTTCTTAATGGCTAAAGTTAACTAGTATAGAAAGTATAATTATTTATGTGTTTTGTGGTTTTTGTATGTAAATGGAGAAAGATATATTGATATTTTATTTAGTATTATGTAAATGCATTGGATCCCTCGCACAAAGTGGGTTTTCATTTCAATTTCTCTGCTTCAGGACCCACGTATTTTCAGTATATAATTATACTAATGTTTATATATAATTAGTTTATAACTGATTAGTTACATTTTATAACACTGCATACATTGAACTTGGGTGCTTTAAACCTTAATCTATTATAGGCTCGTAATTAAATATTACTCTACCAAATTACTAGTCACGGCATTAAATCTTGATCCTATAATTCATCTAATAATAAACATATATATATATATATATATATATTTGTATTATATAGATGTTTACCATTCTGAATCAGTGTGGGAGATAAATGAGACCAAAAACTATTTATACACAATAATATGGCTGAATTAGTAGGTGGGGATTTTATTTATTATAGTAATAAGTCCTCATTTTACGGTCTGCATGCCTCGCTCCCTTGTCGATTTGGAGGACTCGTCGCTCTTTGTTATATATCAATCGCGCGCACACACACACTCACACAACAAAGATCTCAATTTCAATTTATTTGCTCCTTACATAAATATATGTACAATAAAACAAACACAAGTCACATACGAGTATACCTTAATATATCTTGAGATCTTCTTGTTGTTTCTCATATCATAGTCATTTTTAGTTTAATATTACTCTCTCTTTCTCTTTTCTTGTTTCTCTTCCTGTTTGTGATAAGATGTCAAATATTAAGATTTTTCATTTATTCCCTGACGGCAACGATATCGCAGCCATGCAACAACAACCTCCATCAAATCCCGAATCTTCTGATTCATCATTATCTCCACATCATCAAGAAAACCAATCTAAACGCCAACGAAACGACCAAGATCAAGAACAAGAGGAAGATCAAGAAAAGCTCCAAGATGGAACGAGAGTTAAACGAAAATGGGAATGTGCTGATGGAGCTTCTCGTTTAGAGATCCCAGAGACGCCGAGAATTTCGAACAGCGTGTGTTATTGTCCTCCTCGGCCGCCGAGAAAACCCAAAGCTACTCCGGTCATGAAGCGGAGAGCCATGTGGGTAAAGAGATCGGTGGTTTTCTTAGATGTTGCTAGAGATGTCGAATCCATGTTTCCTCAGTCTATTCTTCAAGACTTTGGTAAAACGATTAAGAAAGCTAGATCTTAATCTATATTCTCCACATATCTATCACATATTTATATCATACACACACATATATATATATATATATATATCTTCATCTCTATCTGTACTCATAAGCTTTTGATTTATTTTTTTAGTTTTTTTTATGTTCTGTTTCTGTTTTGCGGTACCTATAATTTTAGGGATACGCTATTATATTGTTGTTTGTATATTCAAAAGGAAAAAAAAACAAATTTTAGGGTTTCGTGTGATATTGATGTGATTATATGAAATTAATAGTTTATAAAACTAATTAAGATGAAATTAAAAATCGTTTGTTTAATTTTGAAATAATTTCGGTAAGAATATTGATTATCAAGTTCGGGATCCATGTTTCTTATACGTTTTTACACATATGAGTTAATTTTAAACACATGGTATGAGTGTATTGTTCATTTAACTTTTGTATGTATTCGATTTGGATGAAGACGCCTATTTTTTTTTACGTTAAGTGAAACCAAACGCAAAGTGAAATAAAAATTGCATTTACATTTTGGAAAATATTTCACTATTTTTTTTTCTTTTACAATAAACTAGATTTAGACCCGCACATACGTGCGGGGATATATTTGTGAATATTTGTATTTGATATAATCTTTATAACTCATATTTATAACGATTTGGTTTCATCAAATTTCGGAATATTTGTAATAATAATGGTTTCATCATAATATTTGGATTGATACGAAGACAGATCCAGATATTAAACTAATGTAAATCAATTATATTTTTAGCAAGCTATTAAACTATGAAATCAGATAAATGTCAAAAATATCAAACTTGCCAAACCGAATTACCTAAATTGTCAAGGTGGACGTATTTGATGTTTTTACCAATAAAAAGTCTACCCCGTGAAAGCCACATAAGCAACGTTTACATTTGTCCCGTTTGAATTTGCAAAAATTCGTAGGTAGCATACATTTTGCTAAATTTTCTAACTTAGACATAATACTCATATCTTACGTTTGGATATTCTCAAACTCTTAAACTTTAAAATTATCATATAAAGTAGATATTTACCCTTTCAAAAGTTAGTGCATATTCAATTAAAGTTCTGAGATTCGAATATAGATAAAAAAAAACTATATAGATTGTTATACAAAATTTATCTCTCATACATCTTATTAGGAATAGTTTGGAAATATTTTTCCGTTCCCATTTTATATTCACTGTTTCCCGTTCAGATATTGGCAAAGTAATGTTCGTAATGTTTCACACTCTTAGGTACCTGCAGAGTTATATTTTTAGATATAATTATTTGATATATCCATTATCTATATTAACATTTTAAAGCAGTTTTTGTAATAAATCCTAAAATTTTCAAACTATTTACAAAAAATGCCACTGCATTTAATACAGTATCTCTAAAAATAAATGGAAAATAATAAAAATAGAAATACATCAATATTTAGAAGATTTAAAATTATAGTTCCCCTATCATATTTTTTTATTTGAATTTTTTAATTTTTTTGAATCATCATAGAACACATAAAATTAATAAAATCTAATTTTGTTGTTCTACATATTTTTTTATTCGAATTTTAAAAAACGGATATATATCACTCAATTAATATAAAAAGTATGTGTTCAACATCTCAAATCCGCTAAAATATAAGAAAATGATTCAAAATCATAGTATACATATGATCATAATGGATTTAAATCTGTGTGAGCAGAAATTTTCACTTAATAAGCATCCAACCTTGAAAATTTGTATATCAATTCATTCGATTTTAGGTGAATTGGGTAATGTTTAAAATATGTTTCCTTTGATTTATTTCACTTAATAAGCATCCAAACTATAAAATATGTTTACAAATACACAATTTCTAATTTAATAGGCCTCATTTTATGGTAACGGATTTATTATGATTTCCATGAATCTGAGTTAGTTATTAGTTTTGATTATATATATATATATATATTTTAAAGCATATTTATTTCAATTGAAAATATTTTGCTGTCTTCAAGATATTTGAAAATTTAATATAATTTAATAATGTTTAAACTTTAAATTTTTTAATTGAGTTTAAATATTTCTAATATTTTCAACTTTACATGTAGTTTAAATATTTATAATATTTTAAAACCTTTTAAAGGAGTAAATATTAATAATACTTAAACTTCTATAGAATTTAGATATTTATAGTATTTTAATCTTTCCTTGGACCTAATTTAGTTTAAACGTTTATTTACCTAATTTAATATGTTTACATATACACAATTTAAAATACTATACATATCAGTTTATTTTAAAAGTTTCAAAATATTTTTAAATTAAAATGTTTTGAATTGTATTAGTTTAAATTAGGTAAAATAAACGTTTAAAGCATTATATAATCTGAAATTTTTTTGAATTTAATAGGCCACATTTTATGGTAACAAATTTATTATGATTTCCATGAATATTGGTTAGTTATTAGTTTGATTTTTTATTTATTTTAAATCATATTTTTTCATTTGAAAATCTGTCATTAATTTTGTTTGGTTATAGGTTTAGGATTACATTTTATTTCATTTTTTCTATTTAATCTGTTTGGATACACCTTTAAAAAATGCTCCCCTTTTAATAGTATAGATTATATCAAAATATTTTTAAGCATACACACGTTACATGTACTCGAAAATTTATAAAACTTATAAATAATAATTAGTATCGATCAAACATAAGAAGTAAGATGTATGGTTGTCTCTTCACGTTTCTACCTAAAAAAACCAAAAATTGGAGGATCCTAAGTTAAAAATGTGCACAAAACGATGGATATATATAGGGTTAATATATATATATATATATATATATATATATATATATATCTTAATCAAGAAGTTGACTTTTTGAATGTCTTGCGGGTAAGGGAACTTCAAGAATGAATCTTGAAATTTTCAGTGTATTTGACTTTTGTCCCCCCACAAAAGCAAACATGCGTTCATGTTGATCATCCCCACACACCCTCTATTCTTACCAAAATATTCCTCTCTCGAGGTATATCATACTACTTTATATCTATATTAATCGCATGCACTTGATACATGTATATTCAACATTATGTAAAAATAAATTTTCAAGTTACTACCAAGATTTAGTCTTAATTATTCAAATTTTTGTTTGCGTGGGAAAATTAATATAAGCTTCTATCGTCTTATCTACAAGGGTGGGTATGTAAGTGTATGCTTATGAGTCTTAAAATGCTCAACAGAAAGTGGTGGAGGGTTTCTCACTTTCTCAGCTCTCACATATGCTGAAGTTGCAGATGGAACAGTGTTAAATAACATATTTCTGATTCTTCTCTCTGCATAGAACACATATTTTCTCAGCATCACGATTCACAAGGGAGTGATATTCAGATGCGACAAAATCAAGACAGTGTTTTAATGTGAGAAGGATGATTCCCCTCAATAGAGAGGTTGACACATTCCATTGAACACATCTATAATTAAGGATATTTACCGTCAATAGTCTTTCTTTCAAGCTCCACAAAGGAAAAAAAAATAATGGATGGTCATGGCCTGGGATGTAGGAATCCTTAACCCATTTAGTTTCCTTAAATGGGCCTAGCTGTTCTAAACTCGAAAATACAAGAAAAACGACGCTGCTTAAGGAAACCAAAGTCACCAAGAAAGTTTTCAAACCTACAAGCATGCATGCCAGACATATACTTCACTGAGAAGAGTAACACTAAGCGACACGTGATGTCTCTCTGTTTCTTTCCAAAATCGTGTTTATTAAGAAAAGAGTAAGAAGACGAGCAGCAAAAGATAATGCTTATCTTTGGATCAAGTCCTTTTACAATGGCCAAATATGTTATTCCAACTGAAACTAGACGAAATCGCAAGACTACAATTGTTTAATTAGTTACCTTGTCTCTTCAAACTTCATTCATAGCATCAACCATAACTTATAAAAACAATTAACTGTAAAATTAACTAGTAATGGCAGTTCAACACGTCAACTAACTAGTTATACTATTTTGTTTTGTCGGCAACAATTAATTGGTGATCTATAAGGAAAAAGAACTATGTAAAATAATGCATATCTAACTTCGAGAGTTTCACTGACTACTTCAGTTAATATATGTCACACATCGCATATATAATACTTTAAACGAAGACTACAGTTTACAAATCGAAAATTTTATATTAGTCAAAAATATAGGTTAACTGTATATTGAAAACCTCAACACATCAATGTGGAATTGTGGATACAGTCCTTTTGTATATCGATGACTCGTTTCTAGCACTAGCAGTAAGTTTCAATGTGGATATAGTCCTTTTGTATCTCAATGATTCGTTTCTAGCAGTGGGTTTTGAAGTAATTGACTATGATATTCTTCAGGTGGAGTCTAAGTGTGGTGAAGACTCTCAGGTCAAGAGAGGGTTTCAAAGTTTCAGATGCAGGAAGAAGACACGTGAGTTTCACGTGATGCCGTTGATGGTTCTAACAAACCAAGGAGGGGCATAATCGTCTTTTCGCTTCAGCTCTTATATTAAGTCATCTTCTTCTCTTCCTCTGAATCGATTCATTTTTACGAGTTTGTTAGATTTGGATTGAGGAGAGAGAGAGAGTTGAATCTGAGAGTGAGAAAGCTTAGAGAGAGAGAGCATCTGAGAGATTGTAACGATTACTTTGTTCACCAAGTTCTAGTGGATTCCGGAGGAGTTTCTCCGGCGAGACGTAGGAATCCGGTTTGGATTCTGAACTCGTTAATTGCTCGTGTTCTTTCGTTTCTGTTCTTGTTCTCGATTCGTATTAGATTCATCAGAGATCATCTTCGTTCAGCATTTGCTCAAGTCTAAAGATAGAGAAGAATCTCTACAAATTGGTATCAGAGCCAGGTTCGGCGGCGGAGCAAAGTTGTTACGAAAATGTCTGGAGTTCCGATCGCGGTGTTTGATGGATCCGGTGACTTCTCGCTCTGGAAAACAAGAATTCGTGCACATCTGAGCGTTATTGGCTTGAAGGATGCGTTAGTTCCAAAACCTGAGTTAC